ATTATTATTAATCAACGTAAACAGTCAATTAATGTAGTTTGAATACTGGGGTCATATTAACTGGTCCTCTTTAACAAAAGATATTTTTTCTAATTTTTTAATGAAATAAGCGAACTATAATGACAATATTAGTATCTGTACTTTTTGAAAATTTGTTACATTTTTAAAAATAATCTAAAATGTCAATATTCCATATCATATATAAATGAGGTCTAAATTATAAGAAAATGCATTTTCAACAAAAACTTGAAGACATGGGTAAAAAATGGTATAATACAATTTGATAGACAATTACATTGTGCATCTGATTCACGTAAAATATATAGGGTGTTCCATTTAAATTAAACAACTTATTCTCGGTTAAAACTAGTAATTGTTTAATGTAAATTTTTGGACACTCTGTATAAGATAGAAAAATTTTTATTATTGCAACACAATATCTGATCAATAAATAATGTGCAGTAAATATTTAGTATTAAAAACTCTGATACCCTTGGAGAAATGAAGCCTTAAAATTTTTACTGCTATTTCATAAAATTGAAAATATTTCAACAACGGTAAGATTTAGGTGTGATAAACCTTAATCAAATTTACCTTTATTTCAATCGTAGAATCCAAAAATAGAATAATATACAGGGTGTTCCATTTAAAAAAATACAACTGTAATATTTTTTACTTATTTGGGACACTCTGTACCTTGTAAAAATATTTTTAAATTGTAGCTCCAATAGTCCTTCAACGAACACAAAACTTCACCATAAAACCGTGTCGTATGTGGTGAACAACCCTGTATATTAACAAGGTAAGGAATTTAAAAATAATTTTATTGCCTAGGTACGTCTTTTGCCGATGGTTTGTTTTTTTATTCATCTCAATAGCTTTAGTTTTATTGGAGATATTCGCTTTTGAACAAAACAGTAACGATTTACAGCAATTTTAGCAGTGATTTTGGGTCCCCATCAACACACTTATAAAATAGTGTTTATTGTTTTTGTAATGTCACTGTTATTGAAAATTCATATTCTTAATGTTAGTGTCTTCTTCAACAGAGAATATCTCCAAAAACAAATAAAGCTATCAAGATGAATCAAAAAACAAACTATAGAGAAAAGATACACCTAGATGACAAAGTTATCTGTAAATTCCTTGCTTTGTTATCGTTCACCACAGGGTATACCACAGGGTGTTTAGTTGGTGAAAGCTTGAAATAAAAAATCCTATCACCGGTTCTCCATAAACATCTAACATACAATGGCTATAAATCACCCTGTATGTAGAGGATGTTATATGAATACTAGTTGAAGCCTGGCGCATCCGCCACGGCGACATCAGGAAAAAATACTTTTTATTTTTTTTTATTAAATGAAAAACAAAAAATCCGGCGACGACAGTTTTTAGAAGAGCTAATTAACTATCTTTTAGTAAAAAAGCAACTTTCTAGAGAAAGTCGTTACTTCAGTAGAAACGACACAGATAAACGTTAGCATTTGATATATGTAGATGTATTTCTACTTCGTTACACAGAGTGACCATTTTTTTAAACTGGAAAGTTTTATTTCTAATTGGAATAATCTAGATTATTCATAATTTAATTGTTGTATCTATTAAGATTGCATTATTTATTATGTAAATCTATAAAATATTAAAAGAAATGAAGAATTTTATACATAATTTTTACGTATAGGATACACACTTCTTTTATTCCTTTTCTTTTCAATAATTTAATTGTATTAAATTGAAAGACGTCTGTTTTCTAGAACTTATTTTATTTTCTTAACGACTCAACTCGTGATAGGTTGTACAATTACCATATTCTTAATAAAGCGCAGCCAAAATTTAAAATCATTAAATTAATCTATTGCAATATGAAATCTTTCTTTATTTAAATATAGCATTGCCATTTTTTTATAGAAAAAGTTCTTGTTTACTTTATATGAGTCTGTTTCTAGGAGGCTCTGAAAAGATTTATATATGAAGAATGAAACAATATTTAAATACAATTATTTTAAAAAGAAAATTCTTAAACATTAGAATTTTTTAAGCTTTTACCGAAATATCAACGTTTTGTTTTTCCTCTTATAATTGACAGATAACAACTTTCATGTTTAATTTAGAAAGAGGTATTAATAATCAGGTCAAATAATATAGCTACAAATTGCTTAAAAATTCATCAAAATCGGTTCACGAAAACACAATACCAGGTGCGTCTCAAAAGTGGCTCACCCCTATAATATTTTTATTTTTTTTTTAGATAAAAAAATGAGATTTGGTATGTTAGTATTTGACATAAATTAGGATTGATTGACATATTCAATTGTTTTCGGTCCTTCCTGTTTCACAGGAAATGACTACAACTTTTGATTTTTAAATGGCACCCTCGAAATTTGTTTACTTTATTTGATAGAAACTGACAGTCTGAATCGAATGACATATCATATATAAATTTTTAACATATTCGCTCAAAAATAAATTGTATTTCAAATTTCAAGGTAGAGTGCCATGACTATGATAAAACACTAATTTTTAATCAAGGAGCCTTGGAAAAATAGATTTGATTGTCTAATGCTTTTAGTGTCTTGTCCTGACCGGTAAAAAAATGCCAAAATCGTATTTTTAATCATATCTCAATTTTTTCAAATGGAATGAGGGTAGTCCATTAGCATATCTGAAAAAAGCATTTTTACAAATAATTTGATACCACACACTTGGTATTTCGAGTCAAATTGTCGTTATGAACCGCATGTTGCAATTTCAAATGAACCATATTCGAAAATGTCAAAAATTGATACGTGATACATCATTCTGTTCAGAGTGTCATTGTCTATCGAATAAAGTAAAAAAATACCGAGGGTGCCATTTAAAAATCAAAAGTTGTGGTCATTTCCGGTGAAACAGGAAGTGACAGAAAACAATTGAATACGTCAATCAATCCTAATTTATGTCATATACTCACATACAAAATCTCAATTTTTTATCTGATAAAATAAAAAAGTTATTGGGGGTGAGTCACTTTTGAGACGCACCCGGTATAAAACTTTAAAATATATGAAAATTGTAAGGTGCCCGTTTTTCGTGCCGGTGAGTGTATATCTTAAAATGAATTATTTAAAATAGCAAAAAAAACAGTTTTTGAACAATAACAAGCAAGAATCTTCCAAATATTTTATATGTTACTCTTAAAAAGAGAAATTGGACAAATAATGTGGCTTAATTAAGTATCAACTACAATCTACTTATCTATTCATCTTTAGATTTTAGATACTATTAGATGTTAGGGTTGATTTATAAGATACTAGCTAATAATAAATAATATTGTAAATTGGAGTACATGTTTGTTTTATATATGTTTACATTTTTGTTGACAAATAAAAATTTGAAAGCAAGTTAAGACTTTTTTTCTTTAATAACGTTATAGCTTTATTCAGAACCTCGCAATTAGTGGAATAAATTAATGGCTGCTTTAATTTCCATGTAAGCATTTAGATCGTCAAAATTAGAGGTAGTCATTTTCAATTAGTAGAACAAGTTAACAAGCTTTTAACTTTTCCACTAATTATACTTCAAATTTTGCGCGGAATGTCATTTTAGCCTTTGATTATCATCCGTTAAGAGAAATTGTGGTTAGAAATCAAAAATTTATTGTTTTATAAGCTAAATATTCTGTGCAGGCTCTCTCTGTGGATACAACTGACTACCGCAAGCTGTTGCTAGGATATTCTATTAATTTTAATTTTGTTTTTTAGACATATTGTGAATGATCGTAAACTAAAAAGTATAAAGTGTACCAAACCTAACCAAACAAAACCAAACCACTAATTTATTTTATTAATTGCGAGGTTCTGCTATAAACTTCATTTAGAGCCTCGCAATTAGTGGAGTAAATTAGTGGTTTCAATTACACTTTATACTCTTTAGTTTATGATCATTCATAATGTTTAAAAGACACAATTAAAATTAATAGAATATCCAGCTTGCGTTGGTCAATTTTATCCATAGAAAAAGTCTAATATTTAGCTTATAAAACAAAGTTATAAAACAATCAACTTTTGATTTCTAACCACAATTTCTCTTGACTAATCTAAGGCTAAAATGACATTTCTCGCAAATTTTGAAGTAAATTTAGTGGAAAACTTAAAACGTTGTTAATTTTTTCTACTAATTGACAATGTCTGCCACTAATTTTGACGTTCTAAATGATTACATTGAAATTATAGGAACAGACTTCTACGCTAATTGAAACCAATAATTTATTCCAATAATTGCGAGGATCTGAATGAAGATTTAGGCCTCATTCAGAACCTCGCAATTAATATTATTCATTATTAAATAATTAATAATAATAATTAGTAATTAACTAATTTATTTATTACCCTTATTAGTGGTAGGAATTTTTAATTAGTGATAAAAGTTGAAAATGACAAATTTTTAGCTTTTCCACTAATTATACTTCAAAATGTGCGCGGAATGTCATTTTGGATTTTCATTATCATCTGTTACGAGAAAATGCGGCTGTAAATGCGGTAAGTTTATTGTTTTATAAGCTAAATTTTAGGCTTTCTCTATGGATACAACTGATTACCGCAAACTGTTGCTAGGATATTCTATTAATTTTAATTGTGTTTTTTAAACATTGTGAAAGATTGTAAACTAAAAAGTATAAAGTGTAATTAAAACCACTAATTTATTTCACTAGTTGCGAGGTTCTAAATGAAGCTTATCTGATTGTGCGTTTATGTTATTGCCTATAATAGACATATACCGAGTATTTTTCAATAGTGGCTCACCCCAACTTTTCTTATTTTTTCAGATAAAAAAACTTAAAAAAACATTAAAAGAAAATAATTAACAACGTCAATCAATCCTGATTTACGTCCTATACGAACATGCAAAATCTCGTTTTTTTTTATCTGAAAAAAGAAAAAAGTTATAGGGGTGAGCCACTTTTAAAGAACAAACAGTATAAAACAACACTAAACGTTTTTTTTATATTTTTTGTTTATTCAATCAAATGTTATTAAACAAAAATCTATTCAGTTTCTAAACGAAGAATTCTTAATTTTCCTTGATCCGCCATTATGCAAGCTGCGTCATTTTGACCCCCACAGTATTTAGATGACGAAAACACAGTCAATAACTTTCCTTTTTGCATCACCTAAAATCGATTTAAATTGATTGTTTATAAACAGTACCCATATCCAAAATGAAAATAACTAAAAAAAAAAAAAAAAAAAAAAAGATCGAAGTAATAAAAGAAAATACTTGATGAAAAAATTTTGAATAATGAAAAAAAAAAAACCTAAGAAAGTAAATAAAATAACAAATACACGGAGTATTCCATATGAAAAATATGTTCAATATTCAAAAATTTAGAAACAGATCAAATAGATATGTCATCAAATCGTTGATTTTCTATTTACTCAAAAAAATGGGCTCCGGGGGGCATGTATAGCCGCCCATACTTAAATATGTTAATAAAAACTTGGTATGCAGTTCTTTTAGTTTCAAAGTCAAGAAATTTATCCAATTTTTTTTATCTCAAAAACTGCGACTTTGACTGATTTTGATGTTATTACAAATTTTGTTGCAAATATTATTCCTAATCTTAAATTGAAAACCGCGTTTCGCTAGCTATTGTAATTTTGAAGTTACGATTTTTTTAAATTTTTAACCCCCTTCCATACCCCCTTAAGAAACCCCCAACCCACCAAAAACTAATGGCCAGATTCTCGGATGCCACAGTATTTTTGTGCCAAATTTGGTTAAAATCGGTTTAGCGGTTTTTGAGTTATCGTGTTACAGACAGACTATGGAGTGTAGAGGTAAGGAGAAATAACTTTGTGTATTAAAAAAATGGTCAAAAAAAGGGAAGAATTAGGATGGCGCTGCTGTAGCAAGATTCTAAAATTTAAGACATGCGCCGAACATTTTAGAATAGACGATTCAAGACATTAATATTTGACGTGAAGCAAACGCGAAGCCGCGGGTTTAAAAAAAATAATTTTATTTTCATGTTGCATGAAATAAATTACAGATTTTTATTCAGCAGCAATAGACTAGGCCCTTTTTTTATTGTTTCTCATAAGTTATTTCGCAAATGTCATTCAAGACGACGAAAAAATATTCTTATCGTTTTAGCTTAAAATTAATGGTAATTATAATTAAGACAAATTTTATTTAAAGTAATGATTGGTGATGGGTTTAAAATAAATATAATGCAGCTTTAAAATAACTTCATATCTACATTTATTTAGTATAAAAGTAAGTCAATATGTGGTTTTATTATTGATTATTCAGATATCAGAGCCTCTTTTTATTGTTTCTCATAAGTTATTTCGTAAATCTCATTCAAGATGAAAAAGCTTTAGTTTAAAATTAATGTTAATTATAATTAGAAAAACTTTATTAAAAGTTTAATTGATGATATGGGATTTAAATAAATATAATGCAGGTCAAAAATAACGTAACACATTTTCTGTAGTATAAAAATTAAGCCAATATAATATAATGTTATACTGTACAAGTATTTATTTACGTTTTGCCATCGTAGTTGCCATTCATTCAGAATAGTGGATTTTAAATGTTCGATAGTCGGATGGCTTAACTACCTTAATATCAACTACTTCTAGACAAGAATCGTGTGCAGTATTATCTTCTTTTTCACTGCACTCCCAGCTATTCCAACATGGCTTGGGACGTGAAATAATAATATAATTTTATAGCCCTTCCAGATGCTCATGTCTTCCTTGTACTTCACCCAATAGAATCATTCTCGCAGCTTCCTCCCAAGTTGGTAGTTGCTATTCAGAATAGTGGATTTTAAATATATTTGGTAGTCGGATGGTTTAACTATCGTAACTATAACTACTTTTAATAATTCTTTTTCTCAATTCTTTGCACTATAATTTGCATCCCACGTATTGTAATATTTTCCTTTGAATTTCGTTTCCTATTGTTCCATGGCTTGAGACGTAATGTTATAGCCCTTCCAGATCCTCATGTATATGTCCCTTTTCCTTGTATTCCACCCAATAGAACCTTTCTCTTAGCTTCCTCTCAAGTTGGTAGTTACCATTCATTAAGAATAGTGAATTTTAAACATGTTTTGTACTCGGATGGTTTAACTACTGTAACATCATAAATAAATTGTATACCAACACATAATGGCCAAACTTCAACAGACTTTAATATTCATAAACCTCATCAGAAGAAAATATTTTTTGATCCAAAGTTTTTTTTTCGTTATTAGAATAAATTACCTGCAATTTGTTAATTCATTACAACATTGAATAAAAGATGCAAAGTGTTTATACATACTATAATAGATAAATCTTCATTTAAAATTATGTGACAGATCTGCTTGCTTGTAGGATCTAGACTCATAAACTCAATAATTTCTTTTATTGATATAACCAATAAAGTAGTAATGCTGAAATTTTGTTTTTGATTTGAGCAGTAGGGTCCATTATTTCCATTATTTTATGCTGTTATTGCTCTACAAAATGTTGATCTTTATCAAGGGATGTTTATGTGTATAATATTATTATTTATGTGTATAATATTATTATTTATGTGTATAATATTATTATTTATGTGTATAATAATACTGTATGATCGAAAAAACATGGCGTCCAGTTGGCTTGGAAATGAACATCTCGATGATATTCTCCATATCATTTTACATATAAAATGGCAGCAATCTTCATTTCATAGGCATCGCTGACGCCGTTTTTTATTCGAACAAATTGTACTTACGTGTATAATATTCATTTAATGGTTCCTTTTTTAGTTGCTGGTGTTCATATTTTGGTTTTTTATTGTGTTGTTGCTCTACAAAATGTTAATATTTATGTGTATAACATTACTCTTTCTGTGTATAATAATACTTATGTGTATAATATTCATTTAATGGTGCCCTTCTTGCTTGTTGCTGTTGTTGCAATTCAGAATTTAAATTAACCTGAGGCAGTAGGTAGAGCTTCATCCTCCAATATTTTCCTATGTAAATACTGAAGTGGACAGTATTTCTGATGACAATTTTATCACAAACTTTAACATCTTGTTCTTTAAAATGAAACTGCCATACCTTATCTGTAGATTTCAAAGCAATATCTAAATGCTTTTGACCATCACTGTAATCTAATTCTTGTCTGAAAATCAATACCTAATATTATCCTGATGATTTTGATTTTTGATAGATTATTAAAATACAGCACTTACAGTTAACTATATTTCTTGAAAGTACCTACAATTTTATGTATTTCCTACTTTTACTTATTTAAAAAAATGCCAACAATTTGTGCATGTCTGTTAAACTTTAAAATCATTAAAAATAAATTTTATTTAGGTTGTAACTTTATAAAAAGGATTGTAAAAATATACTTTGTAACATGTATGTCAATAATCTTACGAAAAATGTTTACTACACTTTTGATTGACTCTAATTTTTACATATAATACAAATAATACAATACTGAATTATATTATGTATTTTACATACCATAGGCTTTGCCTTTGCTCTTTATTTTTCCATCAGCTATTCAATCAACTTCGCACCACACACACTTTAACCATTGTTAAATAATAAATAAAGCACAAAATATTGATAAACAATAATTATTTTATATTCAAAAACTCGGTCTGAAAAATAAAAACAAAATTTTTTGGGGTAATGTTTGGTTATATTTATTTTTATTCTCTTATCTATGGTTACTTTTCATTTTTTAGATTCATGCGTTTTTAGCGCCACTGTGGTTATTTGGCGAACCCTTATTCTTCCCATTTTGTGACCACTTTTTCAATAAAAGTCCCGTAAGAGTTATTTCTCCTTACCTCTACACTCCATAAGACAGACGGACAGACAGACAGACACCATGAAAATATTTTGTATTTAGGTCATTTATGACCCAAATAACTCATTTTGAGTGAAATTAAAAAAACTTTTTTTGCCGATCTTAATAGCCTACCATACCTGTTGGTATGGTCGGCTAAAAAGATATTTGGCTATTTTGTATTTATTTTGCAAAATATGGTCAAAATCAAATATGTTGTAGGTTAGTTAATAAAAACTTGAAACCTGAAATCCACATTGAGCGACTTCGTGAGCTCTTACTACATGAGTCAGCTGGTTAGCCCTCAAGAACCTCTCCAGTGCTTCGACACTAAAGATATGTGCCGTGCCTCTTCTTGTATTTACTGCGAAACCTTCATTTGCCAATAACTCCATGGCCAGTTTTTCATTCACAGTTTTTGGTCTAAAATAAAATTTAATCTTTAACATACATTGTTAAAGCTCACGCTAAAAATATATCAAAGTACATTACATAATAAAATTATATAAGGATTCTTGCCACTTAACTGCTTATATAGAAATTTAATTCTACGCTGTGTTTGTCATAATGCGGATCAACCTGCAGGTTACCTGAAAAAAAGCCTTTTACCATCCTTTTACTATCGATAGTTGCGCCTCGGTGGTACGAAAGTACTACCATTGCACACAGGCCGCTATCTCCCGTTCGGGACTTAATATCTAACCGACACTTTCCGACAAGTCGGAATTAACTATCTCTGCGCTGTGGTTTTCATTTTGTGGATCTGCCCAAGCTCACCTCATGATGGAGTAGGTCTCCGAAACCGGTAGTGAGAGCAGGTTGATCCGCATTATGACAAACACAGCGTAGAATTAAATTTCTATATAAGCAGTTAAGTGACAAGAATCCTTATATAATTTTATCATATACCTATACTGCAAGAAATTTGTTTTCTATTTTGGTACATTACATATAGAGAGAAGACCAGGCTACTGGTAACATAGCAAGTTGCCGGACGAATTTACGTTTACCCGATTTGCGTTTGTACTCGAGATTCACTGCCGGCTAGTCGGCTGGTCAGGCAGTACGCAGTTGCAGTTGTGCTTCAATCGTTATAGACTAGGAATACGACGCGAGGAGTGCCGAGTATTTATTATTTTCATTTTAAGTGTTTACCTTCACTTTAGGTAACATTTAAAATAAAAATACTTAAATATTTATTATTTGAGTGTGTTTACAAGCCAAAACTAAAAATAAATAAATTCTCTAAACCCCAAAAAAAACTAAAATATTACTCTAAATAAAAAAAGTTATAACAAGTGTTCAAAAAGACCTAGACAGAAGCCTAGGCGGTCGTAAAATCCCCGTCTGACATTGGCTAACATATTAGGGCCCTTAGCTTGGAAGGGCTCTCGTATTCTTACTTGAAGCTCATCCAGATTATTAGCCCTATTATGACCATACACTTTGGATTTTACATTACCCCAAAAAAAGAAATCATTGGGAGAAAGATCTGGTGATCTAGCGGGCCACAAAATAGTTCCATAATATCCACTAATTAAACAGTTAGGAAAAGTATTGTTCAAATATTCTTGATGTGTTCACCCATGTGTTTTAAAATTATTAATAACTCTTGATATAGTAGGTAAAGATGGAATTGGCCTGTTTACAAAAGTTTGTGGAAAAATTGTTTGTATATCCCGATAAGACCTATTTTGGAAATACCATTTTACAATTTGAATTTTCTCACGAACTTCGTAAACATCCATTATTTTACTTAAAACATAAATGTTACACGAGAACTGTCGCGAGAATCTATGTATTCGTTTTGGCTATTAAAACACGAATAAATACGTATTCTGAAACATTCTTATCACATATCTACCTATTTTTACTTTATCGCATTTTTTCGCCTGTTTTTTATCCGGCGGACGGGTATACGCTAATTCGTCCGGTTCTGCCTATGTTACTACTACGGTGGTCCGGTCTGTATATATTTGCTATCAATTAAACTTTTAGTTACGCAATCGAGGGCGCGATTTTTAAATTCATTGTTGCCAACCGTGGAGATATTCGGCGCCGGGCTGACTAACTGGAATTTAAATTTTGCGCTGGAGATTCAGTTGGTAGCTATGCTGTAAAAATGTCAAGTTGCCGCATTTATTTATTTATTTCCTAACATTGTCATTCGTTTTGACACTTTAGTTTTATATTACGAGTTTTTGGATTAAATAAATACTGTTGTGATACTTAAAGCTTTAAAATATTTACTAGCAGACCTTGCAGTCGAACATTGTTCTTTTTAGAACATCGTTTAGTGCGAAGTGGTACAAGATAGCTTACTAGCCGTAAAAAACTCATCGCAACTTTATTAGAATATTTTTAACGGGAAAGCGGTAGTAATGGCCCTTTATGTCCCTTAAGTACTGTTAAAAAGGTGAGTTTTACTGATGTAATTAATAAATGTTTATATATTTATAATGAATTTATTTTTGTTTCCTAAAATATTTTGATTAAAAGAAAATATATAAAAGTGGGCAACGCTGTGCCCGTCAAGCTTAATCACGTGACTAAAAGTTTATTTGGTATGAACTGTAATATTAAGTATGAGATAAAACATTTACCATGTTCTCATTTTAGTTGATTGATAAAGATATTTTAAATTATTATTTTTGGTCCTATTTTGCATTCCAATAAGAAGGAAAGGTATACATAATTGACATAACAATTCAAGAAAAAATCCAATATTATACAAATATCAAATATTGTAATTTCTAAGTCATTTGTTTAAGTGATATTATTATTTTAGCGGCATTATACACACAAGGTATAAAGTGAGATATTACTATACATACTTTACAGGATCATTCCACATTAGCTCCCAAGCCAAAGAGCTTTGTGTTTCAGGTTGACTAAGAACAGATGGTATGTCATTAATTGCAGACAAAGCTGGACATAACCAAGGAGGTGGGCAACCGCCATGACAACAAAAAACCTACAATAAAACATTTTAAGGGGTGATAGATCTCGCCATAACAAACATATTTTCTCTTTACCATTTAAAAAAAAATAATAATAACTGAGTTATATAATTTTGAAAATTAAAAAAATAATGGCAACATTTTGAGAGCCACCGGCAGCAACCGATAATCAATCTCAGATACTAAACAAATACCCGGATCTTAGTTCGTTCAACGTCCAGTGTTGACACATCAACTAGAATGATTTAAAAACGACGAAAATTCAGATTAAAAGTAAAAACCTTACTACTTAATTAGGTTACAAAATTATGCTGCCAAAAAAAAAATTGGAATTTTTTGCAAAAAATTTTGGATTTTTTTTAGTTATTAGTTAAAAAAATATAATGTGTCAACATAGGGAGTAGATTAATTTTACAAGAAAGAAACCCCAAAAAAGATTCAGTGGTTCTCAAAATTTAAACAAAAAATATTTTTATGGAAATTTTTAAAGTAAAATAAGTCGGTTATTTTGGATTTATTTGAGAAACGGTAAAGAGAAAATATGTTTCTTTTATCGAGATCTACCAGCCCCGAAAAAATTTGCACTTATTTAAGACTCATACTGTATAGGCTAACGCACACTGATCAGTCGCAAGATTTAAAATATTTTTAGTCCCTGACGTGTTCTGTATCTGCTGCCATGCATATTTGATTGTAAACAAAAATGTTATTTACTTAATTTCATTAAGAAAAATTATAATGTTAATTGACTAAAACAGACTAAAACACAAAAATAGAAAATCAATCAAAATAACAAAATAATAATACATACAATTTATATTATATCAATCAAAAAATTAAATGTAATGGGTATATACCGGGTGCGTCTCAAAAGTGGCTCACCCCTATAGCTTTTTTATTTTTTTAGGAAAAAAACGAGATTTCGTATTGACAGTATATGACATCAATTAGGATTGATTGAGGTATTCAATTGTTTTTGGTCACTTCCTGTTTCACCGGAAATGACTACAACTTTTGTTTTTTTTATGGCACCCTCGGTATTTTTTTACTTTATTCGATAGAAAATGACATTCTGAATAGAATGATAAATCATGTCAACTTTTAACATTCTCACTTAAGAAAAAATCGTATTTTAAAATTAAATCTAGAGTGCCATGACTATGTGAAAAACACTAATTCTTAATCAAGGAGCCTTGGAAAAATAGATTTGATCGTCTAATGTTTTCAGTGTCTTGTTCTGAGGCGCTATTCTGCACACGGCATCGATAACCGTCGGTATCGGTAAGTTATGATAGTTTTTTATATAGTAAAAATGTGTTAATTGTTGTTGCCATAGTTACCGATCGGTCATAGGGCCGATATCGCCCATTTGTACCGACGAGGATCGGTATCTCTAGCGTGCCCTTGTTAACCCCACGGTAGAGATACCGATAGTTATCGGTACAAATTTGCTATATGCCCTAATGATGACAACTAAAACTATGACAACGACAATTAAAACGACGCTCATTGGCCGTACGTACCGATAGCTCTCGGTAACTTATCGATACCGACTATTGTACAGAATAGCGCTCCTGGGGCGCTATTCTGTACAATCGTCGGAATCGGTGAGTTACCGAGAGCTATCGGTACGCATTTGCATATAGTAAATATGTGTTAATTGTTGTTGTCATAGTTACCGATCGGCCCTATGACAGATATCGCAAATTTGTACCGACGACTCTCGGTATCTCTACCGTGAGGTTGACAAGGGCACGGTAGAGATACCGATTTTCGTCGGTACAAATTTGCGATATCTGCCATAGGACCGATCGGTAACTATGACAACAACAATTAACACATTTTTACTATATACAAATACGTATCGAGAGCTGTCGTAACTTACCGATACCGACAGCTATCGGTACGTACGGTCAATGAGCGTCGTGTTGATTGTTGTTGTCATAGTTACCGATCGGCCCTATGGCAGATATCGCAAATTTGTACCGACGACTCTCGGTATCTCTACCGTGAGGTTAATAAGGGCACGGTAGAGATACCAATTTTCGTCGGTACGAATTTGCGATATCTGCCATAGGACCGATCGGTAACTATGACAACAACAATTAACACATTTTTACTATATACAAATACGTATCGAGAGCTGTCGTAACTTACCGATACCGACGATTGTCGATGCCGTGTACAGAATAGCGCCCCTGGGGCGCTATTCTGTACAATCGTCGATATCGGTATATTACCGACAGCTATCGGTACGTACGGCCAATGAGCGTCGTGTTGATTGTTGTTGTCATAGTTACCGATCGGCCCTATGGCAGATATCGCAAATTTGTACCGACGACTCTCGGTATCTCTACCGTGAGGTTAACAAGGGCACGGTAGAGATACCGATTTTCATCGGTACAAATTTGCAATATCTGCCATAGGACCGATCCGTAACTATGACAACAACAATTAACACATTTTTGCTATATACAAATACGTATCGAGAGCTGTCGTAACTTACCGATACCGACGATTGTCGATGCCGTGTACAGAATAGCGCCCCTGGGGCGCTATTCTGTACAATCGTCGATATCGGTATATTACCGACAGCTATCGGTACGTACGGCCAATGAGCGTCGTGTTGATTGTTGTTGTCATAGTTACCGATCGGCCCTATGGCAGATATCGCAAATTTGTACCGACGACTCTCGGTATCTCCTCCGTGAGGTTGACATCGAGAGCTGTCGTAACTTACCGATACCGACAGCTATCGGTACGTACGGCCAATGAGCGTCGTGTTGATTGTTGTTGTCATAGTTACCGATCGGCCCTATGGCAGATATCGCAAATTTGTACCGACGACTCTCGGTATCTCTACCGTGAGGTTAACAAGGGCACGGTAGAGATACCGATTTTCATCGGTACAAATTTGCAATATCTGCCATAGGACCGATCGGTAACTATGACAACAATTAACACATTTTTACTATATACAAATACGTATCGAGAGCTGTCGTAACTTACCGATACCGACGATTTTACAGAATAGCGCCCCAGGCCAGTTAGAAAATGCTCAAATCGTATTTTTAATTATATCTCAATTTTTTCAAATGGAACGAGGGTGGCTCATTAGCATATTTGGAAAAGCATTTTTTACGAACAATTTGATACCACACACTTGGTATTTCGAGTTAAATTTTCGTTACGAGCGGCAAGTTATAATTTTAAATAAACCATATGCGAAAATGTCACAACTTAACATATGATGTCATTCTATTCAGAGTGATATGTTCTATCAAATAAAGTTAAAAAAACCGAGGGTATAATTTAAAAATCAAAAGTTGTAGTCATTTCCGGTGAAACAGGAAGTGACCAAAACGTCAATCAATCATAATTTATGTCATATATTAACATACCAAATCTCGTTTTTTTAAATGAAAGAATAAAAAAGTTATAGGGGGTGAGCCACTTTTGAGACGCACCCGGTATTTTATACAAAATATAGTAGAAAAGAGTTGAAATAAAGCTGCTGTTCAGGCAAAATATTGTTACACAACTAGTTTTTGATATTATTGAAGTTGTAGTGAAGTTTAATAATATATGTCCAAAAAAATAATATTTATTTACCAGTTTATGAACTAAAAGAATCAAAACAATATTAATTATATCCAAAGTAAAATAAATTATATCTTATTAAACATCTTTTCATATATTTTTTCCCCAACAAACATGAAAATATAGGACAGTAAGAAATTGTTTACTTTTCCATCAATCGTGGCTGCTATTGGCATTGTATCAAAAGCATTGTTTACCGCATTCCAAACTTCATTGCCCAGCTTATCGCCAAGTTTCAGGCAGCACTCTCTAAGATAATTAAAAATAAAAGTAATCAGTGTATTTCAGTGATGTCCTGGTGCGAAACAAAGATACACAACGGAGTATTTCCTTTATGATAGAGTATGTTGAAAATGCATTCGGATTAAAACACGTTTAAATACCAACAAATAAAAATTTAATACAAAGAGATTCTATCATTATAATTTTGGCGTTATTAAAATTTATTCTGTGCCCTGTGTCCCATGAATGCTGACAAAAAAAATTAATTAAAAAAAATTAATTAAAAAAAATTAAATTAAAATTTTAAATTTAAAAAAATTAAAAAAATTTTAAAGAGATTCTAGTCTTCTATATACACTCAGATGCAAAAAAACGCAACCGACAAATTTTTGGTCAAATTTAAAGTGTTATATTTTTGTTATTTTTGGCCCTATTTTCATGATTTTTTAGCAAGCTGTATATAATTATATCAACTTTAATTCGTAAACTCAGTTCTTTATAAACTTTAGTATTTGGTGTATTATACAGGGTTAAACGAGGGGTTCTTTTTTTTGCCTTAACTTTAAAACACCCTGTGCAATAATTTCGTGTGTAAATTTTTTTAAAATATAATTTTACGGTCAGAACCATGTCTCCTTAGCATTTTGTTTTTTGGATCATGTTAATACATGCCTTGGTTAATTTTTAATAGCGAAATGAACTTGCCACCATCAATTTGCAATTTTTTCAATTATCATTACTTTTTGATGTTATTTTTCAATATGGCAAGGTGGTTTTGGTGATTATTGTGAACTATATACTACTATGAACTGCCCATCATGTTCGACATTTGGGAAATGCTTGGCAGGAGGTTTAGATGTCGCGAAGCCGTACCAGCTTCATTAAATGAACTTCGCTTAGGGGAAAGTATCGAATGGGAAAGCATAACGAAATATGATATATGCAGCCTCAATGGCAGTATAAACGAACGTATACAGGCAGTTGTAGCAGCTAAGGGAGGCAATACAAAGTATTTTTACAATTTTTTTTTCTGTTTGTATACTTATTGAGTATCTTAGTTCTTTAATATCGTTAGTTTTGTTATCGTTATGAATGTTTAAAACCAGGACTGTATCGTTAGTCTTTAACATTTTTTTTAATTTAATATAGAGTATACAATGCAGCGTAATGTGACGTTACAACAATAGATCACCGATCCCTTCCTGACAAATACAGGAGTTACGCAGGGATGTGTCCTAGCTCCTCTCCTATTCAACATATTGTTGCGGGCCGGTGTGGACTCGACCTAACCTCACAATATGGCCCGCCCTCGGATGACCTTAACATCGCATAGACACCGCAATGATTCATTCGTTCGAGAAGAATCGAGTCCCACTGGAATGGACTAGTACATACGAGAACATTCGAAAACCTTCTCTACGCACCTAACGATCTATGGACTATTCTAGAGTTCTTTACCTGTCGGTATAAAAGCCGGCGGCGGTGGCCTACAGGGGGCAGTTATAAATATACAGTTGACGCGCTAAAATTCAAAATAAATTCTTAGTTATAAATCGTTTGTAAATAGTTCTATAAGTCTTTTATCGTTATTATTTTTGTTCATTAGTGTTAAATAAATAGTGTTTAAATAAATTGTGACTTTCTATCCACACGGAACCGACGAAAAACGTAAAAATTGGTGTCAAGTGTGGCGTGTGTGATAGACTAGGAAAATAAAAAGACAGACAATGGCTCCAAAAAAATTGTTGAAAGACTTGAAAGTGTCCGAACTGAAATGCATATTGGAAGAGAGAGAGTGCGAGACAGATGGAAAGAAAAGCATTTTGCAAGCTAGACTGAGAGACGTTTTGGTGGAGGAAGGCGAGGATCCTGACACATTTTACTTCGAGCTGGAAGGTGACCTTGACTCGTCATTGAAAAATTTACAAGACAATTTAAACGACAATTTGAATAGTTTAAATAGTAAAATAATTGACTTGGAAGTTAATTTAGAAGAGAAAATCAGTGATAAAATTATGGAAAATTCCCAGGATTTAATCAATACATTAGAAGATAAGATCATCGAAAAGTCTAAAGATATACAGGCCAGCTTTAATAATAAAATACTTAATTTAGAAGAAAAGATAACAGAAATCCAGGAATCTTCCAGGGAATTAGAAGAAAAGATTATAGATAATTCTACAGAACTACAAGACAAAATAACACAAATTGAGGACGATGTAAATAAAAAATCGAAATTTAAAACAAGAAATAGAAAAGGCCAATTCACCAAAATGTCAAGAAACATCGGAGGCACCGAAACTAGTCGAAAATAAGTATATCTCAAAGTCAGTTATTAAGCCTCCACAGTTTGACGGAAAAACCGCTTGGGTCAATTATTTTTGCCAGTTTGAGGCCGCTGCGAGAGCGAACGGATGGACAATCGCTGAAAAGGCTACCGCTTTGACTGTCGCACTGCGAGGAGATGCGACTGATATCTTGCAGACATTGTCACATCGGAACAGGGAGATTATCAGCAATTGGTACGACATTTAGAAATGAGGTACGGCCAAGCTCATTTGGAACATGTCTATCATTCCCAGCTAAAAAATCGCATTCAAAAGTCAAATGAGTCTCTGCAGGAGTTTGAAGCCGACGTAGCCCGCCTCGTTCGCCTTGCGTACCCTGCTATGCCCGAAAATGTTATGGAGCGCTTAAAAGTACAGGCTTTTATTGATGGTTTATGTGACAACGAGACAAGGCAAACACTTCTTTTAGCTCATCCAACGCATTTGGGAGATGCCCTAGCACGTGCCCTGGAATTTGAGGCCGCGAAAGAATGCTCTAGGTCTCTAGGATTTGTACGGGCTGTTGAGGAGAGTTCCGACGATTCCAAAGTGGAAAGGATTGTGCGGAAAGTACTGGATCAGTATATGAGTAAGAAGGGGGGACCGATTCGCTGTTGGAATTGCGGACAGATGGGAAATCGTTGCAAAGAAGAGAAAGAAGTGAAAGTCTTAAGGACGACTGTGGTTGGTGATAGTTGGCAAACCGAAGATCTTGCAAATGACCAAATCAGTGATCCAGAGTTGGGCTTGGTGATTAACTGGAAAAACGCGGACCAGAGACCAACGTGGGAGGAAGTTTGCAGATATTCGCCGAACGTGAAGTCGTACTGGTCCCAGTGGAATTCATTGGTAGTAGATAACGGATTACTTCGCCGTGTGATTGAGAGACCAGAGGGACAAGAAGAGAGAAGGCAGATCGTCATTCCAAAGAAGAGGGTCCCGGAAATCTTGGCGGAAGTTCACAATGGAACCAGCGGTGGACATCTTGGTATTATCAAGACACTTGGCAAGCTGCGTGAACGGTTCTACTGGGTGAACTGCAAAGAAGATGTGAGGGCCTGGTGTAAGAAATGTGACATTTGCGCAGCCATTAATGGGCCACAAAAGCGTGGTAAAGCCCCTATGCGCCAGTACAATGTTGGTAGTCCCTTCGAACGAATAGCGATCGACGTGGCTGGTCCTTTCCCGGAGACGAACGATGGCAACAAATACATTGTGGTAGTAATGGATTACTTCAGCAAATGGGTCGAGGCCTACGCGTTGCCAAATCAAGAAGCGTCCACGATTGCTGATGCCCTTGTTAAAGAATGGATCTGCAGGTTTGGTGTTCCCATGGAGCTTCATTCAGATCAGGGAAGAAACTTTGAGTCCAATCTGTTCCAAGGCGTCTGTGAAGTCCTGAACATCCGCAAGACCAGGACGACTGCTCTACATCCACAATCCGATGGGATGGTTGAACGCATGAACAGAACTATCAACCGTTATCTGGCCAAAGTAGTCTCTGACCACCAAAGAGACTGGGACAAATTTCTTCACCTGTTCCTGTTGGCCTACCGTTCATCCGTCCAAGAATCTACAGGGCAAACTCCAGCCAGCATCGTTATGGGACGGGAAGTGCGCCTACCCTGTGATCTGAAATTTGGTTGCCGACCGGGAGAAGAAGTCGCCGGAGAAGATTATGTCCACACACTACGTCAAAGGATGGACGACATTCATCAGAGAGTCCGCCTAAATATTCAAAGTGCTAGTGACCGAATGAAGGAACACTACGACATTCAAGCTGAGCATGGAGGATACCAACCAGGGAAGTTGGTGTGGCTATATAACCCGCAGAGACGTCGTGGGTTATCTCCGAAGCTACAATCCTCGTGGGAAGGGCCATACGAAGTCATGGATAGAATTAATGACGTCGTATACCGTATCAGAAAATTGCCAAAAGGAAAACCGAGGGTAGTCCATTTCAACCGTTTGAGCCCCTACCAAGGCGAAATAGAAGATCGTGCTGGGACCGTGAGAACCTGCAGCTTTGATCCCCCTGATTCGGAGATGTCCTTTGACGATTTCATGGCCCGATACAACAGCAGTGAGAAGGCTCGCTATGGTGTAACCAAAGAAGATCAACGAGACCTCTTTTCCGTGCCTCCTGATTATTCGCTCGCTCATTGTGTGGCTCGAGATTTGCGGATGTCCAGAGGAATCGCTGCGACGTTCAATGAGAAGTTTGGGCGTGTCGGAGAACTACGCCGACAGGATCCAGAGGTTGGAAGCGTCTTGAGGCTAACCGACAATGCACATGGTCAAGCAAGGCACATCTTCTACCTGGTCACCAAGGAATGGTCCCCGAGTAAGCCGACTTATCTCAATCTATGGAAGACCCTGATTGAACTGAGAGAAGCCCTGCTAAACAACAACATTGCACGATTAGCCATTCCGAAGCTGGCGTGTGGACTCGATGGTTTGAGTTGGCGTACAATCCGGAACATGATTGAAGTCTTGTTCAGATTTACGGGAATCGAGATCCTCGTTTGCTGCTACAACCCAAAGCTGAGATCGGGAGAGAAAACTGTAGACTGCTATTTCTACCAGACTTCGCAATGTACCAGGGGCCAGCTTTGCAAATACCTTCATTCACCGTATACATCTCGGGACGAGCATGTGCCTAAGAAGGGGCAGTGTTGCGGGCCGGTGTGGACTCGACCTAACCTCACAAATATGGCCCGCCCTCGGATGACCTTAACATCGCATAGACACCGCAATGATTCATTCGTTCGAGAAGAATCGAGTCCCACTGGAATGGACTAGTACATACGAGAACATTCGAAAACCTTCTCTACGCACCTAACGATCTATGGACTATTCTAGAGTTCTTTACCTGTCGGTATAAAAGCCGGCGGCGGTGGCCTACAGGGGGCAGTTATAAATATACAGTTGACGCGCTAAAATTCAAAATAAATTCTTAGTTATAAATCGTTTGTAAATAGTTCTATAAGTCTTTTATCGTTATTACTTTTGTTCATTAGTGTTAAATAAATAGTGTTTAAATAAATTGTGACTTTCTATCCACACGGAACCGACGAAAAACGTAACAATATTTATGGCAGCGCTCTCTATTATAGTGGACAGCAAACTGCAGGAAAGAGGAATGGGTGTCAGATACAGGTATGACAGCGGTCTATTCAACATAAAAAGACTCAGCGCAAAAACACGTATAAAATTTATCACAGAGCTTCAATACGCTGATGACTGCGCTCTAGTTGCAAAAACATTACAGCAATTACAGAAAATCCTGATCAGATATACCTGGGCATATGAGACTTTGGGCCTTAAGCTGAACATCGATAAAACTAAAATCATGTGCACTCCCCATGAAAATAATAACAGTGCTCTAAAAATCGGAGCAGAACAATTGGAATACGTAGCGGAATTTAATTACCTCGGCAGTTTGATTTCGGAAAAGGCCAATATCGACTCTGAAATTCAGCACAGAATTAGCAGCGCCTCAAGGGCATTCTGGAAATTAAAAGACAGGGTTTTCTACAATCGTGACTTGAGCACAAAAACAAATACAGTGTACCGAGCAATTATAATCCCCACCATGTTATATGGGAGCGAAACCTGGGTGCCGTACCGCGGACACATGAAGGCATTAAACAAGTTGTAACAGAGACACCTTAGACAACTCTTAAGAATCCGGTGGTTTCAAACGTATTTTCAAACGTGTCTCAAACGTATCGGTCCTTGAAAAAGCTAACTGCGAGAGTATTGAAGTCATGGTTACAAAATCCCGCTTAAGATGGGCTGGTCACGTATGCAGAATGCAAGCAAACCGCATATCAAAATCACTGCTTTACGGTGAGCTTGTAGACGGTAAGAGGAAACCGGGTGGACAACTCAGAAGATACAAAGATATTTTCCATGAAAACTTAGGGGATAAGTAAGTATGCAGCATCAGTGGGGGGAAGCAGCGCACAATAGAACGCAATGGAGGAGAATTGTAAACTCAGTTAACAACGACAACCAAAAAGTAAAGAGGCAACAAAGTAATGAGATTTCTGAATGACCGGAGTGTGGAAGAGAGATAACATCACGTAACGGGCTTTTTAGTCACAGAAAAGCTCATGAAAGAAAACGCCTTGAGTTTTCTCTGAACAATTTTGTGAACAATTTTCTGATGCGTGTCAAATACTCGTCAGCGAGTAATGGCAGTAGCAAGCAGATACAACAATGGTCACCAAAACAATCTTGTCATATTAAAAAATTACATCAGAAAGTAACGATAATTGAAAAAAAAATGCTAATTGATCAAGATCAGTTTATTTTGCTCTTAAAAATTAACCAAAGCATGTATTGACATGAATCAAAAAACAAAATACTCAGAAGTCATGGTTCTGATTTTAAAAATAATACCAACTTGGTAATACATTGTTGAATATTAACCTCCATATCCAAATTAGAAAATAAACTAGAAAAATTGAGTATAAAGATTAATTATTTACTTATAAAACGTAAACATTTTTTGGACTTCTCTTATTTCGTGGTTCCCTCTCAGCAAGCTCACTTTGTTCGGACTTTGCAACTTGTAAGACAGCAAATACGATATGACTTCAATACTGTATGAACCTCTGTCAACGTAATCCCCCAAGAACAACAGGCGACAGGGACTCAAACCTGGACCGATGTGCCAAAGCGTTCTTTCGAAATAGAGCAAGTCTGCCACGTTTCCATGTAAGTCACCTAAAATAAACGAGTCGCATTTAAATTTTGAAGTTCTACTACTTTAGCTGTTTGTTAAATATCCTAATATAATTGATCGGAGCGATCCACATCAAAATATTTCAGCAAAATTTGTCAATTCATTTTAAATTTAGTTTTAGTTTTGACTTTGTTATTTTTATGAAATCGACATGTTTTTCAATGTAAAAATTGATATTTATCCATAAAACTATAAATCAAGAAAAAAAAATTAAATAATAAAAAACTACACTCAGATGCAAAAAAAACGCAACGGAGAAAATTTTGCTCAAATTTAAACTTATATTTTTGTTGTTTTTAGCCCTATTAATGTATTTTTTAGCAAGCTGTATATAATTATAATATCAACTTTAATTTGTAATCTCATTTTTTTATAAACTTTAGTATTTGGTATATTATACAGGATTAATCGAGGGGTTGTTTTTTACTTTAACTTTGACACACCCTGTGCAATAATTTCGTTTGTAAATTTTCCTGAAAAATAATTTTAGGGTCAGAACTAACGATGGGAACTATTGAATGAATTAGACTATCGAATGGTTAATGAATGAATGATTTCAACTATCGAATGGTTTTATTCGAATAAAATCATTCATTCATTTGTAAACTAAAGCATATGTGACAACCTCGCCGTGCGACTAAATGGTTATCGTTGAGCCACGGCACTATCGAATGCTTTTGATAAATGAAATTTAGTATTCGTTTGATTTTTGTATGCGTCAGTGCATTATTGATTCTTCCAAATTTTTATAACTTCGCCGTATAAATACTGTGCTATTTTTGCGTTTAATAGTTAAAATACTAAAATAGTAATTTTTTAATTTTATTTATTGACGATTGTGTGCATGTGCAGGTGGTCAAAATTTTTCCGATAATTTGTGTGGTTTTCCGTAGTCCGATCTTTCAATTATTTAATTTTATATGGTATATGGTCTATTTTTTAATGGGAAATTTTGAGAAGTAGCAATTTTTAAGGGAGATGAGATGAACTTACAATTAATTTTAAAAATACATATTTGTATTTTAGATGTTTTAATAATATGAATTAGTAGAACTTAATAATATTATATTTAAGTAATGTGGTTAAATAAATGGTGATCGAACTCAGAAAAAATTAAAATGAAAGTTTTACACGTGCCAATTTAAAAAAAAAGTTAACGATGTTTGTATTTTGTTTATGGTAATTCTCTTACATGTAGTTTTTTGCGAAGAAATATTTCATTTATTTTTTAAAGTAAATGCCAGTAAAAGTAAATATAATTTTTAAATAGTAATATAAAGCACCTAATATAAATAATTTTGATTTCTAATTTTTTATTTATATTTTAATATTTATATTTCATTTTTGATTTTAAAATTTGTTGTTAATATAACAAATTAGTTCTGTAATTATTATTATTTAATAAACCAACGTTGTCAAAAAATTTAGAGACTATATTATTTTTAAATAGGATCTAATATAAATAATTTTGACATCTAATTTGTTGTTTATATTTTGCTACTACTTAAAAAAAATATTTATATTAAATGATTATTTATTATTTAAATTTTGTTGTCAATAGGTATAACAAATTATTACTGTTATTATTATTTATTAAACCAGTCTTTGCTTAAAAACATTAAAAATCATTTTCCTCTACATCCAAAATAACAAGTATTATTGCAGTGTAACAACAGAATATTAATAAAAAAAATGTAGAATATATAGACATACTATCCCTAACTAACTAAAGCCAAACAATAATATTCTTTGCTAATATCAACTAATACAAAAATATGGCAACAGCGCCCTTCATAATGTATTTTCTGTGTAAATACTAGCACCTCAATAAAAAAAAAAATAATGTGTCCTTATCTATATCTGACTCCGCAAAATCAAAGATGCCGGCTTCTTTCATAGCATTGCCACCGACCGCTGTCGGCTTCTCTCGAAAGAAACCTACGTCGCCGGGCGACAACTAAAATTCAGTTAATATTTTATTATAATCGATCCTGACGTATAAATGAATTTCATAAATGAATGAATTTTATAAATGAATGGTTTTTGCTGCCGAATTACTAAAATACAATATTTCAAGGCAGATGACGGATCTATTCGATAATTTTTATTCGAATAGTTTTCAACGAATGTTTTCTTACCAACTATCGAATTATTCGAATGAATTACAACTATCGAATGTTTCGATAGTATTCATTCGATAGTTCCCACTACTAGTCAGAACCATGTCCCCTGAGCATTTTGTTTTTGGATCATGTCAATACATGCCGTGGTTAATTTTCAGAGCAAAATGAACTCGCCACCAACAATTTGCAAGTTTTTTTTTTCAATATGATAAGGCAGCTTTAGTAATAATTATTGTGAACTATATACTACTATGAACTTCCCATAATGTTCGACGTTTGGGAAATGCTTGGCAGGAGGTCGCGAAGCGTTACCAGCTTCATTAAATGAACTTCGCTTGGTCCTTAAAGAAGAATGGAAAAACATAACCATAGACAAACAAATAAAAGAGACTGGCAAATTAAATGGCAAAGAGAGGGACAACGTTCCTGTAGCGCAACTCAGAACGCAAAATTTCGTTCTCTTTATGTTGATCTGCGCATTGCGTCTATTGGGCCCACTATCTCATTCTAATATAACAAGAGAGAAAGAAGCAGTCATATAAAACGTAATTTCTAAATAGAAATTAGAACAATCGCCTTTTCGTTTTCGTCATCATGACAACCAAGATGACAACATCATGACAATTCGTAATGTTTGTTAATTTTTCTTTTGGTGATTTACCTTTTTTCTAAACTCTCCATTTTATTGACTTATGAATATGGGTAGGAAACAAATTCCTTTGTTCCATATAGGTATTTATATTTTGTTACTTATAATTTTAGGTTATACTATTTGTTATTTTATTTGCTGCAGGAGCCAGTATCATGATACAAAGAATACAAGGTATGATATTGCGCAGGTTGGTCACTACGTCACAGGTGATAAACGGCACCATTGGTCGGCAAGCTCTGCGCGCCAATTTCAAATTGTCAAACAGATTGTGTCAAAATGTGAAAATTTGATTGTGTCAAAATGTGAAAATAATTTTTCAAATGTCAAGCTCGATGTCAAAACATAAGTTTTGGGGTTATGTCCTAATTCTTCCCTATTTTAGGTCTTTTTTTATTAGTGGCAATGGAACAATATGTATATTTTTTTGTATGGCGTATGACGTCACAGGTGGTATGCGCAAACTTAACGAAATTGGAGCCACTATCGATCATACCTTGTTTTCTTTGTACCATGAGCCAGTATCATCTATTTTCTATATGTATTGGTGCCCCCTTTCTCTGATAGATATGTTAAAGACACCAGGTAAAATAAAAGTAAGTAGTTATATGTATCATCTTATTAAGAAAAAGTAGAAGTAGTAGTGTCAAAAATATTTCGAACCTCTCTTAACATAACAAATTAATACAATTAATTTTTTTCATTTTTTGGGTAGGTAGTTTATAGCTGCTTTATAGTAACCAGAAACTTTATTAATATACCTATTTTACTTTTGTTTTAGGACTAAAACTGGACTTGAATGGTTCAGGATGAATGGAAATGGTTCAGGATCATGATTCTCGTAAAGTCTTTTTTGCTTGGATATTCACTTTGTTATTGCAATTAGGCAGTCTTTTCGAAAATGATATTTTTAAGGCCCTTTAAAAAAATTGGCCGATCGTTGCCTGCAACAGTCAGTTCTTCTGCATTTAAAATTGGTTGGTGGGTGGAATAAACACTGTTATTTTTTGTTATTATATTATAAAAAGTTTATTTATTTTTATGTATAAATAAATATGTTTATAAAACAGTACAATTTTTGCTTTTTTTATAATTTCCCTTATAATAGTAGTATTCTTTCGTTCTGAAAGAAACTGCAAATTTTCACTTAAACTGATTTATTCCCTACACCACGTTCCCTTTACGTAGTATAGGGAATATGTATAATCAGTTTAAGTGAAAATTTTCAGTTTCAGAATGAAAGAATACTACTAATAATGGCTAATTTAAATTTTCCGCCAGCCGGACTGTGCGATAATGTCTTATGATACGTTTTATACCTATCTCTTTCTTTTTCATATAAAGCACACATAATAAAGAAAGATAGCAATAAAGACGTACGTCCTGCCATGGTCCTGCTAATTGGTTTCAAAATTCTTATTCTGAGTTGCGCTACGGGAACGCGGTTCCACTCTTTACCATGAGATTTGTTACTCTCTTTTTATTTGTTTGTCTATGAACATAACGCAATATGATATATGCAGCCTCAATGACAGTATGAACAAACGTATACAGGCAGTTATAGCAGCCAGGGGAAGCAATACAGAGTATTAGGGTATTTTTTACAATTTTCTTTTCTGTTTGTATGCTTCAGTATTACAGATCTTTTCCTTAATATCGTTAGTTCTGTTATCGTTATTAATGTTTATTAAAACCAGGACTGTATCGTTAGTCTTTAACGTTTTTTTTAATTTAGTATAGAGTATCCGATGCAGCGTAATATAACGTTATGATAATAGTCACCAAAACCATCTCGTCTTTTTAAAAATTACATCAGAAGTAATGATAACTGAAAAAATTGCAAATTGATCGTGATCAGTACATTTCGCTCTTAAAAATTAACCAAAGCATGCATTAATCCAAAAATTTAATGATCAATTAAATGATCCAAAAAACAAAATGCTCAGGAGACATGGTTCTTACCGTAAAATTCTATTTTAGGAAAATTTACATACGAAATTATAGCACAGGGTGTTTTAAAGTTAGGATAAACCCCTCGATTAACCCTGTATAATATGCCAATTACTAAAGTTTACAAAAAACTGAGTTTACAAATTAAAGTTGATATAACTATATACAGTTTGTTAAAAAATGCATACAAATAGGGCTAAAAATAACAAAAATATAACACTTTAAATTTGACCAAAAATTTCTCTGTTTTTTTTTGCATCTGAGTGTATATTATAAAGAAACTATTACACTAATGTCTCGCCAATATAGTGCAGATACGTTATTAGTGTAACCAGGACGGCACTTAGCAATCCTAAAAGTCGAAAATACGGACCAAATTGAAAAATTCGTTCTGAAACATGTTTGATTAGCAAAGTGATTCTTTCGTCCCCAATAGCAATATAAGATCATTATCACAATTGAGATATATTTGATATCAATTAAACTTTTCTCTGCTATAAAAAATGTCAAGTTGCCACATTTAGTTATTTATTTCCTGACATTGTCAATCGTTTTGACACTTTAGTTTTGTATTACGAGTTATGTTTACTAACAGACCTTGCAGTCGAATATTGTTTCTTTTTATAACCTCTTTTAGTGCGAAGTGTACAAGATAGCTTAATAGCCGTAAAAAACTCATCGCGACTTTATTAGAATATCTGGAGCGGGAAAGCGGTAGTAATGGCCCTTTATGTCCCTTAAGTGCTGTTAAGAAGGTAAGTTATGTTGATGTAAATAATAACTGTTTATATATTTATAATTAATTTATTTTTGTTTACTAAAATATTTTGATTAAAAGAAAATATGCAAAAGTGGGCAACGCTGTGCCGATCAAGCTTAATCACATAACTAAAAGTTTATTTGATATGAACTATAACTATACATCGCTTAAAGATAAATATGTTGCATCTAATAAATGTTCCACTTGAAAACTTCACTTTAATCAATACTTTCTAGTACATATTATGTGATTCATCTTCGACAAAGCTTAACTGTTTCCATTTATTACAAACTTCCGCTTTTGCATACAACATTAATTAGACTAAAGTAATATAAACGTACAATTTATGACGACTGAAGACGGAACGACAAATACCGCTTTCATCAATAAGGAGACAAAAGGAAAATATAACAAGTAAATACTGCCTGCCTTCATACGTATCTATATTATTAGATATTACACAAAGTATATTTACATAAAATTATATTTACTATTCTACTTCATTAAAAATTTATATATTTTTGAGAAAATTTATAATTCAGGTTTAAATATATAACTCTCTAAATTGACGAAATATCTAGAATGCTTTGAATACAGTAAATATTTTGAATACAGTAAATATTTTAACAATAAATTATACTTGTGAGACTTTTGGAAGCTATGAAAAAAAAACAATATAAACGTGGAGCTAACAAAAGCAGTGAAATCATTATATGCCTAAACAAACAAAAACTAGAATAAAAGTCGGCAAAAAGTTAACTACAGGATTTAATGGAACCAAAGGTCTCAAACAAGGGTACTGTATTTCACCAACACTGTTCAAGATCTATCTCGAACAAGTTCTCAAAGATTGTAAGTAAAAATGTAGAAATAGAGTACCCATAAGGGGATAACATGCTTTACACACTGTGCTTCGCGGACGATCAGGTGCTCATAGCACAAGATTACGATGACATAAATTATATGACACGTAAGCTTATACTCGTAGAAGAATATCAGAAATGGGGACTCGAAATTAATACTAACAAAACAGAATATATGGGTATCGGAGGAGAACAATAAGACCTAATACTAGAAGATAAAAATACAAATATTTGGGTATAGAAATCACAAATGATGGCCTGTTGGATACAGCAATTAAAGAACAAAACCAACTTGGAAGGTATGCTATCACGGTATTAAATGGGATACTGTGGGATAGAAGCATAAACAACAGGAACAAAAGACTAGCATATAATACCATCATCAAGAGTATAACCCAGTACAGCTGTAAAGTGTAGCCAATTAAGGAAACAACAAAACGAATGCTGGAAGATATAGAGATGGATTTTTGGAGGAGAGCAGCAGGCAAATCAAGACTCGAACAAATGACTAATGAACGCATAAGAGAGAATATGGTTAAACATACAATAGTGGACGAGATAAAGAACAGACAACTCATAAGGTACGGACATGTTCAACGAATGGCAGAAAGAAGAATCCCAAAGCAAATCATAAACTGGCAACCTGCAGTAAGGAGAAAACCGGGTAGACCGAGAAGTTGGAAGGAAGGGATTGACACGTTTATGGAGGAAAGAGCTCTCGAAGACGGTGCATGGAGAGACAGACAGGCATGGAGAGATGGCATTGGAAGACGTAGAACGTTTTAAACCGATTAATATATATAACAATAATTATATTGGATGTATTATATAAGTAAAAAAAAATGATTAAATATAATATAATGACACCACTAAAACATGCACCCCTAAATACAAAAATCAAAAGAAACATCCTTTGGAATAGCACAGTCTTCTAACAGTAAACCTAATCTGTTTGTTACTGTTTTATTGTTTTAAGAATAAATTAATTTTTTGTTTACTAATCTGAATACAGAAACTATGGATGATGAAAAGAGATTTAAGTAAGTACAAAATAAAAGTAAAAAATGCGAATCATACATCTGTCAATTGTGACATTTTTTGAATAATATGTTATTTAGAAGAAAGTACAAATATACTTCATTATTGAAAAGTAACTTCAGTAAACAAAAGTAATATATATAAAATAAAATTAATATTTTTTATATCTAAACAATTTTTTTAACTTACTGTCATTTACCAAAAAAAATATTTTTTTAATAGCTAAAACCATACTGATTTTAGTTAAGTTTTATTTTTATTAAAAAAAATAATTGCTTAACAAACCATATTTTATTCACTCATTAGGGAGCAAGTTGGGTAACATTCTAGCGAATGGAGTTTGTGTGTGGACCAAGATTCGTAATATGTGTGTTAGTTCGCCAAAATCTTTCTAAGCATGTTGCTTAATAAAAAATGTTAAGTAAAGATGACATAACAACTTCGTCACAAAGTTCTATTTTATGTTAAGATTTCTAAAAATTTTTGTGATCAAGTAAGAAAAATAAAAGGAACCACGACAAAGAGTGCGATATTCTTTAGACATTATAGATATCTTTATTTTGATAATATAACAAAATAGGAATGTTAAATACTTAACCGTAGATGAAGCTAAAAACAAAGCAAAGTTCTATATAAAATAAAAATAGAATAAGAGAAGTAAAAAAACCACAAGTGTGCTATTTTTTGATGATGGGAATAAATTCCAGAAACCGGTCATCAGGTGGTTGTTCCTTTCAGTCTAATAAACTTAATGCAGAAATTAACACACTTGTACTGTTTAAGACATTTTTACTTCTCTGTGTGCCATTTTTACTTGGTTAAATACTGACCCATTATATACACCGGAGAACTCAACTCCAATAGCCTGGCTTGGTTGCGCATGATCTCCCTTACTTGATTGCACACTTGGATCAGATTTCTGGCGAATATATTTGGATCTAACTGGCCCCAGGTGTAAGAAGTTTTGCTGTCTTTAACGTTATTGATAGTGGTGAGGTACCTAAGACCTTTAAGTACTTCATTGGTGACGGAACGTTGGCTGAATATATCCATAGATAGCCGTTTGGTTTGTTCGTTCATCGGTTGCTTTATAGTTGTGGCAGATACAGCTTCTTGAATCTAAACAAATGTTTACACAGTAAAAAACAATGTCTTAGATTGAGCATTCTCCGCCTGTGCTGCCACCATGGGAGAATATTCCCAAGCAGCATTTGGACGTCGGGACAGCGTTGCGTCACGCGACCAAAGGTCGGGGCGCAAAGTCGGCAAAACCTCGTGCCAACCCTAGTCTGCACTAGTTTGGGGAATAATTTTTGGGTCGAAACGACGTTGGATACCTACGTTGGGTAGCAGCCTAATTTAGTACAAACTGCAACGTTGTTTAAAATTCTAATTTACCGAAATACAAAACTATAATAATATGGCGTCTATGTCGCGTTTTATCCCAAATTGGGATAATTATAATAAAAATATTATTTTTATAATTTAGTTAGAGACATATGCCAGACGGCAGTAAAGGAAAACAAAACAAAAGTATTTAAGTGTGGAGGATGTTTGAAGATCATAATTATTGAAACACTTTAACCAACTCTGTAACTCTCGTTACCAAAGGCAAAAAAGTTAAACGCAAACAACTTTATTGATAAATGTATTGTTTCTACTTTGAAAAATACTAATGGGCCTTAAAATTAAAGAAGTTTTAAAAAAATTCTTGAATTTTTTTTTAGTAAAATGAGAATAATTTATTCGCAGTCGAGAAAAAATTGTTTTCGCGTGTTGTTTAGGGTCAAATATTTCAAGTTAATGTATTCCAAAAGCAGGAATTGCTATTATTCAACAACATGGCGGCTTTCACTTTTTTGCTTTGGAGATTAAGATGGAGTAGTTCGAGTAGCCGCATACTGAACTAATAAAGTCGAAGTTCAGCCTTAACAGGTAGTATACTAGTCGCAAGATTGCCTAATTTAGTCAATCTAGAGTCTAGCTTGTGACGCCCTCTAAACTTTAAATAAACGACGGAGTGGATAAAGTATCGGTAATATGTCGATGTATATTTAAATTTAGTTTTATATGTGCCTTTCTTACGTCCCATTTTAATTAAGTTTTTTTTTTATAAAAACAAAAACAGCACTGAACTGTCTGACTGAACAGAACAATGAAGTGAAAATTTAAAATTTAAGGTTATGGTTCAATACAGTTGCATAAAGGTAGTGGCTCGACGTCCTACCAACGTAAGAGTAGGGAAATCTAAACAACGTTGGAATTAGTAAAACAGACGACGTTTGCATAACGTTGGAATAGATCCTGAAAGTGACGTCGGAAAACACTTTATTACCCAACATTGTACGTTGTCCGAATCACCCAAAGACACTTAAGCAAAAAAGGTTACAAGACAACGTTTATTCGACGTCGCAGAAGCTTTTACTTTGTTGTAGTACTAGTTCAACGTCGGCACAACGTTACAACAACGTTTACATTTATTTTAATAACCAAGGTACGGAGCTAACTATTTTTTGTTACTAATCCAACGTTGTGTTTAGTAAACATGTGGTCGCAAGTCGTGAAAATGCTACTTGGGTTGTAAACAACCGGCATATACAAATACACGGGTTTAAATAAAACTTGACGCCGGTTACGGTACTCACTTCTTTCATCTCTTCGATGTTAATTGCTTGACCGCTTCTTTGTATTTTTACTGTATGAAGTGCAATTTCATAATCGGGATTTTTTATTGTCATTTTTCCTCTTGGATTTTCAATTGGGGCTCCATAAACTGGACTTGCCTTTGTAACAGGTGCTCGAGTAATGCTCGGCCTTCTTTCACTAAACAAAAAAACATACTGTATGATCGAAAAAAGGGCGTTAAATCGGCTTAGAAACGACGATTGACGACATTCGCCATATAATGATATGAAATGACAGCGATCTTCACTCCCAAACCAAATCTTATACAGGGTGTCCCAGAAATAAGTGCAAGTATTTTAAGGGGTGGTACATCTCGATAAAAGAAACATATTTTCTCTTTATCGTTTTTCAAATAAGTCCAAAATAACAAAGTTATTTTACTTTGAAAATTTCCAAAAAAAAAGATTTTTTGCTCAAATTTTGAGAACCACTGGATCTGTTCTCGATTTTCTTTCTTGTAAATTTAATCTACTACCTATGTTGCCATATTATTAAGAATTATCTTTTTTAACTAAAAAAATTCAAAAAATTTTAAAAAAAAATTTAAATTTCCAAAAAAAAAAATTCGTTAAAAAAAACCTCATAGGCGTGTTTCTGGGGTTGAACTATACTACCAATTAAAATACTTGCACTTATTTCTGGGACACGCACGAGATACAAAGAAGAATAGGACTAACATGGGCAGCATTCGGCAAACTAAGATATGTGTTAAAATCAGATCTACGAATGTGCTTAAAGAGGAAGGTGTTCCATCAGTGCGTTATGCCAGTACTTACATATGGCGCAGAGACATTTACACTGACGAAAAAGTCCATAGAAAAAATCCGTGTAGCCCAACGAGCTATGAAAAGAGCAATGCTTGGTATATCTCTAAGAGACAAGATACTCAGTACAGTTATAAAATAGCGTACACGAATAACAGATGCTATATATCTGCTTAAAAACTCAAATGGAACTGGGCTGGGTATATTGCCAGAAGAAGGGATGATAGATGGACCAAGCTAATACTAGAATGGCGGCCAAGACTGGATGCTCTCAGAAACAGAGGCAGACCTCCGACAAGATGGTCAGATGACTTTAAGAGATTTAGGGAAAACTGGATCCAAGTGGCACAGGACCGAGAAGAGTGGAAAGATTTGAGGGAGGCCTACGCCAGCAGTGGACACTTCAGGCTGGTTGATGATGATGATGATTTCTGGGACACTTTGTACAACCAACATTAACTTAATTTCCAAACCAATATTAAAAAATATTTTGATCATTCACTTGTTGTTTTAGTGCTAAATGTTTTCACTCTAATAAAAACTTTTATGAAGTAGTGTAGATCAGGGTTTCCAAACCGGGATCCCGGTGTATATTTATCGCCAAAATCCCGATATTAAATCCTGGAATCTCGAAAATATTAACATATAAACAAAACAAAATATAGCAAACACGGAAAAAAAATCCATATTTGCTATATTTTTTTAGAACAAGAATTGTATTTTTTTACTTACTAAATATATATGTTACTTTATTTTGTGTATTTTAACAAAACTCTTTTCTCATTTTCTTTTTAATTCATACAGGGTGGCGCCTCTCATGCGACGCGGTGGCTATGATTCTATCAGTTGGTAACCGCAGTGTGCATTCCCCAATTAATAGAATACTTAAATGCTCCTGTTTATCTATATAGGCTGGACTTCTTTAAAAAACATTAAAGACAGTATTTACAAAACCCAACCAACTATTTGCCTTTTAATATACAAGAAACAAACAAGAACAAGAACTCCACATTTTATGAAATGAAAAGGAAAGGAAGCATTTTGAGCATTTGATTTCATCCAGCTAATTTTTATCACATAATTATACGTTTATATCTATAGGTTTAATTCTGTAATAATTAAAATATGTTTTAAACTTGTATCTTTTTATTACCGTTTAGTAGTTTACTCTACATCCTTTAGTTTTTGTTAAATTAACAAAAAGTATATCACAGCCACCTAGATTGTGTCAAATATTAAACATCAAACTGATGCAATATCATATAAATAAAAATATCTAAGAAAATCTTTGTCTGGGAGGTAGGCAACCTTAATAATATTTTGAAGATATATAAATTCTCCACTAATTATCAAAATAATATACTGAGTGTTCCATTTAAAATGAAGGAGTAACTTTCTTTTAAAAGTGGCCAATCTTCATTATTAATTTTGTCTCACCATATATAACTTTTTTTTTTAATTTGGTTTAGCATACAGGCTATACAAGGTAAGTTAAAATTTTAGTAGCAGTTAGTAAAATTTAAAGTTTATTTCTCATTTTCACAAAATGTGAAATATGTGAAAATCCTTAAATTTTGGGCAAATGCTTCTCTAATAAAACTCAACTTTATTTTTTTCCTAGAATCCGAAAATCAATTAATATACTAAGGGCTGGCAAAGGTTAGTCTTGGGTTCAGATTTCTGTATGTATGAAGAGTACAATGCGTTTATAACGTACTGAACAAAGAGAGAAGAGTAAACACGTTGCCAAACGTATTTAATAAACCGAGAAACTATGCACATTGCTAAAAGACGTGGTAGGGGATATATCCGATTTGTCGCAGTCGACTGCTCGACCCAATCAGTACCTCTGTCAGTACTTAAAGTTCTAGGGAAAGGTGTACATTATGCGTTCAGCTTCATGATTTAATTACATCTCGTGATTTTTTATTTGTTTATTTATTAACGAGTCTTTGTAATTTTCACTATAGCTTGAAAAATTTTAAGTGCAAGTTAGAAACACTTCCATTTTTGGTAAAAATAAGTGGAATTGAGTTGGTGTTGTAGCGTTTTTTATAACCACTGCGAACGGCAGCTTTTCATCGGAGAGCAGTCGTGGATAAGGTATTTCACTGGAAAGAAAATTAAGTAATAACAATAAACAAAGAAATAAATATTGGGCGCCAGGCATGTACAGAGAAAGAAAACACAGTTGTATATTACTTAAAACTAATGACTATATTTATTCAAAATGGACTGTGACGGTAAATAGCATTGTACAATTTTAATAATTATTATAGTAGTTATATGTCAACAAAAGTGGTGTTAAGAATTGTACTAAATATCTATGAAAACAATACCATTACAAGACGTAATGTAATGAAACCTAAGATATAAATAATATTTTAAATATTAAATCGACATGAATGTGCTTAACAATCTAACCACTAAACATAGTCTGTACGATATTACTTAAGATGTACGTTATTGTTTAAGACTGAAAATGTTTTAGATGTTAAATGTAAAACTAGAACTTAAATCTACACTTAGCTGTTCTTTATGTAATCTTGCTTCAAACAGTAACAGCGTGAGGTGGGCTCGCATCTCTGTACTCGGCCATCCAATACAACAAAAGAGGCCATAATGAGGACACCATGAATTGGAACAGCCGTAACTACTAACTAGCTTATTGATGGGAACGAGGCAGCATGGGGTTCAAGCTACATCCACGCTGGGGCACTTTATATGCAAGAAAAATCATTCCTACTGGGGACACTAGTTCACAGGACATCCGTACATAGCATAATGGTACAAGGGAACACTACCCGTACCTTGGACCATAACTTAGGACTATAACCTTGGAAATAGTCCGTACCTTGGATACAGTCCGTCCATAAGATAACGGTACAGGGGAACACTACCCGTACCTTGGATACTACTAGGACCTTGGATAATGCCCTTACCTTGTAAATAGTCCGTACCTTGGACCCTAAATATATGAAACTCTTGTTTAAAATCAAACAAGGTCTAATAAACAAAATGAACCTACCTCGAATTACTTCCGAGGGCTCACTAAATAATAAAGAACATGTCCTTTCTTCCATGTGACATTCTGGAGGACAAAAGAAAAGGGACGCCAACGTGCCAGCAAAATACAAATACAAGTTAGGTTGGGACATCCAAAACTCTACCCTAAAAATATGAAGTAATAATATCGAATCTAAAAGGATAATATTTCATCTTTACCTGTTGCCTTGAAATAGCAGCTGATTCAGATTATACAGCAAGATTTAAATAATCACCATTTCTAAAAGCCGGGATGGTTAGGTTAGGCCAAGGTTAGGCTACAGAGCGCTAAAAGCAAAAGTCAGTCGACAGCACAGAGAGTTGACAGAAGCGATGTTGACAGCGCCTCCACAGAGCGATAACAGGGTTGTGTCAAACGATAACAGGGTTGTGGACTAGAGAACGTAAAAATTCGTCAAATAAATTATCCGGCCGGAACGATAGGGAATCCGGTGATGATACGCCAGACATCATATATCATAATCAAAGACATGTAACGAACCAAAAATGTTACAGCGTTCGACAGTGGTCGCGCATTCAATCAATTCAATCAATTCAAAAATCGATATCTTGAAATCTATTAGAAATAATTTAGAAATAATTGTAGTTTGGTTCAAAAAATTTCTTAAGATATCTGCTATACTTTCATCGCAGACAGTATGTGAAAATACCGGTCTTCAAAATGAAAAAAAAAGTTTCAATATCAAAAGTGGTTCTTTAGTTATGGCGTGTTCGTGTTAAAAAGTTGAGTTTTTAAATTATCGTAATTATCATGTTTTCTCCTTATGAAAAATGGACACTTTAACGATGCCCTTATAATTCCATTTCATATGCTCAGAAACATATCTAATGATTTTATCTAGTTATCTTTTCGGAAAAAAAAGTCTTCAAAATAAGCGGTTTGCGATCGTGATTTTACTTTACTTGACAGGGAAAGGCGTACCGGCAACGCTGCAACAACACGCCCTCGCATTTCTCTCACTCCGACTTAATAAGATTCCTATGCGATTTACTTCCACGCATGTAAATACCAACCCAAAAGTAACAGTTGCCAGCACGGTATACGGTGTTCCATTACAAAATATCCAACTTTGATTCGTAACTTTTCTTGGGAACACCCTGTAGAACTCTATATATTTTTATAAAATACTTTCAAATAACCTACATATGGCTCCAAAAATTTAATTTCGATATAAGTTACCGTTCTCCTTGGAGCCTCCGCGTCGTATAAAGGCGCCACACTGTATAGAGGATATATGTATAAGAAAGTATTAAAGATGTCAATAGTATTAAACATTGGTTAGAATAATTAATGCTGATGCTTACTTCACATCTTTCAAATAAATCGAAATACTGACGTTAGATCTGAAAATATGGGATGTTCCCCTAATTTTCAAGTCGCACACCGCTCTCAAAAAATCGTTCATGGCTAATCCTTGACTTTCTTGCAGTCCTAAAGACTTGTAAGTATCCTGTGTTTCCTTAGTCACACTTTGAGGATCAACTGCCAATTTTTTCGATTTTCTCAAGTCGAGTATTAGATTCTTAAATTCTTCTACTTTTAATACATTGTCCTTGTCCCGATCGTAGTACCTATAAAATAAATATTTCTTTGTTTTCTATTGGGTTTAGTGTTCAGGCTTTAGCTTTTAGCCAGTTAATTATTTTCTAAGAAACACCTTCTTAAAACTAACAGATATAATACTTAAACTATCAGAGAAAAGCGGAATTTGTCAAACAAAAAGAAATACTGAGGAAGCCATTCAGAGTTACATTAAGAGATGCACAGAACGCCTGAGTGCAAAAGAAAATAAGAAAATAAATTATATTTGTACTTGTATATATTTATTTAAACAAAGGATGTTATCGTGGAGACTATAATAAAAAGAAGAAAGAATTTATTGGGCAAGTCCACAGAAAGATTAGTCATGAGACATGACTAAAACATGACTACCCGTAGACACTCAGTGTTTCTGCCTTCCGGCTTCATCAATACGGGGGGAATCAGCTCTTTCAATCTTTTCTCTGGGCCAAGGTGATAGCGGCGAGGTGTGTTGGAACGCCTCCGCAGCGGTTTTTTCGGTAGTAACGTTTCAAATTGTAAGCTACTACCTAACCAGGCTGCAAATGGCACTTTTGTGCCTCGTTTGCTTCTCCTTTTTCTTTTTTCAGGATCGCTAGTTCATCGTTGCTGATTCCTCCCGTATTGATGAAGCCGGAAGGCAGAAACACTGAGTGTCTACGGGTAGTCATGTTTTAGTCATGTCTCATGACTAATCTTTCTATGGACTTGCCCAATAAATTCTTTCTTCTTTTTATTATAGTCTCCACGATAACATCCTTTGTTTATTGTTTTCTCTGGGCCAAGGTGATAGCGGCGAGGTGTGTTGGAACGCCTCCGCAGCGGTTTTTTCGGTAGTAACGCTTCAAATTGTAAGCTGCTGCCTAACCAGGCTGCAAATGGCGCCTTTGTGCCTCGTTTGCTTCTCCTTTTTCTTTTTTCAGGATCGCTAGTTCATCGTTGCTGATTCCTCCCGTATTGATGAAGCCGGAAAGCAGAAACACTGAGTGTCTACGGGTAGTCATGTTTTAGTCATGTCTCATGACTAATCTTTCTGTGGACTTGCCCAATAAATTCTTCCTTTATATTTATTTATATAGAGGTATTTATCCAATAAAGTCCAATAAAGTCAATATATACATTATTTGTGTTTATTTATCATTTTTTTAACACATATGTAGAAGTTATATACTTTAGAAGTTCTTTCTGAACCTCCCGAGGAGGTTCAAATAGACGTACAGGGGAAGTCCTTTCTGAACCTACCGAGGAAGTACATATCGGACGTACCGGGGATTCATGGTTTTGTAACAAAGGATATCCCTGGTATGTCCTGGGGACGTTCGCGGATGTTAAACGTACATCCTCGGGACGTCCAAATGTCCTAAACATATATCCTCAGGACATTCTGAGGATGTAAATGTGCGATCTGGGTATTACTATTCATAATTCTTGGAATTATGATCTACTTATTGTATTATATATCTAGTACGATATAAATTAACGAACTAAATACAGCCAGGAATAAAGTAGGTTTCAAAATGAATTTAGCAAAAACTAAAATAATGTACAGGGTGGTCGAAATTGGTCTGTTTTAACAGAGAAAACCTATTTCCTGACTAGATAGAGCAAAACCGACTTAGATGTCATGGGCTCGATTTCTGAGAAACGTTTAATGGCCTAAACCGTCTGTTCATATTTTGACTGCCAAGAGATACGGAGTCTTTTTGGATTTTTTACTATTTGGAAAATTGCCCATAACTTTTGTATTTCCCGAAATAATAAAATTCTGAAAAAACGTTCTTAAGGCACTTTTTTAAGCACAATCCAGTGGCGTAGTCAGTTTTTTTCTATACTTGCTTTTTTAGTCAGAAATAATAAAAAATGTAATGTTTTAAATGGAAATCATAGTTGGCTATGAACTTAAAAAAATGCTGGCGTTTAACCCTTTCCAACGATATAAAGTTATGTGTATTTCTTTCTAAAAATGAGAGAAATATTACGTTTTTTATCTTTGTATCCAAGCGGGCCTTGATTTTGTGTTGACCTATAGTTGCCTAATTATTTTTTACCACAATTGAATATTCTATATCATTATTTATCTGCATAATTAAAGTCTTTTGAAAAGGTAAATCAACATTCTATATTAGTATTACGATTTACAATTAAAAAGCCAGGGTTACAACGGCACTATTAAATGGAGAACTTAGAGAGAATTGGATTGGAACAAGGGATCCAATATCTTGGCCTGCTAGGTCCTGTGATCACAACCAACTATGATTTCCATTTAAAAAATTATATTTTTTATTATTTCTGACAAAAAGAACAAGCATAGAAAAAAACTGACTACGCCACTGGATTGTGCCTAAAAAAGTGCCTTAATAACGTTTTTACAGAATTTTATTATTCCGCAAAATAAAAAAGATATGGGCAATTTTCGAAATGGTAAAAAATTCAAAAAGACCCCGTATCTCAGTTGGCAGTCAAAATATCAACAGGCGGTTTACGCCATTAAACGTTTCTCAGAAATAGAGCCCATGACACCTATGTCGGTTTTGCTCTATCTAGTCAGGAAATAGGTTTTTTTCTGTTAAAACAGACCAATTTCGACCACCCTGTACAACGTACTAGTTCGTTGTACATTACTTTACAGACATATAGATTACTTTACAGACAGAACTAGCTTTCACTTTCGCTGAAAGTATGCATATACTTTTTTCAGTTTAACTGAAAATGTGTTCTCACGTTCATTATTCGTTCAGTATTACTGAATCAGTGAGACTGCTTCAGTGAGACCAGAGGTGAGACTGACCTCTGGTGACATCAGTCCATACTTGAGGCGTCAAATTGCAAAACCTGCCTTACCCTATGGCCTTACCCATTAAAAAAAAATTACCTAATAATACACATTAATAGTTGACCCTAAAATCTACATAAATATAGTCCCAAACTGATAATATATATTATAGTATACCGGGTGGTGCATCGTCGTTGGAAACATAGGAAATCACATGCAAATTTTGAACTGTTCAAATATTGGCTCCCCTATTGATTTTATGTTTTCACAGATCTCACGTACAAAGAACATTACTTTATTTTGCACCTAAATTGTTTAATGTAATTCCATATAACGTACGTATAATTAACCAGCAGAAAAAATTTAAGATTCTTTCAAAAAATACATAAATAAAAATAAATAAATAAGAAAAAAAGTGCGGTACACAAAATACTTGCATTGAACTAAACATAAGTTTTAAAATTCGTATTTTTTTTAAATGGAACACCCTATATATTATTACATTTTTAGTTTCTACGATTAAAATAAAGGTAAATTTGATTAAGGTTTATTACACTTAAACCGTTTTTGAAATATCTTCAATTTTGTGAAATTGCAGTATAAATTTTAAGGCTTCATTTCTCCGAGGGTATCAAAGTTTTTAATACTAAATATTTACTGAAATTTATTTATTGATCAGTTATTGTATTGCAATAATAAAAACTTTACTACCTTATACAGAGTGTCTAAAAATTTATTTTAAATAATTACTAGCTTTAAACGGCAATATCTTGTTTAATTTAAATGGAACATCCTGTATATTTTATGCGAATCAGATGCACAATTTAATTGTCTATCAAATTGTATTATACCATTTTTTACCTATCTCTTCAAGTTTCCGTAGAAAATGCATTTTCTTGTAATTTAGAACTCATTTATCAATATACCCATGGAATACTGACATTTTAGATTATTTTTAAAGATGTACCAAATTATTAAAGAGTACAGATACTAATATTGTCGATATAGTTCGTTTATTTCATTAAAAAATAAAAAAAAACTGTTTAAATATTTGTTAAAGAGGACCAATTAATATGATTTCAGTATTCAAACTACATTAATTGACTGTTTGCGTTGATTAATAATAATTGCTCCAAATACTAAAAAACTGAATTATGTATGTGTATTAGACAGTGTGGTAAAAAGTAACACCTTAAAAATTATATTTAATTTTTTGACAAATGCTTATTTGTAACAACAGAGACGTTCTATTTCATAACTTATTATTATATTGATTTCTGATTGAAATCCACATTTATTTAGAATAATTTATTAACGAACACAATTAAGTATGTAGTTAATTAGTATTTGGGCGGAAATACTGGTGGTATATTTAATTAATGGTATACTCTTTTATAAAGATTTAAATAGTTTTCTTTTAGCATACAAATGGGCTAATTTTTACTAAAACGATAATATTACTAGTCTGTACATTTTGTACATTTGTTGTTATAAAAACAATCTAAAATGTCAATATTCCATGGGTATATTGATAAATGAGGTCTAAATTATAAGAAAATGCATTTTCTACGAAAACTTGAAGGTATAGGTAAGAAATGGTATAATACAATTTGATAGACAATTAAATTGTGCATTTGATTCTCATAAAATATACAGGGGGTTCTATTTAAAGTAAATAAGTTATTGCCGTTTAAAGCTAGTAATTATTTAAAATAAATTTTTAGACACTCTGTATAAGGTAGTATAATTTTTATTATTCCAACACAATAACTGATCAATAAATAAACTTCAGTAAATATTTAGTATTAAAAACTTTGATATCCTCCGAGAAATGAAGCCTTAAAATTTATACTGCAATTTATTGTCTGCAAAATATTTCAAAAACGGTAAGGTTTAAGTGTAATAAACCTTAATCAAATTTACCTTTATTTTAATCGTAGAAACTAAAAATGCAATAATATACAGGGTGTTCCATTTAAAAAAATACAACTTTGATATTTTTTATTTATTTGGGACACTCTGTATCTCGTAAAAATATTTTTAAATTGTAGCTCTAATAGTCCTTCAACGAACCCAAAACTTACAATTTGTAAAAATCTAATCGTTTAGCTACAATACCCCGTGTCGTATGTGGTGAACAACCCTGTATACATAAAATGTACATCCCGCTGACCTCTCTCATCCCCGCCAATTGCCGCTCCTTATTGGGACACTTGTGCTTGTTTTATATTTGTTTTAGTGCAAGAAATTTATTCACACTGGGTTTTTGAGTTTTTTTTGTTTCGACTGTTGTAATTTCGGTTTGCGTATTTATGGTTATTTTCTTTCTGTTGCACCTATAATTCATTTCTTTCATGTAGTTATTAGTTATTATTAGAGTGTCTAGCACACACAGCAATTTAATTTGCTAGGTGCTATGAAACTATAAATGTATGTATATGACTAAATATGTAACGAAATTTTATTGAAATTTTCGTAATATTTGTTGATGTAAATCAATTTAGCAATAAATAAAATAAAAAATAAAAATAAATATAGCAAACCCGTAAAAAGATTTTTTTAATGTCTAGGTTTGGTTTGGCCTATTTTGAGTAATTTGAGAAAAACTGAATCGATTTTTAAATTAAAACTGAATAGGTAACAATCAAACATCAGTCAAAAACTGACATACCTTGATTTGTCAGCGTCAATTTCGAACGTAATATTAATAAAATTTTAATATTCATTACTAATAATTTATTGTTATTCACGTAAATAATAAGTGAGCATGGTAAAATGGTACTACGCCGGGAAATAGCTTAGACAGTGTATCTGACATGTTTCGGTTAATTTCCCCTGAATATTAAAATTAAATTACTTTTGACAATGACAAAATCATAGTTTGTAAACCTAAGGTATGTCAGATTTTGACTGGTGTTTGATTATGTCTGTTCGTTTTTAAATTAAAAATAGATGCAATTTTTCTTAAATAACGCAAAATGGGCTGGTCCAAAATTGTTCAAATTTGGCATGTCTATTTACCACACATAAACTTTAAAAAATCTATTCACGATTTCGCTGTAAAATGAATAGGGAAGCCAATATTTGAACAATTCAAAATTTGCATGGGATTTCCCGTTTCCAACGACGATGCACCACCCAGTATACTCTACACCGGGGTTTTGATACAATTTGATTAATTAAATAATATATTGTATATATTAATTAAATAATATTGTTGTATAGATAATATAGTATTACTACTGACGTATCTTGTCCATTTCAAATCCTTACCTAACTTTAATAAAATAGCATACCTAATAATTCCAAGTTAGGATGCAAATTAGTAGTGGAAACTATCGAATGAACACTATCGAAACATTCGATAGTTGCAATTCATTCGAATAATTCGATAGCTAGTAAGAAAACATTCGTCGAAAACTATTCGAATAAAAATATCGAATAGATGGGTCATCTGCCTTGAAATATATTAATTCGGCAGCAAAAACCATTCATTTATAAAATTCATTCATTTGTAAAATTGATTTATTCGTCAGGATCGATTATAATAAAATTTAAACTGGATTTTAGTTGTCGCGCGGCGACGTAGGTTTCTTTCCTAGAAACCCGACAGTGGTCGGCGGTCGGTGGCAATGGCAAAGAGTAGAAGTCTTATCTACTCTTTGGCAATGGTATGAAAAAAGCCGGCATCTTTGATTTTTTGCGGAGTCAGATAAAGATAAGGACACATTATTTTTTTTATTGAGGTGCTAGTATTTACACAGAAAATACATTATGAACGGCTCTGTTGCCGTATATTCGTATTAGTTGGTATTAGCAAAGAATATTATTCTTTGGTATTATAGTTAGTTAGGGATAATATGACTGTATATTTTGCATTTTTTTATTAATATTCTGTTGTTACACTGCAATAATACTTTTTATTTTGGATGTAGGAAAATGACTTTTAATGTTTTTAAGCAAAATTGGTTTAATAAATAATAATAACAGTAATAATTTGTTATACCTATTAACACCAAAATTTAAAATCATTTAATATAAACATATTTTTTAAGTAGTAGCAAAATATAAACAACAAATTAGAAGTTAAAATTATTTATATTAGATCCTATTTAAAAATAATATAATCTCTAATTTTTTTCGCAACGTTGGATTATTAAATAATAATAATTACAGAACTAATTTGTTATATTAACAACAAATTTTAAAATCATGAAATATAAACATTTATTAATTTTCTAAGCATAGAAGAAAAATATAAATAAAAAATTAGAAATCAAAATTATATATGTGTATTACTTTTTATTACTTTGTATTAGTATTTTAGTACTACTTTTTTTTTTAAATTGGCACGTGTAAAACTTTAATCAATCAATTTAATTTTCTCATCCCAAAATTTGAGTTCGATAACCCCATTTACTTAACCACATTACGTAAATATGATTATTAAGTTCAACTAATTCATATTACTAAAACATCTAAAATACAAATACATATGTATTTTTAAAATGAATTGTAAGTTCACCACATCTCTCTTAAAAATTGCTACTTCTCAAAATTTCCCATTAAAAAAATAGACCATATACCGTATAAAATTAAATAATTGAAAGATCGGAAAATCACACAAATTTTCAATCAACAATTTAAATGCACACAATCGTCAATTTAAAAAAAACACTACTATTTTAGTATTTTAAATATTTTAATAAATGCAAAAATAGCACAGTATTTAGAAGGCAAGTTATAAAAATTTGGAAGAACTAATAATGCACTGACGCACACAAAAATCAAACGAATACTAAATTTCATTTATCAAAAGCATTCGATAGTCGTGGCTCAACGATAACCATTTAGTCGCACGGCGAGGTTGTCACATATGTATGCTTTAGTATACAAATGAATGAATGATTTTATTCGAATAAAACCATTCGATAGTTGAAATCATTCATTCAGTAACCATTCGATAATCTAATTCATTCGATAGTTCCCATCGCTAATGCAAATATCTTGCTGAAGCAAAACCCACAAAAAACGTGCCCATTAAGTGGAATCGTTGTTATGTATCTGGTAAAATAATATCTGGTTATGTTGCAGTATATGCATCATATGCATATACTGCAACATAACCCGGCCTTATCCGATTTTTGTTTGTGTTGTTTCTCTTTAAATATTAAATATTAATTTTTATTTCTACAAAAACCAGATACAAACCAATGATTCCACTTAATGGCCACGTTTTTGTAAAATAGCTTCAAACATTTGCTAAAACAGTTTTTGCTTATTATCTCGAAACAACGTTTTTGGGAAAAGGCGGGTTTTGCAACTTGACGGCTCACTTGGTAATATTTTACCGGATCGAAATACAGTTGATCGAGATACAGGACCCGTGATCGGCAATACAGTGTGAATTGACCCTAACTATGGCAAATCATTAAAAATTATTATTAAAACGCTATACTTAAACATATATCTGCATCTCAGTTCGGCTGCAGTTCCTCCATGGCCAGTATTCGGGTCGATTGCTGCCAAGAAATATAGCAATTCTCTGAATGACAAACCGTATCTATTATTAATGTCAGCTGATCTAAAAAAAAATGCAAAATTATTATATCACCAGTTCCAGTTTATTAATTTGTCTCCTCAAAATTAGAGCCAACGTATTTCCAAAACGGAAATGTAACCGATAAACACGTACAAATTAGTTTACAACTATTGTAAGTAAACGTTGCTTCGATAGGGAGAGCAGATTTACAACCATTAACAAAAGTTTGAATTTGTTTTGCAGTAGTTTGTTTGATGTGTACAAGGTGGGTCAAATTCGACGCTTTTAAAGGGCAACATCCTTTTCTATAGGAGATAGACGAAAACTAATATTGGTGTCTGGAGCTCAATTTTTATCAAAACCAAGATGGTGAAAACCGCACATCGATATCTGATACTGTTTCGGAGTTGCGGGGTGTTTCTAAAAAATGTGCATTTTTAACAAATCGCTGTAACTTTTTTGCTATGAAAAATTTTGTATTTTTGTGAAAACATTTCCATAGCACCTTTTTACCAAGAATTTAATGATTTACGTATAATTTTTTTAAATTAATAATTTAAGAGTTATTAACAGAAAATTTTATTTTTTATTTGGGACACCCTGTATATTGCTTGATATTTTGCTCGATTCCTCTACGAGATATACAGTTTTTAAAAATTCGACCACTTTGAATACGTAGGCTTTGAACGGCGCCAGCGTAATGCAAAAAAATTCTAGCTGTGAGTAGCAACTAAAACGAAAATAAAATTTGCATGAGATATGTAGAATTTGATAACAATTTAAACTATATTTAACAACATTAACACATTTAAGGTATATCTAATAACAATAAAAATAAATAGCAAACCAAGACATGAGCTTTTGCTACAGGTGTTTGACATGTCGACCGTTTTCTGTTATGGACAGACGGGACAGTTTTTGGACATTTCTCGCGAAATTCATTAACTCAATGGGGGTGAAAGATATCCTCGCGTTACTGCTAAGTAGGTACTTCTAATTCTTGTCTAGATTAAAACCTTTATTCTTCGGCAAAGATAAAAATTCATAGGCACTAAGTCCGACGGCCTCGACGGCCAACGGCTAGGACCTTGGTTAGCTATTAAATTATTTTCGAAATTGGTTGCAAACATTTGTTGATAACTTCAGCGTTCTGAGGCGGTGCCTCGTCTTGCTGGAAAAATATGTTTTCGAGTTTCATTAGGGGCAGATCATCAATAAGGGGTTCAAAGCCTACTAGTTAAAAGTGGCGAAGTTTTAAAAATTCTGTAATTCGAAGGGGTCTTTAACAAAATATCAAGTGTGCTATATTTTTGAAAAGGTAATTTTAAGTTCTTTTTACTTAAATAAAAATATACAGGGTATCCCTAATAAAAAATCAATTTTTCTGTTGATAACTCTTAAATTATTACTTTAAAAAAATATTTTAAACCATTAAATTCTACGTAAAAAGGTGCTTTGGAAATGTTTTCACAAAAATGCAAAATTTTCCATAGAAAAAAAGTTACAGCGATTTGTTAAAAGTGCACATTTTTGAAAAACACCCCGTAACTCCGAAACGGTAACAGATATCTGATATGTGCTGTTTTCACCATCTTGTTTTTGATAAAAATTGAGCTCCAAACACCGATATTACTTTTAGATATTAGTTTCTTTAAAAACGTCCAATTTGACCCACCCTGTACACTCCTTAAAACAAATAAAAAATATTTACCTAAACAGAAAAATCATCTGAGGTTTCGGCCAACCCAAGTCATCGGTCATAAATTTGGAGAAGCTTTTCAAATTCATGTAACAAGCTGGATAACAATATGGTAGAAACAGATTGCTATAGAGTTGTTCTTGTGCTAAAAATATTCAAACTCGATTAATATTTTATTGCTTTCTAAACTAAAAAGTGTTCATTTAGCTTGTCAATAAATTAGTTGCCAGAAGGTTTCATAATCATTTATAGTTCTCTAAAGTTTAAAGAGTAATTTAGCTTTTAAGATTTTTGGGATATATCAAGAACGTCTGAATCCAAAAATCACATTAAAAAATTAAAAATTAGTAATTGTACAAGTTCCTTGTGTTTAATATGATTTGATACAAGTTTTGTTTAAATATGAAATGCGTTGGTTTTACTAACAACTAGAGTATTTTCAAGCGAGAAAAACGACGATTTCGGCTGACAATAATATTGTCGTGCTTTTGGATATTATCCAAAAAATATCAGAGAAATAAATCTACCTTTGAATTAAAAAGTCACATAACATTTTGTTAGAAGAAATCCGCCAAAGACTGGAATAGCGCCAACATAATTCAGAAGAAAGGCCAGCAAAGAAGTCATCAGAAACTATAGACCAATAAGCGTACTACCCGTAACGTACCGGGTAGCCAACTAAGAATGGACGCCGGCTGTATCTCAGAAACTACTTATCGTATAACTTTGGGAAAAAAATTCTAATAAGTAAATCGACCAAGGGAAATCGCTGGAAATTATTTTCAAGTTCGAAAAATGCCCGCTAGGGGCCGTTTCTCTAATAGCCAATCAGAAAACAGGGTTTTTCTCAAAAATATGCAGGTTAACAAGTATTTTAAATATTACTATTATAATCATCGAGAAATTTGTAATTTTTTTGATATAGAGTATTTTGCTCTATCTCATAAAATAAAGTGGTGGAGGAAGGTTAAACTTGCTTTTGTTAAAATAAGGATAACTCTGATTTAGGTTACCCGATTTAAACAAACTAGGGCTCGTTTAAAAGAGCTTTTCTTCCTTAGTGATTCCCATTATAAATTTTGTTTCCATAATTTTTTTCGTGGTAGCTAGAGAGCGCTATTTGACATCATAACAGATATTGCGCTAATATAAATCAAAACATAACAAATAAACACGAATTTATTAACAAAACCGTAGTAACCTTTCTAAAAGAGTTTTATCTAATTCTGAAAAATCAGTTTTATCAAAAGGTTTAAATTTTAGCGTAACTGATAAAAACGTTTCAAAATTAGATTTGGCTTCTGCTATTGAAAATATAGCACAAAAATTACCTTTAGAACACGCGGATGAATATCGTGTTAGGTCAAAAATTATTCTAGAAAGACCTATTAAATTTAAACCTAATATTAATAGAGAAGAAAGGTTAGCTATTAAAAATTTAAAAATAGACAAAACAATTAAAATATTACAAGCAGATAAAGGTAATGCTACAGTAGTTATAGATTTAGACGAATATAATAACAAAATTACAGATCTTATAAATAACGGTAGTTACACAAAACTTGCAAAAGACCCAACACCAACTATTGAAAGAAAAATATACAGAACTTTATACAAATACAAACATATATTAACAGACTTACAACGAACATTATTAACACCCCATTACAGTAAACCACCTCATTTATACGGTTTACCGAAAATACACAAACAGGGTATACATTTTAGACCTATAGTCAGTAGTATAAATTCTCCATGCCATCCGTTAGCAAAATGTTTACTAGACATATTAAATCCGATTGCAAATAACACCGATTCATACATTAAAAACACACCACACTTTATAGAAAAAATTTCAAAAATTAATATAACACCTAACAGTTTAATGGTTACTTTTGACGTTGTTAGTCTTTTCACTAATGTGCCGGTAGATAAATCACTTAAAATAGTTAGGGACAGATTAGAACAAGATACACATTTAATAGATAGAACAAAATTAAACATAGATAGTATTTTGGAATTGTTCACTTTGTGTTAAAACTACTTATTTCCAATTAAATAATGAATTTTTTCAACAAGATTTCGGTATGGCAATGGGATCACCTCTCTCTCCTTTGTTAAGTAATATTTTTATAGAAGATTTTGAAAATAATACAATAAATAGTTTTTCAAAAAAGTCTGTAATATGGCTGCGTTATGTTGATGATATTTTTGCAATATGGCAACATAACGTTTCTGAAATAGACATTTTTTTGGAATATATAAATTCTCGCGAACCTACCATAATATTTACTTTAGAAGTAGAGAGAGGTAACCGTTTGTGCCATTTCTTGATGTTTTAGTGTTCAACATTTCAAAATAAACTAATTTTAGATGTTTACAGAAAACCCACAAACACAGATAGATACTTAAATTTCACATCTAATCACAGTATAAGTGTAAAAAAAGGTGTTATAAAAAGTTTATATGATAGGGCAAAAATAATATGTACAGACGACATTTCACTAAACAAAGATATAACGACTGTCCACGATATTTTATTGACAAAACATTAAACGAAATACAAACCCCAAATCATAGACACAAAGATAACAATACACAATATATACAACTTACAATTCCATACATACGAGGCGTTTCGGAAAAAATAAGAAGGGTAAGAAAACAATATAACATACAAACATCTTTCAAAACACAAAATACACTTAGATCAATTTTATCACATACTAAACCAATGAATACAGAACAACAAACAAAAAATGTAATATACCAAATACCCTGTGAATGCGATAAATTTTACATTGGTGAAACATCTAGACCCTTAAATGTTAGAACTAAAGAACATAAAGATTATTTAAGAAAGGGAGATTTTCACAAATCTAAGATTTGTCAGCATTCATGGGACACAGGGCATAGAATAAATTTTAATAACGCCAAAATTATAATGAAAGAAGCGATAGCCTCTCAGGGGCGTAGATAGGTGTATGCTATGGGGGTGGTACTATGATTAAGTCGCAAAAAAAATCACCCTCGGAATTTTTTTCTCGAACTAAAACGACGGCGATTTTTCTGTCTTCAAAAAGATATAAAAACATAACACAAAAATTAAAATATAGATTTGTAAATAACAGAAACAAAAATGAAACAACGACGTGTATTAGTTAATTTTCTATAAACTATAAATAAAAAACTCTAAACTATCAAAAAAAAAACTATAAAAACTATAAACTATAAATAAAACTACAAAACAAAATCAAGTTTTCTAGTACGCTGTTTGGAAAACCTATCAATAACACCATCAACATTTATTTCAATATCTTTATGGATATTAATTATAGTTAACCCCACTAATCTGTCCTGGCCAATAAGAACACTTTGTGTGCTTTTAATTAGGTCAAACATATTATGAACGATAAATCAACATAATTAAAAGCATACAAAGTGTTCTTATATGTCGGATATTAATTAAAAAAAATCCTTTCATAGTCAATGACTATTTCAATTCTCGTATCTCGTCAAGCGTCAGGGGGGGGTACTGTCCCCCAGTACCCCCCCCCTTATCTACGCCCTTGTAGCCTCTAAAAGAAAAATAAAAGAGGCTTTTTTAATTCAATCTAATAAAAATGAATGTATTGCTCATGCATCTGTAGATGTTAGTAATGTATGGCAATCGCTTCTTTGATTTTAAAGAACATTACATAAATAAACATAACATACATGAAATTTAAAAATAATCATACAGAAAGTTTGGGCTTTTTGGTTTTACCTTATTAAGTAATTATCAGGTAGTAATTGTTAATTTTGAAGTTTAACTTAATATAATGTCATTTTAACAGAACGTCAACGATTTCTTGTAGACGTATCTGTTTTAAAAAGTAAAGTGTTCTCGAATAGTTCAATTTAAATATTTTAAATAGTTTTTTTCTTGATTCTTTATATTGTTTTGCTTCCGACGACGGAAAGAGAAATCTTTCCGAAACGTTAAGCATTTTTTTCTTTGTTAGGCAAATTTTTATTACTGTAAACACAACTTCTGACAAGCAGCGTCCGTTTTAGGTTTAACGCAGAAGTGTTTACAAAAAATAACTATTTTATTTTGTAGATTTTTCTTGCAGTGCAGTGGCGAAAAACCTATAAGGATTTTTTGGATAGATGAATCCGCCACATAGGTATAGACATTTTTTAATCAATAATTTTATTCAAATTTCTAGGAATTTTGTACCGCCATATTGCTTTTAACAAAAAACAGCCGAATTTCGTATGGTTGAAAACTAGGGGTTTATTTCATGTAACGTCATTTAGTTATTAATCCAAGTTCGTCCTTGATTTTACTTGTTTTCGTGTTTTACCTATTGTTCGTGTTATTTATTATTATATTATAAAGTTTATGTCATTTGGGTCACTTTTCATATAGCACCGAACGAAGGTGCGAATCTTAACAATATGCACTACTGGTCCAAATCTACCCTTAATGGAAGTAGTTTAGCACAAAGACCGTTGGTCGGTAAATGTTTACGCAGGAATTCTAGGATGGCGAATGATTGGACTTTTTAATTTCTGAATGAAATGAACTATCCATAATTTCTAAGAAATGAATTGCCAATTTTGTTAGAGGATCCATCATGATGAAATTGCATTTGTTGGGCATTTTTCGAACTTGAAAATAATTTCCAGCGATTTCTCTTGGTCGATTTACTTATTAGATTTTTTTTCCCAAAGTTATACGATAAGTAGTTTTAGTTTCTGAGATACAGCCGGCGTCCATTCTTAGTTGGCCACCCGGTACAAGATATTTTCTGATAATTTTTCATTTAAGAATGTTGTCAATAAAAAACAGCATTCGTTTATATTCATATTTTGTCATAAGAGCCCGACATCGAAGGAAAAACTCATGCAGTTTTTAGACAATATGTTTTCATGAAAAATTATCGGTAATTTTGATGCACTTGGGTAATTACTTCCGAAAAGTGAATTTTCTGTCAGTTTTTGAACGTTCTCTGTACAAATCTTTCCTGGCTCATTAGGCGGACTATTGGGCAAAATAATTCACCTAACTTATCTATGGGAGAAGACTCTATCAGCTGTTGGTAGTTGGTAGTTTTTCCAGAAACTAATATATCGTCAGTAATTTCCGCAACGTTTTTTGCTAATATTATATCTTCAGCCGGCTCAACTGTATAGAAATGACCAACGTCATATTCTCTGGCCAAGTGATACAATTCCAAAAGGTCGGGAGATCTAAGAGAATTGGACTGCCACAGACCCAGCAAATCCGATTCTAGAATCCATTTTAATTTTCCTCGGTACTAAAATAGTTGAAATATTTGTGAGTGTTCAGTATTAACCCGAGTTATTGAAAAGAAACGTCTTTTTTGGAATTCTTTGAAATTTTTTTTTGAAACGTCTGTTGTGGAATACCGGATGTTGCATCGTCGGACGGGACATAGGAAATCCCATGTAAATTTTAATGGGGTCAATTATTGGCTTCCTTAATTGTTTTAGAGAATAATTCTATTTAGGTTTATTGAAGAGCACTAAAACCCACATTCAAAAGAATAACTTTAGATATTTTTGATTAGCCCATTTACGAGTTATCGCCGATTTCTTTTTAAATGTTTCTCCTTTCTTATGGTCCTATTTACTTATGAGCACCAGTCAAGGTAAAAGATAACTGTCCAAATGAAGTTGTCATTTCCAGAATTTCTACCTTATTTAGTGCTTTATTATTATTGAAAACTCATTCCTACATCGGAAATCTTAAAGATGTATTTATAAATACAAATTAATATGAATTAAAGTAAAATTAAGTAATGAATTACAAGGTTAATTATATAGTATTATTACAATATTCAATAACTTATTAATTTGTATTGTTAGAACTTTGTATTTTAAAAAAAAAAAAAAAAAAAAAAAAAAAAAAAAAAAAAAAAAAAAAAAAAAAAAAAAAAAAAAAAAAAAAAAAAAAAAAAAAAAAAAAAAAAAAAAAAAAAAAAAAAAAAAAAAAAAAAAAAAAAAAAAAAAAAAAAAAAAAAAAAAAAAAAAAAAAAAAAAAAAAAAAAAAAAAAAAAAAAAAAAAAAAAAAAAAAAAAAAAAAAAAAAAAAAAAAAAAAAAAAAAAAAAAAAAAAAAAAAAAAAAAAAAAAAAAAAAAAAAAAAAAAAAAAAAAAAAAAAAAAAAAAAAAAAAAAAAAAAAAAAAAAAAAAAAAAAAAAAAAAAAAAAAAAAAAAAAAAAAAAAAAAAAAAAAAAAAAAAAAAAAAAAAAAAAAAAAAAAAAAAAAAAAAAAAAAAAAAAAAAAAAAAAAAAAAAAAAAAAAAAAAAAAAAAAAAAAAAAAAAAAAAAAAAAAAAAAAAAAAAAAAAAAAAAAAAAAAAAAAAAAAAAAAAAAAAAAAAAAAAAAAAAAAAAAAAAAAAAAAAAAAAAAAAAAAAAAAAAAAAAAAAAAAAAAAAAAAAAAAAAAAAAAAAAAAAAAAAAAAAAAAAAAAAAAAAAAAAAAAAAAAAAAAAAAAAAAAAAAAAAAAAAAAAAAAAAAAAAAAAAAAAAAAAAAAAAAAAAAAAAAAAAAAAAAAAAAAAAAAAAAAAAAAAAAAAAAAAAAAAAAAAAAAAAAAAAGAGCACCAGCAAGGTAAAAGATAACTGTCAAATGAAGTTGTCATTTCAGAAATTTACCTATTTAGTGCTTTATTATTATTGAAAACTCATTCCTACATCGGAAATCTTAAAGATGTATTTATAAATACAAATTAATATGAATTAAAGTAAAATTAAGTAATGAATTACAAGGTTAATTATATAGTATTATTACAATATTCAATAACTTATTAATTTAGGTACTATTGTTAGAACTTTAGGATTTAAGAAGATGTTCAAATATTCCTCCATCGGCTGCTAGACAATAACCTAGGCAATCATAAAATTCTCTTCTTACATTCGCTAGTTGGTAAACTGAAATTCTATTCCATTCGGCAGAAATAGCATTTTTTAATTCGTCGGTATTTGGGTATTTTTTATCCTTGTATATCCTGTTTTTTAAATGGCCCCAGAGAAAGAAATCATTTGGCGAAATATCAGGAGACCTTGGTGGCCAATTTACTGTATGATTTAGGCCAATAACGTTTCCGTTAAAACTATTGTTTAAATATTCCCGAACAGCCAGGGTACTATGTGCCGGGCAGCCATCCATTTGGCACCAAACTTCCTGATTTTCCCTAGCGGCATCATGTAAAGCAGGTAAAATATGATTTTCGAGTAGTTCCAAATAATATTCTGCATTTAAATTTCGCGTAAGAAATAATTGCCCGATAATATTGTGTCAGAATATCCCTGCCCAAACATTTACTTTCTGTGGATATTGCGTCCTTGTTTCGACAAACCTGTTTTGGTTTTCTTTGTTCCAATATTGATAATTTTGAACATTGGGTTTATTATTTAAGGTAAACGTGCATTCATCAGTGAAACATATGTTTTTTAAAAATTCCCTATCCGTGTTTGCTCTTTCCATCATATCAAAACAAAACGCCTGCCGCCGTATTTCGTCCCTATCTCGTATCTCTTGGTGCTTTTCATATTTGATGGAATAGTATTTATGTCGTTTCAAAATTCGAAACGCTGTAGTGTGATCTATTCCTATTTCATCCTCAAGTTTCCTTGTGCTGATCTTTCCATCGTTCTCTTCCACGCACAATAAAACTTCCAAGTCGGTATCATTTCTTGCATCTTCTCTTTCTTCCTGCCTTGCTTCACATCTGCAGTTATTTATTAGGGTACCTTTGGTCTCAAATCTCTGGATATTCCTTGCTATTGTAGATTTTCCAGGTATCGGTTTTCAATAATAATAAGGCACTAAATAGGTAAATTTCTGAAATGACAACTTCATTTGACAGTTATCTTTTACCGTGACTGGTGCTCATAAGTAAATACAGGGCCACAAGAAAGGAGAAATATTTAAAAAGAAATCGGCGATAACACGTAAACGGGCTAATCAAAAATATCTAAAGTTATTCTTTTGAATGTGGGTTATTATGTGGAATTAACTCCAAAATAATTAGGGAAGCCAATAATTGACCCCATTAAAATTTACATGGGATTTCCTATGTCCCGCTCGACGATGCAACACCCGGTATATATCAACATAAAATGGAGATGTAATTAACGAAATATCATCGTAACAACAGCTATTTTGGAAACGTTTAGGTTTACTTATTTCACTGAGATTTATGAAAAAAATCCTTTTCCTCGAGTACAGATACCGCCACGTTTTGAATATAGCTCAAAACGAAACAAAATTGAACGAGGCAACAGGAAATGCTAAAAAAATCCCCACACGCCCTTCTAACCAGTAGTTTTCAGACGCATTTAAGAATCGAAAGTAGGTCGAGGCAAACCGAACCGACTGGAAATAAGTCGAAATGCGACAAATTTGGGCGACAAAATGCGACCTTCTACTGTTTCGAAGAGTTCTCCGCATAGTGTAGAGGCTGTTTTGGCCCAAGTTTCGTTTTCTTGAAATCAGTTATTTAAGAAATATTTGTTTATTTAGTATTTGGAACAGTATGTCATAAAAAAAATTCTGTGGAAATGCATCCTTTTCGAGTTTTTCAACATAGAATTGCTGAATTCGGGCTTCTTTAGTTTAGCTCAAATCAGTTATGTAAAAATACTTGTTTATTTAGTATTTGGAAGGATTTTTTGAATAATATGGTACGAAAATTTTCTGCGTACATGTATAATTTTCAGGTTTTCAACTTTAGAATAGCTGAAAACTTTGAGGAAAATAAAAGAATGATGTATTTCCGCAGAGAAATTTTTATGATTTTGTGTTTGGGGAGGCTTCTATACAGGGTGGTCCGAACTGTATTCCGGAAACTTCGACAACATATTCTGCAGATAAAAATAATTAAAAAAGTTCGTATAAATATATGTCCTAAAATGCTTAGTTTCGGAGATACAGGGTGAAAAAGTTTCATTTTTATTTCGTTTTTTTTCCAAATAATTTATGAAGTAACGTAATATTTGCATGAAAATTGGTGTTTGGAAGTTTTTTGACATGAGAAATTTGATTTTCATGTCAATATGACTCCTATTTGTAGAGGCCGCCACCTACATACTTCTTATAACCGGTTTGAAGAGTAATAACTTTTCGTCCGCACCTGTATAAAACTACTGAATAAAAAATATATCTACATTTAAGATGTCTTTTACGTAAAAAAAGGTCTCTTTGTAAAAATTGCTACGAGTCATGGTTCTCGAGATATTTGGAATCGAAATTATCAATACCTGTAATCATTGACATAAATTAAACATGTTGACTAAATAGTTATTAGACTGACATCATAAATTTGAAATCTTTTTGTGTCAAAAGTTCGCCAGAAGCTATTTGATCATCATTTTTTCACAGAAAATTTATGATTAATTTAAAAAAAATTAAAATTTCCCAAATTTATTATTTCAGTTAAATAACTAACTATCTGCTCAACGCGTGTTTATTTTTTGTCAATAATGACATGTTTTCACTATTTCCGTTCTAAATATCTTGAGAACGGTTGCTCGCAGCGATTTTTACCAAGAAGCATTTTTTTACTTAGAAAGTCACGGAAATGTATATTTTTTCACTCAGCAGTTTTATACAGATATGGACGAAAAGTTATTACTCTTAAAAACAGTTAAAACACATGTAGGTAGCGCCCCCTACAAATAGGAGTCATATTGACATCAAAATCAAATTTCTCATGTCAAAAAACTCCCACACACCAATTTTCATCCGAATATTGACGTTACTTTAGAAATTATTTAGAAAAAATCGAAATAAAAATGAAATTTCTACACCCTGTATCCCCGAAACGAAGCATTTAAGGGCATACATTTATACGAACTTTTTTGTTTATTTTTATCTGTAGAATATGCCGCCGAAGTTTCCGGAATACAATTCGGACCACCCTGTATACTGAATGTTTTGTTGTTTTTTTATAAGTGATTTCAAATAAAAGAATCTTCACCCCAGTTTATTTCTGAAACTATTCCGAGAAATGTTGACATTTCAGGCATATAGTGCAGGTTTTGGTGTTTAAAAGTATGTCTCAGACGTTTTACTGTTTTTACAACGCCTACTATTATTTAGTGTAAAACAGCTGTCGAATAGTGAAAGTTGATTAGTGAAGAGGATTACTTCGTGTTTCCTCGTTTAACTTGGTCTCGTCTCGGCTTATTTCTATTAGACAGGGAAACACAAAGCAACCCTATTCATTATTCGACTATGACCTACTTCGGCTTACTTCGCGAATAGTGTAGAGGCCGTTTAAGTGTAAATCAATTTACAAACCTTTCCCATAGAGTTTTTTGTCTTATTTTTAACGCTGACTTCCACCACAACATAAAATACGCAGTGGATAAGATGTGCATTCTCTTTTTTCGGATTCCATATTTTATACATCCTTAACAATTTTGGGGCAACTTTCACTCCTAAAATCTAATACAAAAGAGCAGTAGTAGTAACCGTAGGATCGAGAAAAAAACGGCGTCCAGTTGGCTGGTAAATGACGATCGATGACATTTCCCATATAAAGTGACATCGATCTTCATTTCACAGCCACCGCTGACGTCGTTTTTTTTTTATTTCGGTAGTAGTAAATTAAAGAAAAAAAGGCGCGTCAGCATCTGGGCTTTTTAGTTCATAAAATAGTTCTATTACAAATCCAGCAGAGCGACAAAAGTTCTATTATCAACGTACCTAATACAAAATTAAGAATTTGTTTTCAGATTGTGTAATGTTATAGCCCTGGGGCCAAGGCCCCCCCTAAAATCTATAAATTGGATTAAATATTAGGCTTTTGGTTTAAAAATGGCGCCCTAAAAAGCATATTCTGCATTACTTTTTATTTGGAACCCCCTAAAATAAATTGCTGTGTCCGTACGTCCCTTGCCCAGTGTATTAATATCGTATGTAATAATTTTAAAATAAGGTTTAACTATTGAATGATGAAGTCTTAACGAGATAAATAATTACAAAAAATAAGAAATTAAATATGCTAGTACTTATAGGCTTTTGTTAATAGTGATCATACATCTTGGGATTCTTTAGTAATTAGTTTCGACCAGCTAGCATTTGGTTCTGCCTTAACAGACGGTATCCAATGATCACTACTTGCATTATCAATGGTGAGCAGCAGACTATTTTCTGAAGTACAAAGGACTAATAAGGAGACCATATGCGATAGATCTGGTTTAGTGCCCATATTTGCAAATTATTCGATTACAAAAATTTATTTTAACTATGTGAAGTGACATAAATCAAAAAATTAATTTAATTTAAGATTATTATGAGGTATTATTAATAAACAAAGTAAAATTCAGGTATATTAGTCAATATTAAATATAAAGTTTTATCTTGACAAAATGGTGAATGGGCTTCTTTCAAAATTTTTGAAATATATATAAAATAGAAGAGATGGTAAATAAATACATAAAATAATTTTCTACGTTATTTCACTTCTTGTTCACTTCCTTTTTTTAAGACTTGCATAAAAGAAATTGATGTTATAAAGAAAAATTTGCATAAAAACATTTCTATTAGTGTATATCTCTGGTGTATATGACGATCATAGATGACGATCAAATATCTCTCACTTTATGCTCTGTGGCACTGGTACATTTTAACTACTTATTTTATGAAAAAGAAGAACTCAACGTTTTTCTGCGTGCATTCAGTTTTGAAAGTGTTTTGAAAGTTTGTCAATTTTATTTGATTTGTTTAATAAAGGATTATTTTAGTTTGGTACGTCTTTTAGATAAAAATATATCATTACGAAGAATGCTATTCTAATATTATATATATTATATGTTTATTCTTAGGGTTAAACATTTCCCTAATAGCATAATGGAGGAATTAAAATACTCAAAGTCAAATTTCTCCTCAAATGGAAGCATACAACACGAAGATGCATATGCAAGAATTAAAAAACTAATCGGCTTTATTGAAAGTTTTATAGAAACTAGAGCAGAAGACAAAATAATTTTAATTAATCAGTATTTACAGGTATGTTGTTATAGACTAACATATCACTTCAAATTTTCAAAAGATTTCTAACAAACAATGATCAACATAGAGCAGTTATTGTGAACAAAAAGTTGCTGATCTATTTACTTTTCAGTTAGTTTATTAATTTATATTTTAGGCTTTAAGTTTAACTCTGAATCTGAGCATATTTGACCCTCATACAAATATAGCTGAAAAATTGTTTACAAGTCTGTACAATCTGATGAATATTTTGGAGCCAAGGTCTCTGACAAGTTGGTATTGTGTTGATTTGCTTATAAATGCTTGTAAAAATCACACAGCAAGAACCGCTCTAATAAAAACGTACCAGTTTTTACCATGCCTAGCCAGATTGATGGGAGATCAGATATCACCTGAAAAAAAGACAAGGCTGCTTCGATTAATGCAGGTACTTGTTAATGTTTTAAACTTTGATTAAGAATATTTTCGTTTAATTATAAACAATATTACCAGGACATTACATGCGGTATAAAGATTCACTGGCAAATACCTCATATCACACATTTGGTATCATTATTATGTAAATGGGTAGAAAAAGGTGAACAGGATGTTGCTACACTATCTTTGGGACTTTTGGTTAATTTATGTTATAAAAATGTATCCACTATTTGTATACTTCAAAGAAATATTGATCTCAAGAAATTTATAAGAATGTGCTTAACGTTAAAGGTTGGTGCTGATAATATTTTTATATTTATACATTGCTTTGATTTTATTTTGTTGTAGGGGCCTTTTGTTGAAGTTTATGTTTGTCAGATGATGATCATTTTAGAAAATATTTCAGGATACATTCCAGAATCAATGTTTCCAAAGCTTATAGACTGCACTTTTGTTGCTGTAACAGAAGCATATATGAAAAATGACTACATATTACTTAGACATTGTGTAGATTTTTTTGTGGAATGTGTCAAGAATAATCACAGAGATTCTTTAAATGTTTATAAAAAATTTCATGAAAATATTGAAAAGGTTTTAGATGTATGTCATTCTTATTTATTTGTTGTTACTGTTGTATAATTTCATTTTTATTTTAGATTATAAACGATATAGATAATACAGTTAAGGACACCGAATGCACTTATGTTGTTTTGGAATTTATTAACTTCCTTGTTGAAATGAAAGTACCTCAAATTTCATCGCTTTATATAAAATTGATACCGATAGCTCTTAAATGGATTCAAGAAAGTTCAGTATCCTATCAAGCACTAACAATTTTAAAGACAATCGCTGTTAACACAGATAAAAAAGATAATGATATATTAAATTCACTTTGTATTGGCTTACCTACGTTTTTGCTATTGTTAAATTCATGTAAAGACGATACAATGAAAATAGATTCGGAATATACCAAGAGGTTTGTGTTTTATAAAACATAAATTTATATTTTTACTTCATCATATATCATTTTATAGAATGGGCGCTCTGTTACAGTTAATATCGTCTATGATTCATGTGAAAGAGATATCCAAAAAACTTACTGATGATTTACATGAAGATACTTTCAGGAAAATATTTACGCCACTTTTAGGAGATGATTCTCCACGCCACGGTGAAATCACTTCTACAACCGAATCAGTAAACTTGTATGTGCATGCTTTAACATGTTTAACAAGGCTTATGGATTGTGATGGGACCTGGGTTAGTTTTGTGAATGACCTATTGTCTAATAAGTAAGTCTGCATTATTTTATGATATAAATTCCAATATAAGTTGTGTTTTTATGTTCTTGATGCGTATATTTTTATTGTTTATTGTTTGTAGTTATTCTGAAAATAAATTATTTTATTTAAGCGATTTTACTCTTATACCGGGTGCGTCTCAAAAGTGGCTCACCCCTATAACTTTTTTATTTTTTCAGATAAAATAACGAGTCTTGGTACGTTAGTATATGACATAAATCAGGATTGATTGACGTATTCAATTGTTTTTCGTCACTTCCTGTTTCACCGGAAATTACTACAACTTATGATTTTTAAATTGCACCCTTGGTATGTTTTTACTTTATTCGATAGAAAATGACATTCTGAGTAGAATGCCATGTCATATGTCAACTTTTGACATTCTTGCTTAATAAAAAATTGTAACTTAAATTTCATTCAAGAGTGCCATGGCTATGTTAAAAACACTAATTTTTAGTCAAGGAGCCTTGGAAAAATAGATTGGATCGTCTAATATTTTTAGTGTCTTGTCCTGGCCAAAATGCTCAAAACGTATTTTTAATAACATCTCTTTTTTTTTACGAATAATTTGATTCCACACACTTGGTATTTCGAGTCAAATTGTCGTTATGAACCGCAAGTTATAATTTCAAATAAACCATATGCGGAAATGTCAAAAGTTGACATATGATATATCATTCTATTCAGAGTGTCATTTTCTATCACATAAAGTAAAAAATACTAAGGGTGTCATTTAAAAATCAGAAATTGTAGCCATTTCCGGTGAAAGAAGAAGTGACCGAAAACAATTGAATAAGTCAATCAATCCTAATTTATGTCATATACTAACATACCAAATCTTTTTATCTGAAAAAATAAAAAAGTTTTAGGGGTGAGCCACTTTTGAGACGCACCCGGTATATAACTACAGAAATTAATAATATATAGTTAATAAGAAAATCGGTAATACAACAAAATTAATATTAACATTTAAAAAATAAGTAGGTACTTAAATTGAATTCTGGTTGTCTTGGAGGTAATTATAATGATTTAAGTCATTTTTACTCTGACTGAACTTGTAGATAGTCATGATTTAAGTCAAAAATATAGACTTAAGACATAAAAACGACTTAAATAACATTATATTGATTTAAGTATTTACAAAAATGACTTGACTTGAAATAAAATGATTTAAGTGAAAGATTTAGGTTTATTATTTGAACGTTATCTTGAATTTGACTTAAGACTTAAATCACTTTGATTTTAGAGATGACTTAAGATTTAACTCTTTTTAAAGCTGACTTGTTGCAGCTCTGTCCCTAGATTTGGTTTAATTTTCAAGAGGCTATCTCTCTACGGTGATAATAAAGGTGCCTTGCGTACAAAAAAACAATTTGTTAGCTGAATTATTGAATATTTTGTTGAATAAGTGTTGCCATTACCAGTTCCTCTTCCAACAATTACAACGGAACTATTTTTATTTATTTATATTTTTATTATTATTATATGGCATATCTATTTTAACTTATTTCTCTAAATAATTATTGAGAGATGATTAACTATTTTAATTAAATATACAAAGTGTCCCGGAAATAAGTGCAAGTATTTTAACTGATAGTACCCATAGTTTAACAACCTCAGAAACACGCCCATGCGGTTTTTTCAATGACTAAAGTATACAAGGACATATACGGGCTGCAGCACAATTTGTGACCTTAGACGCCATTTTTTTGGACATAACGAATGAGTCATAAGCAACAATTTTAGCAATTTTTAAGAGTTAACTTTATTACAATGGTAATTTGTTCAGCTTTCAAGTGTAAAAGGCGCAATGATAAGAAAGATCCAGGAGTTACGTTTTACAGGGAAATAAACAGTCCACTACACCTTTTTAGCGTTTTTTTTTTGAATTCGATAATTATTTTTTTGATATTATATGTGCTATACGTCGATACTAGTTTTGTACCTTTTGTTAACATTTTAATACGTTTTTTTCGTAATTAATTAGTATGATACCACCGGACACACCATAGGCGTAGTGAAAAAATGCATCAAAAATATAAATATCGCTTCAAGCGGCTATGTTAAGAAAAATATGTGCCACGGCACTGTTTGGAAGAATGGTCACAGTTTGGTCTCGAGTGCTATTTGTCCTTGTATTCTTTAGTCATTGGTTTTTTTTGCAAAAAAAAATGTTGAAATTTTGTTTTTTTTTTCTTGACATTTTCCGGAAAATATTGAAAAACTTTTGAGTGCCGCTTGTTCAGTGTCTGGAAATTTGTTTATTGTGCTTGCGAATGCAATGTTGCCACCTCCTAGATTATCCACATTGTGTATGTTTATAAGTTATAAGTTCACATTTTTAAATTTCTAAAAAAAATACTTAAATCAATTTTATTTTCTGTAGATTTTTTAATCATAAAGACAACTACACTACTACTGTATTTAGTATAGTGCAACGTCTATTATATTTTAAATACCTTTTTTACAGTTTAGTAAATTGAAATAATGAAACTAAATAATGAACAATTATAGCAGCTTTGATGATGTATAAAAAATAATATGTAAAATAGTCAATGTTTGGCCTACATTTAAACAGATCAGCTGCTGGCATTTTTAGGTTATCCAATTCATTTAAGATTTTATTCAAAACAGTAAACCTCTGAAAAAATAGGTCTGTAAGGTAAGCCTGTAAGGTAAGCCTGTAAAAATGCTTTTATTATTCAAATATAAATATCAATTATTTTGGTGTTTATTCACATAAACAAGAGTGTAAGATAGAAAACAGAGGAGTTTAAATTTTCCAAAAATAAGCCTAAATAATGCAGATGGTATATGAATGTATTTTGTGCCAAATACACGTGTAAGTGTAGTGCCACAGCCCGACTCTACTTAACAAGCCGTGAACAAGAAAATCTGGCAACCTTGGTTTCAGATTGATCGATACACGTTTAGTCATATGATTTACGTTCATTGCCTGTTGGTCTGTTATGTTTTTGTAAATAAATCCACTTTTTGAAAGAAAATATTATTTAGTTAAAGACTAAAGTTGTGAAAAGTCTTACTGTGTGAGATTTGTAAGTTACCGGGACAATTTTTTTCCGTAGACATTGCGTAAAAACAAATATCCGTGGGTGAAAAATTCGCCGGGTTATAAGCGAGGTTAAGTGCTTTCTTCAAAGAATGGCGGCAAATTCGGCGGCGAATGAATATTTTGTGGTGCTTTTTAAAACAATTTATTGCAAGTTAGTTGTTGTAATCAAAAATTACCATGCCAAATCCTTGTTGTGTGCCTGGGTGCATATCCAATTATTAAACTTGTCTTGATGCAGGAGAACCAGCGGCATTTGTTTTTACGTTTCTAAAGGATGAAAATCTTAAAGCCCAATGGCTTAGGAATATTCCGAGGGAGGCATGGTCACCCTCAAAATATTCTGTGGTTTGTGCTAAGCATTTTGTAGAAAGTGACATTATTAGGGAGGAGGATTATCGCTTGCCAGATGGATAAATGCAAAAGGTACCTACTAAAACTAGACTAAAGTTAAATACAGTGCCTAGTATCTTTCCACATTTGCCACATTATTTGTCAAAAACAGTCCCTGTTCCCCGAAAAAGTCCTGCTGAAAGAACCAAAGAAATGCAACATCGAAGTGAGCAATTTAAGCATTTCTTCGGTTCTTTCAGCAGGACTTTTTCGGGGAACAGGGACTGTTTTTGACAAGCAATGTGGCATTTTTTTTTTAGTTTTATGTGGCAAATTTGAGCAAACCTTAAATAAATATAAAAATACGCGCCTTGATAGCCGGTAAAACGGCCCGTCGCGCATTCGCGCTCGCTAGAAACCGATCTGAATCTCTTGCCGGTTGCGGCGTTGCCAAATGGTTGTTCATGGCTTGTTAAGTAGAGTCGGGCTGTGGTAGTGCTGTCGAGAATCACAGTGAAATGAAGTGTTGTTAAGTGTAGAGTTGCGGTTTTAGGTAAAGCGATAAAACGACGCTCTAACCTATTTACATTGATCTGCTATCTATTGGAGTCTCGTTTTCTATTGTAAAGTAAGTTTTTTTCTTCTAATCTGAGTCGTTTTAAAATCATTCTAGTCGATGTGTCAATACTGGACGTCGAACAAGCTGAGATTCTGGTAATTGCTAGGTATTTGCGGCTGTTTATCGATTGTTGCTGGCGGCCTTCAAAATGTTGCCATTATTTTTTATTATATTTACTCGGTTATTATCAATTTATTTTAGAAACGGTATAGAGGAAATATGTTTCTTTTAGCCAGATCTACCACTCCTTTAAATACTTGCACTTATTTCTGGGGCACCCTGTATAAAACTATAGACACGAGGTGTATTACATAAGACTTCCATTTATAGACAAATCCACGTTATATTGGCGAAGGCAATTTGCGAAGGTCCATCAGATGTTAAGAAATTAGCCCTTGACTTAACCAATAGGTCCTGTGCTGACGGTGTATCAATGGCTATTAGTGATATTCAATCTTCTGTGTTAAATCGTAATATTTTGATGGCATATTTCATCTCCACTTTTTAATATAATTAATGTTTTAGATGACGACGGGTATAGTAACAGCCATAACTCATCACCATACGAGTCGGCGTTCAGTCTCGTTTCTGTCAGTGAAATTGGGAGATTAAATAATGTTTTGGAAAAAGTTGAGGTAATTAAATTTAGATTAAGGCGCGATTCTCACTCAAAGGGTAAGAACATAGTGGAGCGACGAGGATAGCTGCGAGCCAGCAGCGCGACATCGCGTCCAAAGCAAACCTGTGAAGACAAGTACGTGTGAACATAGTAAAGCGATCTGCTCGAGCGGTTAGATCAAGCGGCGAGATGACGGAGAGAAAATGATGGATTCCCAAAAATTCATAGATTTAGTAATAATTGTAAGAGAGATTTGTATGGGACCAGAAATATAGTAATCACCATAACCAGTACATTCTAGATAAGTTATGAGATGAAGTGGCAACAAATTTTCGTAAAGGTTATAAAACTTTCCACACTCTCTCCGGTTTTTGAAAATTTCATGTTCAGGATGTCCCATTTTAGTTGAAATCATACGGTATCTCCGTTATTCGTGAAGATAGAAGGATGCGGTTTGTACAAACCTGGCCACTTTTTTGTCAAATGGAAGATGCTGTCAACAAAATTTTCATAGCCCTTTTTGTTTCTAAACTACAGGGTCTTTTCGAAAATTTTTCAATTTGGGACAGCTCCCGTATCTCCGTTATTATAGATGATATCGAGAAGGTTAAAACTGATTCTTGTAGAACTTTTTACGTAGAATAAAGTTTTGTAAATCAAATATTTTTGAACTTAGTAGAACTTTTGACGTAGAATAAAATATTTTTGTAAATATGAACTAAAGTTATGTTTTTTCAAATGGAACACCCTGTATATTTATAAATCATATGATCCGCTTTGCTATGAGCTTCTCAAAAATATATATCACTCCATATTTATTTTCACTATTTACTGCAATATTTAAAATATATAATTTTCTTATTAGTAGGCCGTGATAAATAACAAAAAATCAAAATGGTATTTACTAAAATAGTCATACACATATTAAAATTTTATTTGAAACTGATATATTTTACTTTTAAACTGTTACCACTGAATCTCTCAATATATTTTTCTTTTTTTTTTATAATGGGATAGGGTTGCAAATATCTAAAAGCTTGCATTATTAAAGCATTTTCCAGGTGTTCGACATTTTATTAGTTGCCACCATATATTTCATATTTCAAAAATCGCCAAAATTAGAAATCGAGAATGGACAAATCAGGGAATCAGGGAGACCATCATATGGGTCCATTGGCCCCAATTCATTGATTTGAGAAATAACGTTAACGAAAATTTAACTAAATTCTAATATTTTCGTTGTAAGTTAAGTTATGAGGGGGAGCCCCATATTGCTGAAAGTATATTTCACGTAAATTAGCTAAAGGAATATTTAAAAGTTCCGATACGATAGCTTCCAAGATTTACAAATAGCGGTAGAGAGTAAGTTTCTCTCTTCTAACATATAAAGAATTTATTAGAGGCTCTCAAAATAAAACAAGAGTTACATAGCAGTATACTTTTAATAATTCTTTAGTTTCTTTTATTATCAATGATGACCTACTAATAAATATGATTTTTTAATATATTTTTTTAAATATTGCAGTAAGTAGTGTAAATAAATATAGAGTGATATTTTATATATTTTTGAGAAGCCACTTAAGAAAACATAACTTTACTTCATTTCTTAAAAAATATTCTTTTCGTAGAATAACAGACTACACCACTGTATTCTACGTAAAAAGTTCTACAAGAATCAGTTTTCACCTTCTCGATATCATCTATGATAACGGAGATACCCCTTTGTCCCAAATTGCAAAATTTTCTAAAAAAAAAACCTGTAGCTCAGAAACGAAGAGGGCTATGAAAATTTTGTTGACAGCATCTTCCATTTGACAAAAAAGTGGCCAGGTTTGTACAAACCGCACCCTTCTATCTTCACGAATAACGGAGATACCGTATGATTTCAACTAAAATGGGACACCCTGTACACTACACCTTCTGGTTTGTTGGTTTAGAATTAACCAAATATTTGCGATTCTACTGCTCAAAATTGTAGCCACTGTTAACATTTTAAATTATCAATAAGCAAATGAAAATAATAAATTTGCAAGTACCTCGCTATCTTCGCCAATTTACTATGGTTCAGCACCATGGTACAAAGAATACAAGGTATGATATTGCGCAGGTTGGTCGCTACGTCACAAGTGATAACAGGCGCTATTGGTCAGCACTCTCCGCGCGCCAGTTCAAATAGTCAAGATATTGTTATAAACCTGTTTTTTTGTTTATATACCGTCATTGAATTATCGCTAAGCAAGTTACTGTGGAGCAGTGCGTAAGGAGTCGGGCTAGGAAGCGAGAGACCTGAGTTCGAATCTCGGCCGGGACATAACTTTTTATTTATTTTTTAAATACTGTTGTATTCTATAGTTTATTTTGTAGTATAAAAAAGAACTATTTATTCTGTTATTTTTTAATCTCCGGTATTAATATAAATTGATTGTTGGTACAACACCTCATTTAATATAACATGATATTCTACTTTTTGAAATGTATCGGGCACTAATTGTACCTAAAAGTAATATATGTTTAGTGATATACCATATTGTAAACTATTTAATATTTCAGTCACTTAAAAAGTTAATTTGCATTGAATAATTGCCTACCATTAAAGGAAATTTGAGCTATATAATCCTTGATGGTATATTCTGGGTATGCAAATACTTCCTCTAAATTTTGGGTTTCGTTCAACTGATTTATTCTCAAAACCTGAAACATCTACATATAAAAAGAAAAGCACAGGTCACTAATTATAATAGACTTCACCCTTGGAATTACTTCTATCACAATTACAATACATTCATCTGCATTGGCATTTTCTACTTTTCGATGGGAAACTTCAACTTCCCAACATTTTTTAAACGATGTAACAATTCCTCTTGTGGTTACTTTTCCATAGATATCCTCATCTCTGTCCTCATGTGAATTCAGAGGCAATGAACATGAAAATTATTTACCATAAACATCGCAAACTAAAAACCTAGTAAACAATTTTATACCGAATATAGCAATAAATTTAGTATTCTTACCTATTATTATCGTCCAAATCCATGTTAATAGATAATTATTTTTAAATATATTTTTGGAACTGCTGGTTTTAGTAATTATTAAATTAAACCAGAGATTAAACGAACTAAAAAGTCTTAAAAATAAACAATTCTTAACCATAACCCTAAAAATGCAGATCTCCTGTCAACTTTCTTTATTTTTTATTTATTCATTATTTTCCTAGTGACGTCACAGGTGGTATGCGCGAACTGAACGAAATTGGAGCCGCTATCGATCATACCTTGTATTCTTTGTACCATGGTTCAGCACCTCGACGCGGTATCGCGCTGCTTGCTCGCCGCTATCCTCGACGCTCCACTATGTTCTTGTCACCGTCACGTCGAGCCGCCGCGCCGGCATGCGTCCGCCCACCTCTGTATATATTCTTAATTGGCCAACAACGAACTTATTCACACTACCCATAATGGTGCGTGCAAATCCAGACCTGTTGAGACGAGAGCGAGACGAGCGCGAGACATTCCAAATTCGCTAAGTGTGGACGTGTTTCGCGAGAGCCTCGCAAAACAACCCACGGAGCCTCGTTGCTATCCGTTCCCTGTCGGTTTTTCGACGGCCGATCGAAGAAAGCTCGCGGCCAAGGCTGGACGTGTTTTTGATACGGCGCTCGCTCGACTGCGAGATATTAGCCCTGATTTATGAATTTCGACTATTTAAAGTTAAGTAATCTCAAATTTTTAAATGGTACACCGTATGTATTATAATTTTTTCTGATAGAACTTACAAATTTTATGTCACTGATAATTTTTGCCGTACCGAAATCTACCATTTCTTTAAACAAATTGAATTATTACAAAATCTATTTTTAGATATCAAATGCAAAAAAGTTACCGAATTGTACGTAGAATCTAATAATAAAATAAAAAATAGGGTATTCCCGTTAGAAAATATATGTTATATCTGCAACACTTTTTTGAAGTACCCTGTATACTCTACAGTAATGTTAAAATGTGCTTCTTAACCTTCCCAATAACTTTTCTATTTAACATTTAGTTCTGAAGAATGTTAAAAAACGTATTATGTAAAAAAACGTCGTGTCTCAAAACAAATAAAGGGGTAAAGGGGAAAACAGCCAAAAGAGAAAAAACCGACGATGAATAGAATACAACAAACCAAATACCATGTTAAAGATAAAAAATATTATTACTGTATGCGTTATTATTTGGCAATCGTTTGTTATATTCAATTACAATTTAATATGTGTTTGGCATCCTTTCACTATAATTCAACTCGCTTGTCTCCTGGCAGGCTTGCGTTAAAAATTGATAGAAAATGTCTCGCTCTCGTCTCTCTCTTGTTTCGCTCTTGTCTCGCTCTTGTCTTGCTCTCGTTTCGCGCTCGGCTCGTCAGGTCTGGACGCACCATAACGTACGCGTCGCTTCGTGGCAACGTCCGTCTCCCATTTACTTCGTATTTTATGTCGAGACGGCGCGGCGGCTCAAAATGTCAAAACCAGGATAAGTTATGCGAGACAACCATATATTTTTTAGAACTTAACCAAAGGAAATGATGTAAATAATTTAGTAACATCGAATTTGATGGAGTTATATAACTACAAAATTTCGTATTTGGCTCAAGCAGAGAGAGCAGCCCTGGCTAGTGTGGAAGCTACTACGCGGCACTGTTCGCATCTACAACATAGGTAATCTCATTTATACTAATATTTCCAGAGGCGGATACAGGAACATGTATGTGAGCAGTTACATTTGAATGGTCCAGGGGAAAAACATGATATGCGCCAATTTCTTAATTTTAGGGTTTTACAATATAGTAGATCTCACTGGTCCCTACAAAATGTATAAACTCTCCAGGGCAATTAGCTGATAAATCCTATGATGTGCCTAGTAAAAATATACCAATAAAGGGAAAGAACCTGATAACCATCAGCCGTCCAGAGCTCTCCTGTAAAATTAGTAAAATGGCGCTTATCATGTTTTTCCCCTGGACCTTTCATGGAGTGTTGTGTGTCCCCTTTAGTTACATGTCTTTGGTTATATGAAATACCCGATTTAATTAGTGGACATTCCAAACTACTGTTTTACTTTAAATTGTTTCTAAGAAAAGATCGATTTTGGTTCATCCTATAAAACGCAATAATTTTGTAGGAAACCGTTAAATTTTCAGTCCACTTATTTTTCAAAACAGTTTATTTTTAAAGAGTATTTTTTTAATACTAAATACAGACATTCTTTTTTGTATTTAGGATATCAAGGTTAACGATTGAACAAAATCAACTGCAGCAGTCTCTATACCATACTATGCAGAAATTGGAAGAATCTATTAATAAACAAAATCAGTTGAGGAAGGATCGTAATGACCTAACTAACAGGTAAGCAAAAACTTTGCTGTTTTTCTTATGACTTACATTAAAAATTTGGTTAAAAAATGACTTTACTTTTTTTAAATTTTACTATACAGTAGAACTTCGATAGTTCGGACATATATTAGAACAGCCACAGCCGAATTAATGAAGTATCCAGATTACTGGAGAAATATTTTTCTAATGTTATTGTTTCATACTTTTATTGTTTCCAACCTAAACTCAAAATGTAAACAATTTTATTTATACCAAAACACAAAGCGCTTTATAAAATATATTAAAACTTCTTTTTATTCTTATAAATTGTTATTATTGTACCTATATGCACCCATAAGATAACTCAGTTACTAATGAAGTAACTACACACCATGGCTGTAATGTTCTACAAGCAGAGGTTTACGATATAAAGGAAGCGACCAGTTGTATAAGAGGGAAAATCGCTGATAGACCAATAAGAAATATCGTGATATACTCTGACAGCTTGAGCGCTTTAAGAAGCGTCACCATGCAATCAGTGAGGTCGAAAATTGTGATGGACTGTCGAGAAGCACTGTCCTGGCTGTGTCAAGGCGGGGCGACGCTATGCTGGGTGCCAGGCCACACACACAATAAAGACACGCCAAAGAGGGGGACAGGGGAGAGGTCGTGGCAGATGACCCACCCCTTATAACGATCAGCATCACTGAAAGAAGCTATAGAAACTCCCATCAAGGCCAAGCAGCAAGAGCCGTAGCAACATCGTGAGGACTGCGCTACAGCTCGAAGACTGGCCAGTGATCGATAGCAGAAAGACAACACAACTACTAGAGCACAAATGAACCTAAAAAATGTCTATACCTATGTGGCGGATTCATCTCTCCAAAAAATCCTCTATGGGTATTTCGCCACTGCAAGAAAATCTACAAAATAAAATAGTTATTTTTTGTAAACACTTCTGCCTCAATCCCAAACGGAAACTACTTGTCAGAAGTTATATTTACAGTTATACAAATTTGCCTAACGAACAAAAAAATGCTTAACGTTTCGGAAAGTTTATCTCTTTCCGTCGTCGGAAGCAAAAATAATACAAAGAATAAAGAAAAAAACTATTTGAAGACTTTTTGAGATAAACAACATTTTTTGTTGTATAACCAATGTTTTTAATACAGTTTTTAATAGCCGTGGCACTTAGCGATTTATATATGTTGTTGGTTATGGAACTTACAAATAAAACATGACAAATCGATTCTTTGACACTTAGAACCATTATTTACTTCAAGTCTTCCTTTAAAATATTTAAATTCAACTATTCGAGAACACTTTAATTTTTTAAAACAGATACGTCTACAAAAATAATAATATATTAATAATATATATACAGGGTGAGTCTTAAATAAGTGCAAATATTTTCAGGAGTGGTATATTTTGACCCCAGGAACACGTCTATGAGGTTTTTTTCGCAAAAAAAAGATTTTGAAAATCGTGCATTTTCTTTTAAATTTCCCTGTATATTTTTCGAAAACTTTAGAACTGCCCGTTCACCGCAAATTTTCCCACGGTATAATTTCTTAATCTCTGATATTACCATAGTTACGGCTTTACTCCATGGTTACGGCTAGCGATGGGAACTATCGAATGAATTAGACTATCTATTGGTTACTGAATGAATGATTTCAACTATCGAATGGTTTTATTCGAATAAAATCATTCATTCATTTGTATACTAAAGCATATGTGACAACCTCGCCGTGCGACTAAATGGTTATCGTTGAGCTACGACTATCGAATGCTTTTGATAAATGAAATTTAGTCAGAGTATTCGTTTGATTTTTGTGTGCGTCAGTGCATTAGTAGTTCTTCCAAATTTTTATAACTTCGCCTTATAAATACTGTGCTATTTTTGCGTTTATTAAAATATTTAAAATACTAAAATAGTAGTTTTTTTTAATTGACGATTGTGTGCGTGTGCAGGTGTCAAAATTTTTCAGAAAATTTGTCTGATTTTCCGTAGCCCGATCTTTCAATTATTTTATTTTATATGGTATATGGTCTATTTTTTAATGGGAAATTTTGAGAAGTAGCAATTTTTAAGAGAGATGAGATGAACTTAGAATTAATTTTAAAAATACATATTTGTATTTTAGATGTTTTAATAATATGAATTAGTTGAACTTAATAATCATATTTAAGTAATGTGGTTAAGTAAATGGGGTTATCGAACTCAAACTATGGGGTGAGAAAATTAAATTGAAAGTTTTACACATGCCAATTTAAAAAAAAGTTAACGATGTTTGTATTTTGTTTATGCTAATTCTCTTACATGTAGTTTTTTGCGAAGAAATATTTCATTTATTTTTTAAAGTAAATGCCAGTAAAAGTAAATATTATTTTTAAATAGTAATATAAAGTACCTAATATAAATCATTTTGATTTCTAATTTTTTATTTATATTTTCCTTCCATTACACTGCATGCTTAGAAAATTAATAAATGTTTATATTTCATGATTTTAAAGTTTGTTGTTAATATAACAAATTAGTTCTGTGTGGAATTATTATTATTTAATAAACCAACGTTGCCACAAAAAATTTAAAAACTATATAATTTTTAAATAGGATCTAATATAAATAATTTTGGCATCTAATTTGTTGTTTATATTTTGCTACTACGTAAAAAAATGTTTATATTAAATTATTTTAAATTTTGTTGTTAATAGGTATAACAAATTATTACTGTTATTATTATTTTTATTAAACCAGTCTTTGCTTAAAAACATTAAAAATAATTTTCCTACATCCAAAATAACAAGTATTATTGCAGTGTAACAACAGAATATTAATAAAAAAAATTCAAAATATATAGACATACTATCCCTAACTAACTAAAGCCAAACAATAATATTCTTTGCTAATATCAACTAATACCAATATATGGCAACAGCGCCCTTCATAATGTATTTTCTGTGTAAATACTAGCACCTCAATAAAAAAAATAATGTGTTCTTATCTTTATATGACTCCGCAAAAAATCAAAGATGCCGGCTTCTTTCATAGCATTGCCACCGACCGCTGTCGGGTTTCTCGGAAAGAAACCTACGTCGCCGGGCGACAACTAAAATCCAGTTAATATTTTATTATAATCGATCCTGACCAATAAATGAATTTCATAAATGAATGAATTTTATAAATGAATGGTTTTTGCTGCCGAATTACTAGAATACAATATTTCAAGGCAGATGACGCATCTATTCGATAATTTTTATTCGAGTAGTTTTCAACGAATGTTTTCTTACTAGCTGTCGAATTATTCGAATGAATTGCAACTATCGAATGTTTCGATAGTATTCATTCGATAGTTCCCACTACAAGTTACGGCACTAAAAGGGGTGCAGATACTGAAAAAATCCGGTGGCTCTCAAGGCTTTTCAAAAAAAGATCATTTTTTGTTTAATTTTCAAACTTAAATAACTCGGTCTTTTATCGAGATCTACCAGAAAAAATAAAAATATTTGCACTGATTTAAGACTCACCCTGTATATTATAATTATACAGGGTGTCTCATATTTTAATCGGGAAAATTTAATAGACGATAGAACTTGCAAAAATAAAACAAATGTATATTTATTATATTATTTATTATAATTTATTTTGTTCTGGCTATATAGAACGTCAACGGTTTTTGTAGACGTATCTGTTTTAAAAAACTAAAGTGTTCTCAAATAGTTGAATTTAAATATTTTAAATAGTTTTTTTCTTTATTCTTTGTATTCTTTTTGCTTCCGACGACGGAAAGATATAGATAAACTTTCCGAAACGTTAAGCATTTTTTTGTTCGTTAGGCAAATTTGTATAACTGTAAACATAACTTCTGACTATATGTATGACTATATGACTTATATGTTTAGTTGGTTCTATTTTTAGCAATATACGATTACTCCTGTACTACAAAGAAAACACTACATACTGCATCTAAACGTCCACCGTCATTCGTTTGCCTTTGAATTTCGTTGGCATCCGGAATAAAGAGGTAAAAATGTGAAAATTGTCTGGTTGATAAGAAACGCCGAACTACTAGAGGGTCCGATTTTGGGCCGTGTCCGAATTAGTGAAGTTCTATTGTATTTTCTATTTAGTTTGTTTCATGATTCTTAAAATTCTTATACGAATTGTGATTTCTAGTTTAGACTCTGAAAAGAACAAAACAAAAGATTATCATTCTGCATTAGCCCTGAAAGAGAAAGAAATAAAAGATCTTGAAACATCTCTAAGTGAAGTCAGAAACAAATTAGCGGAAACAACGAAAGCGAAAAACAGTGCAGAAGAACAGCATATGCAACTCCAACAAGTACTGTCAAAAGTACAAGAAAACTACAGCAGACTTGAAAAAAACTTGAAGAAAAAAGAGGACTTACTTCAAGACGCTTTGGGGACAATAGCAAATTATTCTAATGTAAGTTAAATTTATAGAAGTTGGGAATACTTGTTTTGTAATAATCAACGCCATAAGATTAGTATTAGAAAGGATGATATCTCCATCATCACGACGCGTGACATGCCATTTTCATACCTTCTCTATTGCACTTGCGCAGCATGGCAAAGAGTACTGATGACAGAAAATCGCTCATTACTGCTAGTGATGGGAATAATCGAATTATTTTCACCATCGAATAATTAGTAATAATTCATATTTCACAATCGAATTAATAATTCGAATTATTGAGTAGTATTATAAATTTATATAAAATAAAAAAAAATTCTTTATTCAATGTATTCTATTAACTGTGCCGAAGCCGTTTAATAAATTAAACCATAATTTAAAGTTTTAAATTTAAAAGTGCCGAGTATCGTATTTTTTCGTATTTCTTTTTATTTTATCAGTTGCAATCAATAATTATTTAGATAAAAGAAGAAAATTAATTTTAGTGTTCGGCAGGTGTTCGGTGTAATTTGGGTGAGATGGAAATGAACCAAATAATAGTAGTATTCTTTCGTTCTGAACGAAATGAACATTTTCACTTAAACTGATTTATTCCTACGTGGTATAGGAAATAACAATGATTTCTGGATTTTTCTATATCGGATCGTTCCTTTCTTTGTCGATTCCCTTTATAAATCAGTTTAAGTGAAAATTTTCAGTTCGTTCAGAACGAAAGAATACTACTAATAGTACTATACTAATTACTAATATTCGTATTCGTCCATAGGAGGTTATGTTTTATGTTCATTTGTAATTCGGTTAACCACAGATATAATATAAAATACTACTAATTTTTATCTCGATATATCGAAAAAGATAATTCGAATTAGTTAGTTTTAATTTACTATCGAATTAGTCGTATTATTTAATACTAATACGAATTTTCCCAACACTAATTACTGCTCACGGCATCGGCAGTGTGAATGTATGAACACGGAAAATTCTACCCGCGAGTTGGCAATACCGCCGAATTTGCACAATTTGGTGTGGTCCCAGTATTAGAAACCAGGGACGTGCGGTGAAATTTTAAGTTACGGAAGCAATTTTTAGAAACTTACCTATTTGTAATAAGAAAAATTTGAAATAATAGTGGAGTGCCCAGGTGAAACCTTCTGTATTGTGTTTTATAGATAAAATACCGTATGATCGAATAAAAACGGCGTCAACGATGGCTATGAAATGAAGATCGCTGTCATTTTATATGTAAAATTATATGGGAAATGTCATCGATCGTCATTTCCAAGCCAACTGGACGCTGTTTTTTTTCGATCATACGGTACTAAAATGTTTACCCATTTTTTTTTCGTTGCTTTTAATTTTTTATTTTAGTAATTTTAGTAAATTCTTAATTATTTCCTTCTTAATATTTTGATTTTTAATTCTTTTTCTAAGTAAATTTATTGAAATAAATTAATCTAATGCATAACCTATACCTATTCTGCTTATATTCTAATCGTTGAAATTTTGATTGAAATCGAATTATACAGGGTGGCGCGTCATATACGACGCGGTTTTTGCAAGGAGAACAAAAGTTTGTATTGAAGTGAAATTTTGTTAGTCAATTTAAAGCATTTTCTAAAATTATGTAGAGTTCTACAGGGTGTCCCCTAAAAAAGTTATACATCAAAGTTATGTTTTTTGTAATGGAACACCCTATATATAAATTGATTTTTGAAAAGGTTTGTTTCATTAGAAAAGTATATGACTAAAATGTATAGTTTTTGAAATACATTCACCGGCACGAAAAATGGGCACCTTAAAACTTTGATTTATTTTAAAGGTTAATATATTTTATTTTAATGGGCCGATTTTGATGATTTTTTAAGCAGTGTGTTGCCAAATTACTTGACTTTTTGTATCTTTTTTTAAATTAAAAATGAAACTCCTCATCTGTTAATTATACGAGGGAAAACAAAATGTTGATATTTTGGTGAAAGTTTGAAACCCTGTGAAATATGTTAAAACAGCTAGAAATTTTCATTTCAAAAAATCATTTTATCATCTAGATACATCCTTTCTCGATTGTTTTGTTCTTTGGATTATTCTTGACATTAGCTTTATTTTTGTTGTATAAATATTCGGTTATAAAGAAGGCACTAACATTTTTTCGTAATTTTACATTAAGAGCATGCCTTTGCTTTTGGGACTAATCAACACATCTAGTAAGTTCTGGTACTGAAGCAGGCCTTCTTGACATAAGATTTGCTTCTTTTAATCTTCTTGTAGTCCGTTAGTTAATATGTACGGTCCTTAAGTGCAATTCATTATCAATTTGAAAAGCTGGCAAACGGCACGGCGGTTACTGAGTTGTGATAAACTTACAATAAGTCCATCGACTCGATTAGAAGTTCTCATACGAAGGTTCCTGGACGTCTAGATTGACTGCTTCATGGACGTGGTCATAATTCAAAGACCATTTAATATACTCTATGGTATTAAGGTGTTTTTGGAACCGGAATCTTATAGCAAATTCACTGAACTCGAATAAATAAATGATATATATTTGACTCACCCTGTATATTATCTATAAAAATATTTTTGAAATGTGTATTACCATTAAACATATATTTTGTAAAAGGTATGGAGTCAAAATCTCAAATAGGAATCCTGATACAGAGCTTTTCCGGAATACGGAGCCATCTTGTATTTGTATATGTGTGTTTATTTGCAACGAATTAAAATGTGTAAACTTTGTAATATATCTTATTAACAATACAATGCAAAAAGTTTTATAAAAATTCGTTCACAGTAAATGAATTCCGAGGTTTGTATCCCATAAAGGCTTAAAGCACTCCACTATAAGAAAAATTGCGTTCTACTGAATTGTGACAGGTATTGTCAATACTAATTTACACAACTTCGATACATCGGTGTGGGCATCTTCTAGCTCCTTGTCTTTTAAAAATTGCATTATATAGTTCTCTAGCGTTATTTTTTGCAATAATGTCATCAGTTTCGTAAATCACATTTAGTTCAGATCGCAGTAACACTCGGTCGAAGAACTGGCCATAATGAAGAAGAAGAGATTTAAACGCATCTTCTGGAAAAGTGTTTCCTTTATATGCATCAAAATTGTAGGGCTCGAGGAATTTGAAATCATTTAAACCGTTAAATCTACAGTTTATTTGTTGCTGAATATCTGTCCGAGAAAACAAACGACATCGATAAGTCTTTTTAATATTTGCCTATTTTTATCGACTAGTTCATTGTGTTGGCGGTGACTAATTATCAACTGCTTATTAAGGGCCTTTTCAATTCTGGTTTTGCCAAAGACTTTTTCTTTTACGACGGCCTGCAAATGTGCTTTGGACATAATGTGTCTTTTTACAAGTTTTTGGAAATTGACAACTTTTAATCGGCATTAAACTGCTTACACTATTTTGCTAGCAAGAGAAAAAAAGTCAGTGGCGTACATGCTTTTTTTACAGAAAATATTCCAGTGATAACCCATATGCACGTCTCTGGTAAATATGTCGACACTTTTTTAGCTTTAAAATATGTCGCAATTATAGTAACTTTTATCCTGAAAATTTCATTCGAAACGATAAAAGTACTAAGAAAATTATAATAAATCGAAAAAATATTAAAACTTTAACACCCTGTAGCTACGAAACAAAGCAGAATCGCACCTATGTTGATATGAAAAATAAATCTTATTTTTACGTTAGGAATCTCCCCACGAGAGATGGCACATATTTTTTGAAACACCCTGTATACTACCCCTCAAAATATTTGCAGTTATGTAAGACTCACTCTGTATATCCATAAGAGATTTTCATTTCAAAGGCTACTTTGACTATGTAACTAGAATGTAGAATGTAGAATGTTTAGGAGGAGAGTTAATCACCGCGATCTTATAGATCTATTGTGTGTTCCCCTTTCTTGAGTTATAACGAGTTATAACTCATCATACAGTCTCAGGGCTTTAACAAAAGCCAGTATCTGAGACGGCTCCACAGAGGCCAGCTCTCCATCCTCGACATCAGACGTTCCAAGATTCGTGGCACGAATGGTCGTCGTCTCGGCGCACTCAGTGTTCTGGTGTTTCCCCATTTTCCCCACAAAATCTGCATTCGCCGTTGTTTCTCAGTTTCAGCCTACTGAGGTGTTCGTTGAGGAGACAGTGTCCTGTTAGAAACCCCGTGACAATCCGGAGATTGTTTTTACTTAAATCAAGAAAAACCTTTGATTTTTCTCGGTCATAAGTTCTTTGCCTAATTTGTTGAGCTTCTCTAGGCATTCTTTGACCACCTTCGAATTGATGGTTACTGAGTTTATCGCGTTAAGTGCTACTTGACTATCGGATAAGATGGCAATTTCCTGTTTTCGATAGTTCCTATCTAAGATAAATTGTACGCATCTTTCGATAGCGCAAATTTCTGCCTGAAGGATACTGGGGTAGGTGCCCATTGGTTCGGAATATTTAGTTTTCGGCCCAAATACTCCTATTCCTGTCCCTGCTTTGGTTTTGGAAGCATCAGTATACCACGTGATGGTATGGTCTTTTATATGCTGAGTAAGCGTTTCTTTCTTCCCCCATTCCTTTTTATTACTCAATACTACAGTGAGGTGTTTCTCAAAGTTGTAAATTCTTGGTATGTCATCCACTGGGAGTTGGAGAAGTGGAATTTTCTTTTTGAGGGTGTTCCAAGCCCCTGACTTGAAAATTCTCCCAGTACTGTTTCCGCCAATGACCATTCTAATCATTGTCGCATTGGCAATACTACAGTGAGGTGTTTCTCAAAGTTGTAAATTCTTGGTTTGTTATCCACTGGGAGTTGGAGAAGTGGAATTTTCTTTTTGAGGGTGTTCCAAGCCCCTGACCTGAAAATTCTCCCAGTACTGTTTCCGTCAATGACCATTCTAATCATTGTCGCATTGGCATAACTACCGACGACAATGTGCAGTGGTGTTAGGTCTAGAATGACCTCCATTGCTGCTGTTGGACATGTTCTCATGGCACCTGTGATGCAGATACATGCCAGTCTCTGTACTTACACAGGTTACAGGTTTTGCCTTGCTGTACGTTGCTCTAGTTTTGTATACCAAGCAACTGCTCCATAAGTAATCATGAGTCTTACTATCATGGTATACATCCAGCGCAAAATGTTAGGGACGCAGCCCCACCTATTTCCCGCCAGTCTTCTGCATATCATGAGAGCCTTTGTGGCTTTGCTGGTAATGTTCTTAATATGCCTGTTCCAGAGAAGTTTACTATCCAGGATTATTCCCAGATGTTTCACTTCCTGTGATGGCAGTATTTCCTTTCCATCTAGATGGATTCTTTTCAAGTTTTTCAAACTTCGCTTTCTGGTGAATGGCACTACTGCGGTTTTATCTGAGTTAATACTCAGCCCGACAGTCCTGCACCATCTCTCAGCGATACGCAGTCCTCTTTGGATAATATCACACAGGGTGCCTTCATGCTTCCCCCGTTCTTCCAGTAGTTCATCCACTACCAAGCTCCATAGTAGGGGGGAGGTCACTCCACCTTGTGGAGTTCCTTGCGTTGTTTTAACAACTACAGTTTTGGTACCTATCTCAGCCTCTGCTGTACGTGTTGAGGGCATTTCCCAAAACCAGCGAATTATCGTACTGTTCACCCCTCTTGTTTCAAGAGATCGCTTGACCACCTTGTGAGGTATATTGTCAAACGCCTCTGCAATGTCCAAGAAGGTACAAAGTGCTGATTCTTTGCTATCCAGGCTTGTATTAGCTCAGTTAACTGGTACAGAGCAGTTTCTGTGGATCTGCCAACTCTATATGCATGCTGACTATCGTGCATTGGTTTAACCTGTAGATGATTTACTCTAATATGGTTGTCCACTACTTTCTCCATCGTTTTTAATATGAACGATGTGAGACTAATAGGCCTAAATGATTTGGGGTTAACCCAGTCAGTTTTGCCTATTTTGGGTATGAAGATGACTTTCGCTCTTCTCCAGATGGTTGGTATATATCCCATCGCTAAGCTGCTTCTTGTAATGTTTAATAGATGGAGTGTAGCTATTTCCTGACCCTTCTTTAGAAGGGCAGGAAAAATCCCATCTATTCCTGTTGTTTTATAAGGCTGAAAGGTGTCAATAGCCCATTTCAGTTTTTGTTCTGTTATTACTAGCTTGGCCGTCTCCCAGTCTTCCCTTCGAGGATTGTGGGGTTCGGTCGGAGCTACTTGCGTATCAATAGATATGCTACCTGGAAAGTGTGTATGAAGTAGGAGGTTAGACCTCTCTTCATCTCCTTCCGTGTAACTTCCGTCAGGTTTCTTAAGTGCCATGTTGGTGATGGGCCCACTCTTGGCCATAGCTTTGTGTAGCCTAGCTGCATAAGTAGTTGAAGTGATGTTTTTGCAAAAGCATCTGAAGTCAGACTGCTTTGCCCTTCTAATCTCATTATACTCAGTTAATTTCTCGGCGTAGAGCTGCCATTCGCCGCTGGGTTTGGCTCTGTTGAAGAGTCGTCGGACCTCCGATCTAAGATTGGCCAGCTTTTTGTTTCACCAGGGCTTGTTGTTACTTGCCCTTACTTGTGGGGCAACTAGATTCATAAGCATTCAATATTGCACCACTGACTTCCTTTGCGTACCATTCTAGATACAGGTGGTTCCTAGCCCTACCTGCATCTATTTCGTCCAGGTTGTCTACGAGATTGGTGTGGTATAGTTTCCAATCGGTTTTTCTTGGATTCCCCCCTTCGAATTTCAGTTTGGAGTATGATGCCTACTAATTTGAACTCGATGATTCTGTGATCTGATAGGGAAGGTTCCGTTGAGACCCTCCAATCTTTCACGTAACTAGTTACACTAGCACTCCCGATTGTTAAATCTAATACTTCCGCCCGCGTTTTTCTCACAAACGTGGGGGTGTTCCCTATATTGAGAACTTCAAGATTGTATGCTAAGAGGACTTCTAGTAAACACTCACCTCTAGTGTTACTATTAGTGCTTCCCCATACCTCATTGTGCGTATTGGGGTCACATCCTTCACAATAGCAGAGGTAGTCGCCGTTGGCTGCAGAATCGCGCAAGCTCCTCTACTGCCGGAGGCGGTGTTTGTCCATCACCCGGAAAGTATGCAGAGGCAATCACGATATTTTTGCTACAATCCTCGATATTAAGTTGAACCATGGTTGGAACAAGATCTCGGGTTGTAAATTCTGAAACACATGTGTAGTTAATGTTGTTTCTTATAAGAATACAGGCTCGGGGAAATTCCTGCCTGTTATCATATATTACACTGGATTTTTTTCCAGACAACCCTTTAATTTGTCCCTGATACACCCAGGGTTCCTGGGCTAGTACCATTACATGTTGGTTTTTCTCAAAGAGTCTTGTAATTGTGGCGGAAGACCCTTTTGCATGGTCAGGTTTATTTGGGATATCCCATGCATCAGGTTTCTGGGGTATGTAAGGATCCCCCTGTTGTAGGGAAGACAGGGTATTTCCCATCCCCCCCTGACAACAGATGTTCCTCCTCCGAGGAGTGGTCATCAACCTCCTCCGAGGATATACACCCTTTCACGGTTGGAGTTTCGCCATCCGTGTCCTTCACAGTCGAGGAGCTTGTCTCCGGCTGAGGTACCTGTGAGGTGGGGGCTGGAGTATTTGTCTCCATTTTCTCCCCCTCTTTAGCTTGTTCTTTTCTGGGACCTGATACCGGTACCGTCCCGAATCTATAATAGAGGTTATATCCCTCTTTCTCTATTGCCTTCTTGGATTTGAGGTCAATTCCTATTGTGAGGACCTGACCATGGCCCTCCTCCTTCGAGTTGAGGACTCGCCAGCTCGATGTACTCACATTCTCGTTCTGAGCCTGGATAAGGTCTAGCAGGTAGGTGGTGTCTTTCTCCTTGTTTCTTGGTAGAAAGACCGTGATGGTTGTCCCTAACATTTGTTCAGGGATGTTTTCTCCCCTCATTGCAACCAGTCCCAGCCCCTGCCAATTTTTAAGCTTAGGTGCCGTTTCCACCAACCAATCCGCCGATTTTTCAGATGCAATGTATGAGGATCATGCCCACCCTAAAGTGTATCCCCGCAAAGCGCAGCTGACCCACACTTTGTGGATCGTTGCGTCGCAATCCGCTCGCTACTACTTCGTCCAGTATCGCCTCTTCTAGAGCCTTTGCTGGTCGGTAGTCAGTACAACCTCCGGGTATTCCTTTGGCAGCACCGCAATTTTACGACTATGTAACTAATAACCACTAATACATAATAATAATAGCTCCCGTATATAGTGTTTAACGCCTTGGGAGTAGCAAGGTACAGCTTGCTATACTAGAGCCGTTCGGTACACAAGGAAGGTAATGTGGCTAGCTTAGTGTGAAGCACTACGCTTCAACCGCCTATTATTACCTCAGGATTTGAATCCCAAGTACTAATTTAAGGCTGAGTCGACCTAGTTACCCAAACTATTTTTATTTTAATAAAAATAGTCGGCTGATGAAATGCTGGGTGTGGGATTCGAACCCACTACCTTGAGATTGGTAGACGAGAGCTTGTACCCCTACGCCACCGGGTACCTTACCACTAATATTATGGACATTATAACTGATATTATATTTTTCAGGAAATAGCCGACTTGGAAAATTCACTAAAAGAGACACAAAAACAATTGGATGAGACTAGGACCACGTTGCAAATGAAATCAGCTATCTTGGAAAGTATCACAAAAATGGCGAATAGCTCTCAAGTTTCATGATTGTGCTCGCCCAGAATGCTAGATTATAGAGGAAGTGTACCATATGTGTAATACGAAAATAAAAGTCAAGTTTATTTACCACGGAGTCTATATTAACTGGCTTGGCGTGTCTACACTATTAAATTTGATAAATCTGAATTGACATGATTAATTTCATTTATGATGATTACATGCCAGTGTTATGCTATAGTAAACGCCACGAATGTTTGGGAGTGATTCATCGGTCGCTACCATGTGAACTAATCTGCTCAAGGAAGGAACATAAAACTTAATTCCAGTGCCGTGGTGTTTCAAGTCATAATAGTCAATATATAATCTGTTGTTATTTGTTGTTTTAACTGTCAAAGTCTTGTCAAAACATATATTTGGTTATAAATATTAACTGGAATGCCCCATTGGTCGCATTGCAAGCACACCAAATCAATTAAAGAAACGCGATATAGTATCGTCTTTGTCAATCACGCTAACATTTTAGAATAAGTAGGAGAAGCGCAGGCAGATGATTAGACCGGGCCTTTAAAAACCTACGTCTGCGGTAAAAATTTACGTTTTTAATGTAAAAATGATAGCGCGCGTGTCGATTCTAATTTCATCAAGCGATGAGTCACTCCCAAACATTCATGGCGTTTACTATAGATACATATAGGTCATATCAAATAAACTTTTAATCACGTGATTATCCTGACCGGCACAGCGTGGCCCACTCTTATATATTTTCTTTTAATCAAAATATTTTAGGAAAGAAAAATAAATTATAAATATATAAACAGTTATTATTTACATCAACAAAACTCACCTTCTTAACAGCACTTAAGCGACATAAAGAGCCATTACTACCGCTTTCCTGTTCAAAATATTCTGATATCTTGTTATTCTAAAACTTGCAATGACTTTTTTACGGCTATGAAGCTATCTTGTCCACTTCGCACTAAAAGATGTTCTAAAAAGAACAATGTTCGACTGCAAGGTCTGCTAGTAAATATTTTTAAGCTTAAAGTGTCACAATAACAATTTATTTAAACCAAAAACTTGTTATACAAAACTAAAGTGTCTAAACGAATGACGATGTCAGGAAATAAATAAATATTGCAACTTGACATTTTTTACAGCAGAGCTACCACCTGAATCCCCAGCGCGTAATTTAAATTCCAGATGTCAGCCCGGTACTGAATATGTCCATGGTTGGCAACAATGAATTTAAAAATTGCGCCCTCGATTACGTAAATAAAAGTTTAATTGATATCAAATACAGAGTGTCTCAATAATCTGTAGACATAGAGCTGTTATGTATTTTTGGAATCAACATAAGTTCAAATCAAAATCAAAAATTCTTCATGTGAATCAAAATGTTGATTATGATGAAAATCGTTGTTTAACGGATAGGCAACCTTAATAGTATTTAGATGATATATGAATTCTCCATAAGTATTGAAATAATATATACCGGGTGACACCCGGTATATTATTTCAATTCTCATCCAGGTGTTCCATTTAAAATAAAGGAGTAACTTGCTTTTAAATGTGACCAATGTCCAATTTTAATTTTGTCTCATCCTGTATAACTTTTCGGGTCAAATTTTAATTTGATTTAAAGTTTAATAGTTATTTTGACTACATAATACGCTATACTGGATAAATTAAAATTTAGATAGCATTTATTGAAATTTTAAATTTGTTCTTCATTTTTAGAAATTGTTAAATATGTCAAAAACATTAGATTTTAGCCATATACTTCTCTAATGAAACTCACCTATATTTTTCTCCTAGAATCCGAAAATCAATTAATATACAGTGTGGCGCACCTCATTCGCCTCGGTTGTTTATACGAAAACGGAAAGATGTAGAAACAAAATATTTTATGGGCATATGTGGGGAGGTACTGTGCACAATTTAAAATTATTTTGAAATGTACAGAGTGTTTCAGAACTAAGATCCATACCAAAGTTATATTTTTTCTTATGGAACACCCGGTATTTAATTTCATTTTTGGATGCTTGGGCCCAAAATAGGTATTTATTATAAGGGTTAAATTTGTTTATAATCTTTGGTTTTTGAGATATTGAAAGATATCTAAATTTGCATGCTACAATCGAATAGATTATTAACACCCTGTACATTACTTTTCAGAATTAGTTCTTGTGCTGAGTTTAAAGGTAGAGAAATAAACTTTACAGAAAAATTATATTCCTTAAATGTATACAGGGGTATCAAAAATTGCTGGTCTATTTTAAATATTTATTTTACATAAAAACTTTGTTATTTCAAATGCAACACTATGTATTTTTTTAAACAAGTCGAAGCAGATTTAAATGCTCTTTCAAACTATATTAGGGTTTCCTATACCTATCTGGCTTAGATTTTGAATAAAAAGCGATTTTTCAATAAAATTGTAATCAAGATGGCTAGTGTTGTCATGGCAAATTTCTAGTGACAGTTAGTAGCTATTTTCAAAATCGAAATTAGTTTATGGACTTATTTAAATTTATACCAGTTTACTTTTATTAAATTTACCTGCAATAGTTTAATAAATAATATTTATTAAATATGTGTTTTTTATTCTATCAAGAAAAACGAAGAAGTAGCCTTTGAATTATTTTACGATGACTTGTAGATAAATGGATTTTCTATAAAAGAGCCAATTACGGCAAATTCATTTTCTTCACTTCCAACGACAGGTTTCTGCCTAATAGGTTTTTTATAAACCACACTGCCAGGCGAATTAGGACAGGAAGTTTTTCAAAGAAACTCTTATCAGGAAGATTCCTATTTGGATATCTTTGAGCGTAAGCCCTTGAGGCCAAGAAGCAATTTTCCTCACAAAATAATATCACTAGTAACATATCTATTCGTTCCGCCAGCAGATACTGCTTTATTTTTCTTGATAAAATAATGAATACTTACTTATTAAACTATTGTAGGTAAATTTAAGTAAACTGTTATAAATTATAAATAATAATGTCCATAAACTAATGTCGACTTTGAAAATAGTACTAAGTGTATAGTAACTGTAGTATATTACTAACTGTCATCTGCTGTCATTAGAAAATTGCCATGGCGACACCAGCCTTCTTGATTACAATTTTATTTAAAAATCTCTTTTTATTCAAAATCTGAGCTAGATAGGTATAGGAAACCCTAATATAGTTTGAAAGAGCATTTGAATCTGCTTCGATTTATTTAAAGAAATACAGGGTGTTACATTTGAAATAACAAAGTTTTTATATAAAATATATCCTTAAAATAGATCAGCAACTTTTGATAGCCCTGTATAAATTTAAGGAACCAATACCATTTTTCAGTAAAGTTTATTTCTCTACCTTTAAACTCAGCATAAGAATTCGTTCTGAAAAGTAATGTACAGGGTGTTAATAGTCTATTCTCTTGTAGCATGCAAATTTAAATATTTTTAAATATATCAAAAACTAAAGATTTTAAACATATTTAACCCTAATAATAAATGCCTTTTTTTGGGCCCAAGAATCCAAAAATGAAATAAAATACCGGGTGTTCCATAAGAGAAAATATAACTTTGGTATGGATCTTAGTTCTGAAACACCCTATATATTTCAAAATAATTTTAAATTGTGCACATTGTCTCCCCACATATACCCCTAAAATATTTTGTTTCTACATCTTTCCGTTTTCGTATAATCAACCGAGGCGAACGAGGTGCGCCACCCTGTATAGGGTGTTCCATTAATAAAAACACAGTTTTGATGTGTTACTTATTTTACTACAGGGATACCCTGTAGAACTCTTTATATTTTTAAAGAATAGTCGGTCAACCTACATATACTCACAAAATTTCATTTGTTGCATTTTTAAAATAATTACCTACAAGTATAGTTTAAGATTTTCAAAACTGTTTTTATATTTGGAACTGCTCAGGAGCGGATACAAGAATATATTTTAGGGTGCCCAAATAAAAAATAATGAAGAATATACTATTTAGGGCACCATTTTAACCCAAAAGTCTAATAGTTAAACCAATTTATATATTTTAGGGGGGGGGGGGCAAGGCCTCATGAGCCACCCCTCTGTATCCGCCACTGGAACTAGAAATATTTAAATCATCTGTCTAGTTTTTTTAATTTTTTTTGTGAGATGTATCTTTAAACAAATCAAATTTTATTAAAATCTTCCCTCTTTGATGGAAATGTATTGCAATTAATACAAAATATATACAAATATTTTTTGGTAAAACTCGAACAAATAAACTGCTTTATAAAAAATATGTACCCATCCTTTGTGATAAATTATATTAATAAAAAATCAAGACTGAAAGCATTATTATTTTCCCCTTTTCTTGTTATTTTTAGATTATGTAAACAATTAAAAATAAAATATTTGTTTAAAATGATGTATATAAAACATTTTTTAAACTATTGTTATAATTTATCATATTATGGTCGAAAATACACGACGCCGACGCCATGCAAAAACTGCCTAGATAAATCATCTTAAAGTTACAAAAATAATGGCTGACATGTCAATAAAGGGATGATTAATCTTTGTTTAATCACTCGATGATAATCTTGTATGGATTGGTATCAGGGGCGGATACAGTAATTTATTTTAGGGGGGGCCCAAATAAAAAGTAATGTAGAATATGCTTTTTTGGGCACCATTTTTATCCCAAAAGCCTAATATTTAACCCTATTCACAGACTTTAGGGGGGGGGGGACTCCATGGCCCCCCTCTGTATCCGCCACTGATTGGTATCTTTTTTTTAGAAACTTTCTAATGCCAGCTCAGTCAGGTAGCACTCTATACTCTATTATGTGGGAATATAAATCAAAATATATATAGAATACATGAATAAATAAGAATATTTGGGTCAACAGGCAACCTTACATTTATATATTGCTTTAAGATTAAGACAGCAAATATTTACAAAATCAGTATACATAAGAATGTGTGAATCCCCGGGTATTGAGAAAATTTTTAAGCGTTTTTTTTTGGATTATAATAGCTATTTATGTAACTAGTACCTAAAATGATGTTTTTTAGGACGAATCATTACTGTTTGCGGACGAGGCGTTAGCCGAGTCCGAAATAGTAGATGAGTCCTAAAAAACATAATTTAGGTACGTGTTACATACACTATTTTTTGTCATACGCTTTTTACAGTTTTTTAGAACGCATATTTGCAAATTTTCCATATTTGAAATTATAATGTTTGAAAAAGTTGGCTTATAAATTCATATCTTAGTAACGAGTTTGTTTATTTCATCGCATTTTGACATGTCATTCGAAATTTGTCACAAAATCACACAAATTCATCAACAATTTTAAAATGTTCCAAAATCCCGAACATATTGCTAATAAGGCCAAAGAAATCGTGTTGGATTTACTTCCTGTGAAGTCTCGTGCCATTTACCAGAAAGAATATGATGTTTTTAATGAATGGAAAGACAAAAATGGCGTATTCGTTGTAAATGAAGATGTATTGCTAAATTATTTCCACGAAAAGTAAGTACCTAGGTACCTATTTAAAAGAGGCTTTTAAATTAAAATATTCTTAAATTACAGTCACAAACATTCAAACCATCGTCAATTTGGTCGAAATATTCCATGCTGAGAGCAGTGTTAAGTGTTAAAGAAGATATTTATATTGACAAATTTCCAAAACTTATTGCTTTTTTGAAGAGGAATTCGGTTGGTTACGAGCCTAAAAAGTCTAAGGTTTTGTCCATAAAAGAGATCGGTGATTTTTTGGCCACGGCTAGTGATGAAACTTATTTACTTACTAAGGTAAGTTTGCGATAATGATTTTTAAAATATATAGATGGTTTCTTATTCCATTGTATTTGATTTTTAGGTAGCTCTTGTCATTGGCCTTTGTGGAGCATGTAGAAGAGAAGAATTGTACTCTCTACGAGTGCAAGACATCATAGAAAAAGACAACAGCTGCCTTTTAGTTACCCTTTGCGGATACAAAAACTAATATCAAAAGAGTGTTTCCGGTGGTGAACGAAGGGAACGTTGTCAATCCAGTTGAGTTGTATAGAAAATATGCTTGTCTTAGGCCAAAAATGTACCACATGATTATGTCTTGTTTGTGACTGTAATTTAAGAATATTTTAATTTAAAAGCCTCTTTTAAATAGGTACCTAGGTACTTACTTTAAAACAAATAACTTAGCTTTTGATATTGTTAGTATTTAATAATTTAATTATAAATATATGTATAATTTTATGTGATTTTGTGACAAATTTCGAATGACAAAATAAAACAACCAAATAACGAATTTAGACATTTTAGTCCATAAAGGTTGCCATGACGACCTTTACGGCCTAGGCCGAAAAAGAAACATTTTACGGACTGAAATGAGTCCGTAAAATAGCTGTTTTTGGGAGCGTATGACAAAAAACAATTTGTTGTATCTTGTATATCAGTTTAAGATTATTACAAACTTTCACCAATGTATATATTTACATTACATTTTGTTACGTTAACAAACATTGATTTTTTAATGAAGTATTATAATGAATAAAAAATTCTGATTTAAAAACATCAAAAATCGCGGCAACCCAAAAATGTTCACCAAATTACCGGAAGCGGAAGGTCCTAAAAAACTTTTAGAGTTTTTTGAACAAATTTTCTCTCTTATTTGTGAATTAAATGCCCAACAAAATCATTAAACTACCTATTTTTAATTGACTAAATTAATGCATCTAAATAATTCTATTTTTTTTTCATTTCAAACGCAAACAAAAAGCCGCCTTTATAGTTCTTGGGCACACAAAAAAACGCTACAAAAAATGTCATTCAAATAAACCTGAGTTGTGGTATTTATTTTAGTTGATTTTGTGCGTTGCAAAATGCAGGAAATATTAAAACATTTGAGCAGTCTAGTTAAAGGATTTGACGATCACACGGATAACAATGTATTTAAGTTACATTACAAATTTTCCGTAATCCTCTTAATCGTTTTTTCCATTTTACTATCAAGCAAACAGTATTTTGGCGATCCAATTGTCTGCGAAACTGCAAAGGACAAAGAATTAATAAAGGTTTACTGTTGGATTACGGGGACGTTTATTCAAAAGAAAAATATCGATGGTGAGTATCTTATTAAATTAACAGATCTTGATATTTACCATGTGTAATTTGTTTAGCTGCTGCACAATATGAGAGCCTATACGGTTTAGGAAATACAGTTTACAGTAGAAGTGAAACGTTCACGTTATTTTACTATCAATGGATCTGCTTCCTATTTTGTTTCCAAGCATTACTTTTTTACCTTCCAAGATATTTTTGGACGACATGGGAAGGTGATCGCTTAGGGCAATTACCAAAAGACTTACGTAAGATTACAGAATTTATATGATATTTGTGTGTCTTATAAAACCTAATATTTACAGGTGATACTTTAGTACCAGATAACTGGATTGCCACAGGACAAAAACTATGCAGTTACGTATGTGATGCTGGGAATCATGACATTATGGCTTTTCGATTTGCTTTCTGTGAACTATTAAATTTGTGCAATTTGGTATGATTCGTTGAAATGTAGGTGCCTTTGTTATATTTTAAGAAATCTTTTTGTTTTAGATACTTCAAATTATGATTATGGATTGGTATCTAAACGGAAAATTTGCCAGCTATGGTTATCATGTAGCAACTAAACCGTATCCTCATCCTATGAATGAAGCTTTTCCTAAGAGAACAAAATGTTTGTACACTAACTACGGTTCTAGCGGTTCGACACAGGTAATGGATGCACTTTGTGTTCTACCATTAAACATTTTAAATGAAAAATTCTTCCTGATTCTCTGGTATTGGATGATTATCTTGTTTTTTGTTACTCTAATTGCTTTAATATACAGAGCCATGTTTATGGTTTGGGAAAGATTTCGCATTTATCTTCTCATGGCTCAAGTTCGTAATTTAAATAGAAATAAAGCCGTTTACATAACAAAACATTTAACTCATGGACAATTTTTTTTGTTATATAACTTAGGCAAAAAACTTAATCCTATAGTTTATAAAGATCTTTTACTGCTCATATTCGAGAAAATGAGCGAAAAGTATAAGTTTGATATATAGAGACTGAAGATTCAAAGATCTATGAGGTCCTAGATTTTTTAGTTAGTGTTGAATTTATTTTTTAAATAGATATATACAATATCTATCATTCAGTATTTTTTAGCTTAGTTTTTGTTGTACTTGTTCTAAGTTATCTATAATTTCTAGAGTCATTAACATAATACTCATAAATTAGACATAACAATTGTTTTTTTTTTGTTTTCTTTTTTCTAGGATATTTTGATTTGTTTATATTTTTGTTATACACTTAACTACCTCATAGGTATAAGCTGATTTAAGATCAAAAAAATATTTTGTTGTTTAAACAAGCATGGCGTATGCTTTATTTTGTTACCGAATTAGGAAATAATATATATTTTTATATTAATATAGTTATGAGATTTTGATAAATAAAAAATATACTTTTTCATAAAATTTTTAGTTTTTTATTTAACAGAGTTCCATTTTATAATAACAAATGTTTTTATGCCTTCCCTATAATATATAGAAATTTTATTTCTTAGCTTTTAACATTTTATAAGCTTCAACAATTTCTTTTTGCTGATTATCTAACTGTCTTCTCAATGCATTGGGTAAATGTTTGCGTTTACCTTTTTTATCAATAGTTTTTACTGCCTTTGGATAATCAGCTTTATGGGTCTTATTTTTACCATCGTTTGTATTAGGTCCATTTTTAAACAAGTTTTTTAAAAGTAAAGATTTTTGGCCTGGCTAAAATAAAAAAAATCAAAATTATTTTAGCATACTTATAAGTAGGTTTATTTGATTAAAACTTGAATTTCTATTTGGACTTAAGATTTTTATCACTAGTTAAGTTACAAGTAATAGTAGTAAGCATAATTATTTCCTTGAATAATGCAAAAAATAAAACATTACAAAACAAAAACTTACTCTGAAAGCACCTTCATGGCTATCACCTTTTTTAGGCTTGATTAGGGTGGGAGGAGCATGTGCAACTTCACCAAATTTGACTTGTTCTTTTTGTGGAACAAAAACTTGATCATTTTCCTTTTCAAATAATTTATCTTCTTTTTTCTTTGCCTTTTTTAATGCCCATTTCTGAGATTTGCTTAATCGCACCTCTTCATTCTTATCAGTTTTTTTCTTTTTAGTCTTTTTCTGCTTTTTCTCTTTTCTTACTTGTTTATAAAACATCTCTAGTTCATCAGGTTTCCTCTTCTCAACACTCTCGACCTATTATAAAAATGGTTTTCACTCAATTTTTGTAATGTGTAACGCACTATAAATATCAAAATTAAGATGTTATGTTGTAATTACCTGCCCTTTTTCATTACGCTTAATATCAACATTAAATTTGTCTTCAAATGCTGCCTCTTTAATCACATTATCGCATATGCGGTTTATTCTGTGTTTAAATTCTCGATCAGTCTCACCATTCAACTGTTGAAAGCGTGGTATAGGTTTATTTTTAAAGTTAGATTTATTGTTCCCATCTTTTCCTTGTACCTTCTTTTTCTTCTTCTGATACTGACCCTCTTTTACTTTCTTTTTAAGTTCAATAATCCTCAGTAAACTTTTTGAAACTTGCTGATCATCTGGATCAGTTGGTGGAGCATTAATTTTATTTTTAATTCTGAAATATAATTGATGTTGAGATTTGAAGATTTTAAGATAATGTTATGTGTATGGAGGGCTTAAAAAGCCCTCCTTTTAGCCTCCGTAGTTATGTGTATTGAAAAATTACGAACTTTTCATTACTCTCTGCATTTTGCTTTTCAGGATCTTTTACACCTCTATGTTTCCTGCCTGGAATTTTTCGTCCCATATTTACTAGATTCTAAATGTAAGATGTGCAATTAATTTATATGTTATAACCTATTTTAAATGTGTAAAAAAGTTATATTTCTGCATTATTTGGGAGTTGAAAAGACAGCAAAAACATAGGTTATGTGACTAAAATATTAGGTTAAGATGACCACTTCTTCCTTTTGAAAAGATTGTAAGGGCCTTCTGTAGTAACGTTTGTTTCATGATCTATGGGTAACGTGATAATTTTAAATATAAAAATTTCTATGAATTTTATTATTTTAGATTAATAAGAATAAAAAATACATAACGCCCAGTAAAATAGATGCATGCTATTATGATAATTATAGGTACCCTAATACATTTGCTATTCAGAGTCTAATAAACTTATATTTGAAAAAATTTAAATTTAAATTCATTACGGACATTATCGGAAGTCATGTTTAAACTTTTTCTGAGCCAACTTTTTTTATACATAAATTAAACTAAAAATAAATTAACTGCATCGATTTTAATTTACTAATATGGTAATTATTCATATAAATGTAAAAGAAGTGCATAAAGAAAATTTATTGGAATTGTCATGCAAGTGGATCTACACTTGACTAACGTAGTGGTATACAAAACATGGAGGGTGCCGGAGCTTACGGTGGTGGCAAAGCCGGAGGGGCATTTGATCCTATAAATTTTGTACAAAGACCTCAAGTAATTTTGCGAGCAGTTTGTTGGGTAAGTTTAAAAAAGTATAGTTTAATACTACCTATTTTCAATTATGTATCCTCTAACAAGTAACGAAAATATTTATATCGATTATCATAGGAATTCGAGGGAGGGCTATTGATTTTTTGAATTTTCAACTGAATATTTAGCTATTTTATAGTTTTAATTGCTTTTGTTTAACATTTTTTGGTTTCAGATTAAATATACTAATTGTAAACTTACCTAAATTGTATTTGTCGCCGCTTTTCATATACTTGTTTATTATATTTGATTACTGATTTATTTTTGTCCTCCCTAGTTATAATTATTTCATTTATTGTAATTAAACTATGATATGTATAATAAATTAATTTACATACTTATATATTTACAAAATCTTCATATAAGGGCTGATACAAACCTATAGAAATATTGTTTTTTAGCTTTTCTCGATTATAGTTTTTGGATGTATATCTTCACAAGGATGGCAACCTGTAGACAAAAAAATGACTTGTTTGTATAACGGTGACGCGAATGCTTGTAATTACGGTGTTGGAATCAGCGTTATTGCATTTCTGGCTAGTATGGGTTTCTTGGTCGGCGAATATATGTTTGAACAAATGTCATCAGTGAAAACACGAAAGCATTATGTACTGGCAGATCTTGGATTCTCTGGTCAGTTGGAAGAAACATTTTTATATCCATATTTTTATATTATTTAAATATTATAGGTTTTTGGGCATTCCTTTATTTTGTTGGTTTTTGGTACTTAACAAATCAGTGGGGAAAATCAAATGATCCGCCAAATGGAATTGGTGTTAGTAACGTTCAGGCAGCCATAGCATTTTCATTCTTTTCCATATTTTCATGGGTAAGTTTTGTCAGAAAATCAAAATAAAATTAACATAGTATAAGTATAATATCTCCTTTTTATTTACAACAAAAGAAATGTGATATTTATCTGTATAAAATGATTTTGTTCGTCCATTTAAATAATTTAAAATGCATCTTTTTAAACCTGTAGGTTAAATAGATTAACCTTACATAAATGAACTCTACAATCTTTGTAGAGTTTACTGTTTTAGAGATAGTAATTGCATTAGCATAGTAGAAAAATGATTTAAATATTAAGGAATATTTTAGGAGCACTGAAATATATTCGTTTTTATCTCTGTATTGCAAATATAGCATAGGTAAACTATGACTATTAATGGAAAGTTTTTAGTTGAGCTTAATAGAACTTATATAAATTACAAATTAGTCATAGCAATAATTAGTCAATTATATAATTATCAAACAAATACATGGTTTAATACCGCATGAACGAAAAAAAAAAACGGCGTCCAGTTGGCTTGGAAATGACGATCGATGAAATTCAGCGATTTTAATTTCATAGTCATCGCGCTGACGTTTTTTTTTTCGATCATATTGTATTATAAAACTAATAATAATATTGTTTAAAAAAATGGTTTTGGTAGGATGTTTTCATGTTTTCCAAAACTTATGACTAGTTATATTTATATAAAAAATTTGTTTATCGCTATATTATATCATGATTAGGACAATTTGCAACTTATGAGAATAGAAATATAAACTTAAAAGTAAAAATGCAATTATAGATGTCAGAATTCTCTCATGAAGTTGATCAGATTTATAGCCTTAAAAATGGTTTGTTTTCAAACAACTGAGAATAGTTTATCAATATCAAGAATATTTTTAAGGAAGTAAATTATTTGAGAAAATATTTAATAGAAGAATTGAGATACAGGAGGACTTCATTAAAAAAAGAACTTTATATACCGCGTGCGTCTCAAAAGTGGCTCACCCCTTATTTTTTCACAAAAATCGATATTTGGTATGTTAGTATATGACATAAATTAGGATTAATTGACGGATTCAATTGTTTTCGGTCACTTCCTGTTTCACCGGAAATGACTACAACTTTTGATTTTTAAATGGCATCTATTTTTTTGTTTTATTCTGTAGAAAATGACACTGAATAGAAATTAAATTAAAAAAAATAAATTTAAAATAGTAACATATCATATGTCACCTTTTGACATTTTTTTGCTTAAAACAAAATTGTATGGCTGTGTTAAAAACACTAATTTTAAATGAGGAAGCCTTGGAAAAATAGATCTGATTGTCTAATGCTTTTAGTGTATTGTCCTGGCCAGTTGAAAGATGTCCAAATCGTATTTTTAATCATATCTCAATTTTTTCAAATGGAACGAGGGTGGCTCATTAGCATATTTGGAAAAAGCATTTTTTTAAGAATAATATGGTACCACACTTGGTATTTGGAGTCAAATTGTCGTTATGAACCGCATGTTACAATTTCAAATAAACCATATGCGAAAATGTCAAAATTTGACATATGATATGTCATTCTGTTCAGAGTGTCAATTTCTATCCATAAAGTAAAAAAAAAATACTGTCAAAAAAATCATATCAAATATCGTTTTTTTATCTAAAAAAATAAAAAAGTTAATGGGGTGAGCCACTTTTGAGACGCACCGGGTATGTAAAAGCGATTTTTTTTATATTTGAAAGAATACTTGGCGCTTACCTCATATAACTGTCACCACTGTTTATATCCTTGGAAAGTGCTAATTTTCCTTATGTTACCACAAAAAAAAACATATTTGTTATAATTATAAAAATGTTTATTAGTATTTATTTTTTAAGTAGGGACAATACTATATATGACAGTGATCTTTATTTCCAAGCCAACTTGACGCCATTTTATTCAGAGTTAGCATGATATATATCAATGATATATATCGGATATATGTAATGATATAACATATATATAACTTTACGACAAATCGTGTTTATATACTCTGCGCTGTGCTCGACATATTATGGAAATACCCAAGCTCACCCGATGATGGGGTAGGGCCCCGAAACCGATAGTGAGAGCAGGTTGATCCACATTTTGTCGAACACAGCGTGGAATTAATTTCTATATGTATTAGCAGTTCAAGGCAAGAAACTTTTATATAATTTTATTATAATGATATTTATACCCTGATATATATCATGATATTTTTAAAAAAATAAAACTCAACAATCAGAAACAAAAAAGATAATATTAATTAGATCTGGGACAATTCAAATGTATCAAAAACTTTGCCAGAAACAGTATCAATTGATTCTGACTCTGACGAATCTGACGATTTTTTATTTATTTACTCGTGTCCAACTCAGTATATATAAAAAACAAATCAAGAAACACAAAAATATATATAAAATATACAAAACGGCTAAATTAATAAAAAGGCACATCATACATTTAAAAAAAAACATAGTCAAACAGTCAACATAAATAGGAACAATACTTGTACAGAATTAGACAAACTACAAAAAATATATATGCATACAGCAATTATATACAGGATATCCAGTACTTGGTACACTCCAGAGCGTTGGTATTTCCCTCTGCGAGATCACTCTGATTGCATATGTTTGGGAGATTTGGGCATACGAGAAGATGCCTCATATTTTGTTCCTCTCCTCATTCACAGGATACAGATCCGTCAAGGTAGCCCCACTGGTTCATGTTTGTCTTGCATCTGCCAACCTGAGTACGCAAACGGTTCAGACTTCTCCACACCGGCCATGCCTGTTCCGCACCAGGTGGTAGGCTCTCTTGTGGCCTTAGCGCAAATTCATTTGGAGTTGTTGAAGTTGCTTACCACAACTCCAGTCTCTTTGCGAATGTCGTACTGCTATCAAGTGGCTGGACGGTAGAAAGAAAGCTTTTTCGGGATTTCAACCTGGATCCAGCGGCGTGTTGTCCGAAGAGCGGGTGCCGGGTATCGGAAAGAGCTTGCTGTTTCTCTTTCATGCTGGAAACGTGTCTCCTTATGTGGGGTGGAGCTATCCCGCTGAGGAGGTGTAGCTGTTGGGCCGATGTGGGTTTTAGGCATCCGGTGATTAGACGGCACGATTGGTGCAGCATCGGGTCTATCTTTTTGGCATGGCAGGAGCGTTCCCATACTGGTGCGGCATATTCGGCAACAGAATAGCAGAGTGCAAGAGCAGTAGTTCTTAGTGTGTGTGGATTAGCCCCCAGGTGGAGCTTGCCAGCTTTCCCAACAGGTTGTTTCTTGTAGAGATCTTGGCCATAGTCTTCACGACATGATGTTTAAATGACAGGGTCCGGTCTAATGTGACACCTAAATAAGTTGGCCGTGGGCAAAATCTCAGTTGCTGGTCGTTCCAATTGACATTTATAGCTCTGTTAGCTTCCCTGTTATTTAGATGGAACAAGCTAGTGATAGTCTTCGAGGCGTTTGGTTTAAGGCTATTATCTCTGTAATATTGGGTTAGCGCGGTCAGGTGTAATGTTAAATTATCTTCAATTTTACAGAAATCCTTATCTTGGCTAACTATTGCTAAATCATCTGCGTAAATGAAGCTTCTGATGTGTTGACTCAGCGGCTGGTCATTTGTATAGATATTGAAAAGAGTTGGAGCCAAAACACTCCCCTGTGGTAAGCCATTCTTTTGAATCCTCCAGCGGCTTCGATCACCACCCAATTCGACAAAAAAACGTCTGCTAGAAAGCAGGGTGCGGATGACTTGTACAAGTTGGTAGTCCTTCGTCATTTCGCAGCCACGCGGGATGTGCTTTCTAGAAATGGTTTTTATGTTCTCTATAAAGGTGTCATAATTATCAGATATTGGCTCGATAGTTTGAACAACCCCATCCAATTCTTCCCTGAAACCTTCCCAATTCGCTTTCTTAAAGTTGAAGCGTCTGCGGAATGGAACGATTTTTGGTTCGATTATAGCTCTAATTTGGAGCATAATGGGCCAAATGATGGTCAGTGCTGGTCCTAATGAGGACCGATTGGTATCTCTCTTGCTTGACATTTTACTTTCTAACTAGATAGATAGACACTGAGTTGGTGGTTGCAGAATCAGCTACTGGTTTTAGCCAGTACCCAGGGTCGCGACGGGGACGCTTCTGCATGACCCCTGACGATGATTTACCATTTTGAAATAATGATGAATGAAAATTAAATAAATGAATCTGATGATGATTTACCATTAATAAAATTAATAAATCAAATATAAATTTGTTTGTTGTTAGTTTTAGAATATCTGTTTATTTTTTTTGAATTTCCGTTTATTTTTTAGAATTTCAGTTTATTTCTTAGAATTCCTGATTATTTTTTAGAATTTCCCTTTATTTTTTAGAATCTCTGTTTATTTTTTAGAATTTCTGTTTATTTTTTAGAATTCCTATTTGTTTTTTAGAAGTTCTGTTTATTTTTTTAGAATTTCTTTATATTTTTTATATACTTTTGTTTTAATGTTGTTCCTATTATGTGCAAAGCAACAATAATTAAGTTGAAATAAAAATATTTGCATGAGCTCTTGATTTGACTTGATACTAAACGCAGTTTTACGTAAAAAATAAAAACAAAAATAGATATCAAAACTTGATGTATATCGAATATATATCAGATATATATCCAATATTTGATATTTATATAAATATCATGATATTTGCCAACCCTGATTTTATTTGGTCCTTTAATATACGTGAGTGATTCAATTTTAAATCAAAATGAAATTTGTTTACCCTCAAAATAAAATAGATATCATGGGCGCAGCTAGGTTTTGACTTAGGGTGGGGCAAAAAATTGTCAAAAGTCAGTACCAAAAGCTGCCTTATCTTTATTTTATACTTTACTCAATAAAACACACTAACATCATTTAAAAAAAATAATCTGCCAGGGCTCTGGGTAAATATTGATAAAACTTTAATTTCTAATCCATTTTTTTGCCTCCTGAACTAATCTGATTTCATCTACAAGTTTTTAGATATAATTATGTTTTAATTGATCTACTCAACGCTTCAACATGAAACACCTGTGTTTAAATAATATACATGAATTTCATTTCATTGCATACAGCTTTTTCTACCTTCCTTCGTTTACTTTAAGCGACAGCAAGCTAGGGGATTCAATCCCGGACAATTTTATGTTGTCGGGATCCCGGGATTCTTAACCCCGAATCTCGGGATCCCGGGATTTCAGTAATAATGTTACCAATGTTACTTTCAAAGAACATTTTATTAAAATTAACGTTAATTAGTTTAAACAAAAACAAAGTCTTTGGAACACAAAAATAAGTAAATAAAATTCTTAAACAGAAATCAAAAATCTCAACAAAACAAAAAAGAAACTGGACTGATAATATTATTCCATATTTTTAAAAATATAGCGCACAAATATAATATCGTCTATTGTGTCATCTCCCATAGCAGAACGAAATTTTGTAACTATCAAGCCTGCTGACGAAAAACACCTTTCCGATTCTACACTTGTAGGCGGTATTGTACTTAAAAAATCAAAAGCTAGTTGTAAGTTTGTTCCACGTTGTCCACTCTTCTGGAACGTATCCATTTCATTTTTTATTTGGGCTTCCAAGTTTTCAGTTTTTGTTACTGGTGACACTGTCATTCGATTTGACATTTTTTTGGTTAATGCTTCGTCTAGCCTCTCCGAAAATGACACGTCATGATTTAAGGCCTGGTACCGGTTGTGAATAGTAGCAATTGGCAAATCTTCATCCGATTCCGAACTATCTGAAGAATCTAATATGATTTTACTTGTTATATCTAGTCGTTTTAAGAGGTTTGCTACTTCTTGTTTCAAAAGTTTTTTATTATTCTGGGAATCACCGACGTATCGCTTGTCGGCGGCGGCGCTATAAGGAATTCAACTAAAAGAGTTTTTAGTTTGGTTATACAACCTTAAAAATAGCGATTTACTATATTATATAAAATCCCGGGATCTGTTATCATTTTCCCGGGATCCCGGGATTGAAAAAATCCGATAAAAAACGTCGGGATTCCGAAATCCCAGGATTGAATCCCCTACAGCAAGCAGAAAAAGGAAAAAGTGCGCTCTAAGTTTCCAAGGAATTTTTATTTATTAGGCATTTAATTTGGGAACAGTTTCAAAGTCTTTGAAGACGCGCACGCCAACTTTTATTGATTTCTCTATATACCGAAAGTATGATCGAAAAAAAAAAACGGCGTCCACTTGCTTTGGAAATGACGATCGACGACATTCTCCCTATATTACATGTAAATGAATCTTCATTTCATAGCCATCGCTGACGCCGTTTTTTTTTCCATCATATTGTATTTGAAGGGTCCAGGGGAAAAACATGATAAGCGCCATTGAGATAGCTTTATCCTGACGAAAGTTCAAACTAACGAAACTTTCGTGTAGTATCGGGTGCGGTCGTGCGGAGCCAACTATAAACTGCCGTAACTCCTCCTCCTTTCTTCGTCTAGGTTATGTCTAGGCCGAAACCTTTGCCGAAACCAAAGGCCGAAACAGAATAAAGACGTGTTCTTTCAAATTTTTGGGTAAATAGACAAAAATTTGACGTTTATCCCTAGATCATATATATAGAAATACATTTTTAAGATATTTGTATATAAATATATTTGATCTAGACCAACTAGACATCTACCATGTGACGAGAAGATTTTATTCAAATATTAAATTAATTTTTAATAGCATTATGTAATAGTTAATATATTTAATTAATAAATATTTTTTAACAATGAATAATTTGAATGTAACATTGATTTTTGATTTGGTGCTGGTTGATTTATGATGTTTTCATACTGTTTTCCGTGAAAAGAAATTAATATTTTTGAATTAGTTTTCAGCGGAGGGCTTTAGTAAAAAATTCGAACCTAAGTAACTGTTTTCTTTTTGCCAAAAAGGTAGATATTTTTTTATGTTAGAAATTAGAACTTAATTGGGCATCAAAATAAACATGTGAATATCTTGACTTGGTGTTTGTTGTCTACTTTAAGTGGTACTGAATTTATTAAAATAACCGTTGTTTTCTACATTTCTGTTTTATTTCAATAACGTGAAGAGTTTGGTTTGAATACTGGTCCTACATGTCCTAGACCAGTGTAATAGCAAAGACATTTAGCCGAACACACGCCGACTATTTTATAATCTGATTTGGTCGCTTTATGATAGAATTGCAGGAATTGTATCACCTTCAACAAAATCAGCTAAGAAGTATTTAAAATATTAAGACAAAACCTTAGAGGGAAAAAATAAAAGGCAAAACCGATTTTTAAAAGAATTTAATATATTCCAAAAAAAATATTTTAACGCCACATGATGTACACACAAAAAGTAGGTAAAGATCAGTTATAAAAAAACATTAGAAATTTATACAGTATCCTTTAAGCTAGGCTCACGTTTTTCTGCAGAAATAAGTATTTCAATTCAACACATTCACTATCACAATATAACGTGTAGTCTTTGATATAGCTAACTACACTCAACTATACCAACTGGTTTAGCTCCGCGTTATGAATATTCTTCACCCAGTCCTATTTTCAAAGTAAAGTAATGTAATTTTGATCCTGATTTATAAACAATATTATTTCAATGAAACTTTTGCTTTTAATTTTCCAGTCAAGTTGGTAATTGCTTTGGATTTTTATTAACATTTTCAAGGTTAGAATTCAGTATAGTTTGTTGTTGAAACCCTTTTTAACACAATCTCAGCTTCAAGTTTACATACTATTCAGACGCTGTAGATTTTTGACCTAAAAGAATCACTAAATATAGAAAAACTATAAACAAAAAGTTTTTATCATAAGCCTTACTTTTGCTTTGATAAGGATATGGCCGGCCACATGCATAAGAAACCAAAAATTGAAGATAATTCTCGTGAGGAAACAGAAGTCTTAATATGCGCTGCAGTTGAGGAAAATCCAAATAGAAGCTGTGTACAAGTTGCTGAAGCAATAAATTCAAGTACAACAAATTTTCCCCGACGATCAATTTCGCTGTATGGAGTTTTGCGAAATAATGATGGAAAAGGTAAATCTTGACGAAAATTTTCTTAGGAGAATTGTTTTTACTGATGAGTCGTCCTTTTCCTTATTAAATCGGCAAAACTCCACGCAAGTACGATATTGGTCAAGAGAAAATTTGCATAGTGTGCGAACCCAATATCCACAAAAACTAAATGTTTGGGCGGGTATTGTAGGGGGACACGTTATTGGACCGTTTTTTATTGAGGGCAATTTAAATACTGCAATATATTTGGATTTATTGCAACAGCAAATTGTACCGGCGATTCGACGATTATTTGGCGAGAGATTTGGTGATATTTGGTGGCAAGAAGATGGATGTCCAGCACACAATGGTCGTATTGTAAGAATATTTAAACAATACTTTTGGCAATAGACTAATTAGTGGGCATGGAACCATCTTGTGGCCGCCAAGGTCACCTGACCTCTCGGTGAATGATTTCTTTTTATGGGGGTACATAAAATCTAAAATTTACGGCCATGAAGAAATTCAAAACTTGAAGCAGTTAAGGCAGAAAATATTTAATATCTAACACTGTCACCACTGATATGTTATCCAATGTGAGGAGAGGGGATTTTATGACCATTTGGGTTATTGTTTAATGTAAGAAGGAGGCATTTTTGAACAATTTTTGTAATTTTTTAAATTTCATTATCCTGTTTTTTTACCGTTTACCCATTACCTACCGTGACGAACATGGGAAAACAAAGGCCCTTTTCAGGACCACAAATATTTTGATTGAGAAATGTTACTTTTATTTTTTTTTTGATTAAAAAAACAAAAGTTGTTTATATAATACCAATTTAAAAGTGTTTTAGTAGTTTTAATACACACTATGGATATAAAATTTATTATTATAATGTACATTATTAATACTATTATTCATTCGAAATGGCATTAAGGCCCAATTGCACCAATGATTTCAATTTTTCTTAAAGATAAGTAGAGCTTAGAATGAGCTGTATTTATATTTACTTTAATATTCACCTTAAATGAGGGAATTTGACTGATACAGTTTTTGAATTTGAATTGTTTTTAATGATACTAACAATTTTAGTTCAATTTTTAATAAAATTTATTAAATATTAATAGAAATCCAAGAGATTTGAAACCTCTTTTAGCGATTTATAACATTCTCAAATGAATTACAGGTGCCCTTATTTTCTATGAAAACCACACAGCTTTTTTTCATAGTCGCTGCAGTTGCTGTAAAAAAACATAAATAAATGAATAGGGATACGCTTTATTCACTTAGTTTCATAGTAATTACGTTTTTAAAGAAAAAGTCACAGTTATAACTCGACTTAAGCTAAGAAGACTTTAAATATCGCGGTGCAATTGGCCATACATTATTGTCAAAACTAATTTTTTAAGGTGTGAAAATTGCGACACACGCTAAATGGACTTGATTTTTCCTATGTCTCAAAGTCTGTGGTCCTTTCTGTATATTTTTACTAGGATACCTATATGATAGGATTTAACAATGATATATGCCTAGTAAAAAAATTATCAAGTTTTTCCCCTGGACCCTTCATTTGTATTATACTCTATGATGGGTCTAGAGTTTATACCATAGAATAAAAAGTCTGGTCCATTCTGTAAAAAAAATTATTACTATTATATTACTTAATAGTTCTTGCTACCTGTAGTCTTCTCGAAAAGCTTTTTAAAATGATTGTTTATATGGTTCTGGTCTAAATATTTCTTGAAATAAATATTCTTCGACAGGCTGGCAGTGCGTTTTTCGCTTTCCAACGTTTCCGTCAGGGTTCGGACGCAGCTTTCGCCTCCAACTTTGAGGCAGATAATATGCAGACAAACTATCCATCGTATCCAGGTGGTCCTGACGTGGAACAGCATTACCAAGAGCCTCCGTTTGCAACTGGACCCAATGCAAGAGGTAAATATTAATAAATAATTATTTTTTTTTAAATCTGAGTCTAGATCTGTACTCTAAAGGTACGCGCACACTGACCAGCGCAACACTCGCCTCACGAATTGCACCTTTTTTTCTTGTCGCGCACAATGACCCGTACCGAACGCGCCGCGCTCACCGCATTATTCGCTGTTTTGTTCCTCTTTTTGCCCCTACTACACCTGTATTTGCCAATCGAATTTTTCATCAGTCGCTTCCTGAGTCCTGTCTGCAGTGATAAGCGTGTTTTTTTTATTAATATTTCTCGACAATTAGTGACGAATGAACGAACAAGAAACAATTATGAGCTCCTTGCTAATAGAAGAAGAAGAAATCACCTGAAAGAATCGAAAATTATGGGTTCACAATATTTGCAAAAATTTTACCTTTAGGAAGGGAATTCCACACATTTTTACCATATTTAATTGAGGACGAACTAAAAATTTTTCAATATTTCAAAATGAGCCATGAAATTTTTTTTTAGCATATTGAATTTCTAATCTCCTCTTCGGCTAATTCGATTTGGCTACCCACGTAGAGTGGAAGGAATTGCGTGTGACGTCAGCAGCACTAGCCGCATTGACCGAAAATCATTCTGGTCCAACAATGCTGGCCGCATTTTTATCGATGCGATTTGTGCGGCTCTGGCTAGTGTGCGCACCTTCATTGAAAGTAACACAAACAAAAAATTTTTTTTTTGGTCGATGCGGCGCGTGCGGCTCTGCTCAGTGTGCGCGTACTTATATATTGAGAAAATAGGTCGAAGGTCTTTCAATATTTTTTTTAATTTATTTGAAAGTGTCATCGATTTATATTTATATTTATCCTTACTACTTTAATAAAATATATTTACATTTATTTGCTGTTGCAACTTCTATGTCGCACAGTATATTATAGATAAAAAATATTTGTTATTTAACATTCTTTTTGATTGTATAGGACCCCCAGATTTCCAGGCACCCGCCTATTAATGATTCCCAGCTAGTCAATAAAAAGCTGCCCAAAGAAGACATTCGGATGATACACATCCGATATTTATTTATATTGAATTACTTTTGTACTTAGACGGTACACATACGGTTGAGATTTTATATTTTACATACTCAGTATGTTTTATTGCGTTGTTTAGAACCTTTTTTTCGCCTTTTTACGATTTTTTAAAAAAATATTTGAGGCGTACTAACGTGTATTTCGAAATCGAGCCCAAAGTGTTGAAAGTTATTTCTATAGCATTGTTCAATGTACAGTAACTAAATGTCTACAGTTATATTAGTATTATATCAGCTTGTAGATTGTATTTTAAGGGTGCTTATCGATATCTAGATTTAGTTTGTGTGCACATTACTGAAGTGACAAAAGTATATTAAATGATGACGTCTGTCTCATATCTTTGCTCTTACTGTTTTAACAACTTAAAACTGTTATTTTTCTTTATATCTACAGGTTTTCTAGAATATAGAGTGCTACAGATATTGTCCGCGTATTATATGATAATTAATTGGTTTAAGTGAAAGTTGATTTCAACATGAGTTTTGGATTGGGGTAAAAATAACTTAAAATATCCTGTTGCTTCTAGAAGCATCTAGCCCTACCGGTGACTGACTATCCAATCGACACCAAGTTTCACGAATAAGTTTTGGATACTTTGGTTTCAATCTTTTTCTTCGGGATTCTATGTTTTTTCTTTTAATATTAATGCAAATTCTATTGCTTTGACTGCCTTGATTTTAAAATTGACACATTACCTAATGATTCCGTCTCTGATCGTAATTTCCGGATAATAAGTTACTGGTAGCAACTAGAAGCAAGTGTTTCTGCCAAGTATCTGTCAAATTTGACATTTAAAAAAATAATTTATCCAAAAAAATAATTAATCTTAAATTGGACTAACCTATTTAACCAAAACAATACAAGACAGGACATTATATTTGTCTCTCTCATTGCATAGGCGAGAGAAAGAAGCATATATGAAATGTCAAACATCCATCTTGTCTCAATTTTCCTTGTTTATTTTGTTAAGAAAAGTGTTTTTCAGTAAAAATTTTTAATATTTTTCTATCCCCAATCAAAGGGCAAGAGAGGGGGCGAGAACCTCTCACCTCTGCTCCAGCTAGGAGAGAAAAGAGCGTGGATGGAAAGCCGTCCAACACCGGGAGGCAATCAGGGACCGCTATTGCTTGACAGGTGAGAATGGCGGTGCTGCCAAAGGATTACCCAGAAGTTGCACTGACCATCGACCAGCAAACAGCTCTAGAAGAGACGATACTGGACGAAATCGTAGCGAGTAGATTGCAACGCAACGATCCACAAAATGTGGATCAGCCGCGTTTTGGGGGGTTACACTTTCGTGTGGACATCCTTATAGATTGTGCATCTCAAGAATCGGCTGATTGGTTGATGGAGAGAAACGGCACCTAAGCTGAGAAGTGACAGAGGCCGGAACTGGTTGCAGTGGATGAAGAAAACATCCCTAAAGAGGCGACCATCACGGCCTTTCTGTCGAGGAGCAAGGGGAAAGACACCACCTACCTGCTGAGCCTTATTCAAGCTCAGGACTCCAATGTAAGGTTATTGAGTTGGCGAGTCATCAACACGAGGGAGGAGGGCCATGGTAAGGTCCCCGCAATAGGAATTGCTCTCAAATACAAGGAGGCAATAGAGAAAGAGGGATAAGTCTCTATTATAGATTCGGAACAATATCGGTATCAGGTCTAACCTATCCAGAACTACGATACAGTATTCTTTATCCGCTGCGCTGTCAACGACTATCAGCGCACAGCAGCGCAGACCTACACTAAATCTCGGAATTCTCGGACAGGTGACGGTAACGCCAGCTACATCTCGGACAGTTTTTGGGCCACGAAATCGCCCATAAGGTTGCGCGTCTTCTTATTTCTTCAATCAACGGTAAAACGAGAGACTTAAGGGAGTTCTCAAGTCTGTAATAGTTATTTATGTATCAAGGAAATTATAAAGATGTTAAATTACCAAAGTTTCTAAGGAGAGACCAAGTTAAAGAGGTGTTTGGTTTGGTTTGGTTTGGTTTTGGATTGGGGTAAAAATAACTGCAAATATTTCATCCTGTTGCTCCTAGAAGCATCTAGCTGTACTGACTATCCTGTTTCACAAATAAGGTTTGGAGACTTTTGTTTAAATATTTTTCTTTTAATTTTAGTGCAATTTCTATTCCTTTGATTGCCTTGATTTTAAAATTGAATATTTCATGTCAAAATTTTCAGTCACATGCAGTGTAAGCTCCGTAGCAAGAAATTTCTTGCCTAGCCTATGTTATTTTTATACAATTGATGAGTCACTAGACAGGAAATAGTTACTGGCAGCAGCTAGAAGTAAGTGTTTCTCTGGAGTATCTGTCGAATTTGACATAATAGATAGACTTGATGACATAATAGAAAAATAAATGATCAAAAAATACTAAATAATATCTTGAATTGGGCAAACCTATTCAACCGAAACAATACAAGACATGGCATTATATCTGTCTCTTTCGTTGCATAGGCTAGAGAGAAGCATATATGAAATGTCAAACGTCCATCTTGTGAAAAGTGTTTTCAGAAAAAAAATTAGAAGATTTTTCTATCCCCAATCAAAGAGCAAAAAAGGCAGGAGAGGGAGCGAAAACCTTTCACCTCTGCTCCGGCTAGGAGAGGAAAAAACCAGGATGGAAAGCCGTCCAACACCGAGAAACAAGCAGGGACGTATCACAAGCTTTACCGCTATTGCTGGACAGGTGAAAATATCGGTGCTGCCAAAGGATTACCCAGAGGTGGCTCTGACCATCGACCAGAAAACGGCTCTAGAAGAGACGATACTGGACGAAATTGTAGCCAGCGGATTGCAACGCAACGATCGACAAAATGTGGGCCAGCTGCGTTTTGCGTTTGGGTTGGTTGAAAATATTCCTAAAGAGGCGACCATCAGGGTCTTTCTGCCGAGGAGAAGGGGAAAGACACCACTTACCTGCAGAGCCTTCCTCATTGGCTCAGAACTCCAATGTAAGGATATCGAGTTGGGGAGTTATCAGCTCGAGGGAGGAGGGCCATGATGAGATCCTCACAATAGGAATTGACCTCAAATACAAGGAGGCAATAGAGAAAGAGGGATATATGCTCTATTATAGATTCGGGAAAACATGGGTATCATGTCTAAGGAGACGACACCAAGTTAAAGAGGTGTTAACGTTAGGTAACCAAGTTAAAAATTTGCCATCGTGTCAAACATCTGCTGTAAGTTGGCATTCATGTCCGAAATTGTTTTACGCAAACTCGAATAGTTAGCACGAAGAGCATAGGTTTATTAGGTAATCTTTGGTATTTATTACGTCAAATATAGCATAAATATATTTAAACTCACCAGGGCAGAGACAAGCGATAAAGTTCATTGTAGAACATTCGCCAAAATTCACGGTAGACCTGATAAGCAAGGACAGCAATACAGTCAAAGCTCTAGTGGGTCTAACCTAACCTAACAGAGCAATATAAGCTGAATGGGCACCTAAAGCTGATGGGACAGACGGACGAACCCATGTGTAGGTTCTGCCAATCTGAAGAAGAAACGACAGAACACATTTTATGTCGGTGCGATAGCCTGGCAAATGTGCGGTTCTCGGTAATAGGCAATGATAGGCCATTGCCAGGGAGCTATATGGAGGGTTTAAGTTGCTAAACTTTATGAAAAGGATAGGACTGGAGAATGTAATTTAAGAATCAGAAGAGATCTGACTGAGAAGGTCGCAATGGACCAGTCCGAGTGCCACCTCTAGGAATGTAATCTAAATATTTAAACGTCAAATTTGATGGATACGACAGTCAAAGCAACAGGGTACCTATTCTTAACCACGATGAATACGAAACTGAACTTGACACGCTGATGATGAATGGCACGCTGGCAGTCAAATTTTACCTAAACTAATTAATGATAAAAATTTATATTTGGACTTCTGTGGCACTCTATGGTTATGATTTTATAACAAAAAATATTAAGCAATGTGTTATTCTAAATATATGTACAGTTAAAAATACCTGCGCTTAAAAGTGGATATATATTATACTCCCCAAATATGACATAAGGAATCTCAGAAAGTCTATTTCTTTTAGTGATATATGTTGCCATGCATGTTTACTTTCCCTTTAAAACAGTTACGTTTGTTTTTTCTTATGTTTAACCATAGTAAATATTAATAAAAAAGTATTTAATCATTCACCATATAGGTATGACGTAAAAGATGAGTCTCGTAATTTATGTATTTATAAAAATGACACGATAGATCTGATATAAATATTCACAGGGATTTCTTAAAAAATTGGAAACATTGTTTAGTTTGAATTGAAGTGAAGTTTAGAATTATTCTGTTTTTTTTTGTTTGAGAGCTTTTCAAGTTTCTGATTTAGAGTATGTTCTAGCGAATTTCATAATATAGTGTTGTAAGGCACAAAAACAGCATATTACTATTAAATATTGATAGAAAGAAATTAGTATAATATGACAGATATTAAGAAAAAATGTTTTTAGTTTCCTTTTATACATTTAGAAATTTATGAGAACATTTTTTCATTGTTTTTATTTTTTTTAATTTATTGTACTTTTGTGCTGTTATATTTTCTTGCACTCTATGTTGATCGATATGTAACTGAATTGAAATTAATATAAAAGAAGAAAGAAGTTTCTTAGCTATACAGAGTGTTTCTTAAATAAGGACAAATATTTTTAGTGATGGCATGCATTGAAAAAAGAAGCATATAATGTATTTATAATGTTTCAAACAAATCCAAATTATCAAAGTTACATAATATTGCTAATGCCATTTCATATATAACGTATATATGTAAATTATTTACCTTAAAAAAATACACTTCGTCTATACAAGGGATGTCGCAAAAATTACTTAATTTTTAGCAATTTGCGGTAGTAACCTTAAAAGTTATTTTTTTGCAAAAGGAACTTTGAGTTGCTAGTATTTATCTGGGTTTAAAAGATACTGCCATAAGTATTTGCAATTATTTAATAAAAATTCTGTATAAAAGTTATTTATCTAGATTAGGACCATTTCTAAGAATGTATTATTGTTGTGAGGCATCAACAAATTTGTTAGGAGTTCGTAAATGTTTGATGTAAAGCCATTTTTGAGAACTTGCACAGGGTCTTCTTAACTATTGGTATATGTGATAAAAAAAAACGGCGTCACCGATGGCTATGAAATAAAGATCGCTGTCATTTTATATGTGAAATTATATGGGGAATGTCATCGATCGTCATTTCCAAGCCAACTGGACGCCGTTTTTTTCGATCATATGGTATTGATAATAAATATAATAATTACTGAATTCGTGCATTTATATCTAGAAACTGACAGTTCGCAGTAAATTACAAAATGAACATGTATTTTAAGGAAAAATAATAATCTATTCTCTTTATAGAAACGGTTCTAACATGCATGTATTTTATTTTGTATTAAAATATTTCTTATATGTCTAAACATATATAGACAATAATTATTTCATTTATCATTGGTTACAAAAAAAAGGAAAATTTTACCAATAGAGAAGACGTATTTTCAACAAAGACTAGAAAAAAAAGCTGTTAGAGTAAAATCGTTCCTGTGAATGTAAAGTTTAGATGTAGAATTACACGATATTATTTAGCAATAAGTCTCATTATTTCTAAAAGCTTTAAGTTCTCGTTTTAGTTGTTATTTTTTTGTGTAATATTTTGTCCAGAGTGCATTAATTTATTTTTTAGATGATAAATAAATATTATGTAATGATGAGTTATATAAATAAATGTTAATAATTATAAATTGTATTGTTTTATCACAACTTTAAAATTTACGTATTAGAATTTTTAACAACTAATAATAAATCATCGGCAAACGGACTTTACTGAACAGCATTATTTGTTTATGAACTATTTTTGACTGACCTATTTTGATCTAAAAGCTAGCAACGTTTTCGAGAAAGTATTTTAAGACGTCTGGCTCTTTGATATATATATATATATATATATATATATATATATATATATATATATATATATATATATATATTTTACTATGCTCTCTGGAACAGCATACGAACTGGCTGCCGATACCGGTTGCGTTCGCTACTGCGCATCGAAAGATCCTTTATTTTTTTTATTAATTTAGTCCTATAAATTCTAGTATTGAATATAAATCGAACATGTTTCCATAGCGCAGTGCGTAGAGTTTCCGACCACGAACCGAAGATTCAGAGTTCGAATCCGGGTCAGGTCAAAGACTTTTATTTTATTTTCGTTTATATTCTGATAGTAAAGTATTAAATAATTCTGGTAATTAAAAAAAAAACAAATATTTAATACTTTACTATCAGAATATAAATGAAAATAAAATAAAATGGTCTTTGCCCTGACCCGGATTCCAACTGAATCATCGGTTCGTGGTCAGAAACTCTACGCACTGCGCTATGGAGACATGTTCGATTAATATTCAATACTAGAATTTAAATGACTAATAAAAATATAGGATCTTTTAATAAATTTACCGGCAGCCAGGCGGGCCGCATGCTGTTCTAGAGAGCAGAGTAAAAGATATATAAAAGAGCCAGACGTCTTAAAATACTTGTTTTTCCGGCGTTGTCAGCTCTCGTACTATTTGTCTATAAACTTTTTTAATATCGATTTTTAAAATATTGAATTAATTAAATTTCATGCTTCATTATAATAGACAAATGAAGGACTTTCGTATAGAGGTAAATTGTGTTCAAGCAACTTATTTTGATCCCAAATATACCTATATACTAGATACACAGTAGTTCTATGTCCACGGGATATTAAGACACCTAATATATACCTATAGTTTTAGAGTTTGGTCTTAAAAATTTCGAAATAGCAAAAAAATACTATCAGAACTGTCAAATTTTGAACCTAGTTGCCTGTTTTAATATATGCCTTATTATATTTGATTTTTAAGACATTTATTTTCCGATGTTAACATATTTATTTATAAACTTAATGTGTCAAGTGTAAAATTTGAAAGAATACTTTTTTTCTAATAAAACAAAACGGCCTCTAGCATTTTGACTTACGTCACAGATTATAAATTTATTTTATCGTCAAAAGCATTGTTTTTCGTGGTTCTAATTTTTGGAGTCGCGCACTAGTTAGGTTATTAGTTTGCGCACAAGCACGCCCACTTATTGCCTCTAAAATTGTGCACAGCGCCTGACCGGCCCAGTTATTACGCTGTTTAAACGGGATGAGTTTATTTTTGCGCACAAGAAAATTTACTCGTTTGCTCATCGTCATAAAAAACAATTTTCGTACCATGAATTAGGGACAAGATTTTTATCTGTATATTTATAGGATACCTATCTGCGCTTACGTGTCATAAAATGAAATAGAAGCGCCCTCTTGTTTTTGACACTAAAATCAGGAAATAATATCCATTCATATTATAGGGAGGATCAGTAGCAGTGACAGTTGTGTTTGAATCTTCCCAGAATCGTTGGACAGACTATACATAAATTGTATTTATTTTTAAAGGCGGACTCTCACGATTCGTTTACTTCACACACACGTACTCTTCACAGGATGTATTTAATAAAATAAAATTGGTTAAAGGAAATGTTTTTTTTTTTGAAATATTTCCCTCTGGTACATTGGCTAGGTCTAAAGGAGCATCTCATTTTCTTGTCCCTGGCTGTAGTGTCATGGCGAGTGAATTGCACCAAGATGTATAACGATGACGGATGGGACTACTCTGTCCGTCATACCAGGCACCCTCTACTGTCTGTGGTCATGTATAATATTACGGGCAATGAAAATGTTCGAATATAGTTCGTTGAATAGAGGATGTTGTGTGTACTTTATTTAGAAAAAAAAACCGCTTAGTTAAATTCAAGGCAATTTTATTTTTATAAAATATCATTCATATACACAAATAATCTTTCAACTACTTACAAATATTAACATCAATTACAGTGCGGTACAATTTTAATACAGCACATTTTAACCAGTTGATGAAAAAATTGAGCATGAAACATTCAATGTAAAAAATATCTTAAAATTTTAATTTTTATTTAACTGAATATTGTGAATAAAATTGTTTACCAACTGGAAATTGTAAGAGAAAACAAACAATAAGGTTTAAAACACAATACACTTTTCAGCTCATAATTACTCCTTTCATGCCCCATTAAAATTGGACTACTCTGTACGTGAAATTTGATTATGCAGCTAAATCACAACTGTGATGGATTTAAGACCTCTTTATCACAGGCAGTTCCTTACAAAATATTTTAGAGAGTCGCATCAAATTAAGATTTAATCTTAAATTATTCTGAAATGCATAATATATAATCATTTAAAAAAAATAACATTAGCTACATATTCTAAAATGAACACAAGGCAAGGAGATCTAGTAATATAATAATTAAAATATAGGCAATAAAAAACTACAAATATCAAACAAGCTACAAAAAGCACAAGCAGCATAGTATAAAAACGCTAACATATTAGGAACTAAATTTTAAAAAAAAATAAAAAATCATTATGGATTTTGATTTTTGAACTCTTTACAAGGCTGTGATGTAACTTATAATTTCTACGAACAGTAACAACGCTAATGAACATACTTAAACTAGAAACATAAAATATTTATAAAAAACTAACCATCCTATTTTTTTACTTATAATTATGGCAAGAAAAAAATATATTGCACCATCTTTTCCCATTAAAAACAGTTTTTTTTCCTATTTTAATTTGGGAGTCTGATATACAAAATTATAAGTCAATTTTTATAGTACGAGAGCTATCAACGTTGGGAAAACAAGTATTTTAAGAAAGCTGCCTCTTTAATATATCGTTTACTATACCCTCTGGAACAGCAGGCGGCCCGTCTGGCTGCCGGTAAACGTTGCGTTTCCTACTGCACATTGAAAGAAGATCCTGTATTTTTATTAGTCCTTTAAATTCTAATATTGAATATAAACCGAGCGAGTCTCCATAGCGCAGCGCGTAGAGGTTCCACCTATCAAGCGAGGAATCGGAGTTCGAGACCGGGTCGGGGTAAAAACTTTTTTATTTTATTTTCGTTTATACAGGGTGGCGCACCTCATTCGCCTCGGTTGATTATACAAAAACGGAAAGATGTAGAAACAAAATATTTTATGGGTATATGTGGGGAGGTAATGTGCACAATTTAAAATTATTTTGAAATATACAGGGTGTCTCAGAACTAAGATTCATACCAAAGTTATATTTTTTCTTATGGAACACCCGGTATTTTATTTCATTTTTGGATTCTTGGGCCCAAAAAAAGGCATTTATTATAAGGGTTTTTAAATCATTGGTTTTTGAGATATTTAAAGATCTTTAAATATGCATGCTACAAGAGAATTGATTATTAACACCCTGTACATTACTTTTCCGAATTAATTCCTGTGCTGAGTTTAAAGGTAAAGAAATAAACTTTACTGAAAAATGTTATTGTTTCCTTAAATTTATACTTATACTTTATATTTATATATAGGGTACCAAAAATTAGTGATCTATTTTACGGATTTATTTTACATAAAACCTTTGTTATTTCAAATGCAACACCCTGTATTTTTTTAAATAAATCGAAACAGATTCAAATGCTCTTTCAAACTATATACCTATCTCAGATTTTGAATAAAAAACGATTTTTAAACTAAATGGCAATCAAGATGGCTGGTATCGCCATGGCAATTTTCTAGTGACAGTTAGTAACTATTTTCAAAATCGACATTAGTGTATGGACATTATTATTTAAACAGTTTACTAAAATTTACCCACAATATTTTAATAAGTAAGTATTCTTTATTTTATGAAGAAAAATAAAGCCATATGTATCTGCTGGTGGAACGAATGGATATGTTACTAGTTACTAGTGATTTTGTTTTGTGAGGAAAATTATTTCTTGGGCTCAAGCGCTAATGCTCAAAGATATCCAAATAGGAATCTTCCTTATAACCTTTCCTTTGAAAAATTACTTGTCCTATTTCCTATTTCGCAGAATTGGTATTGTAGTTTATAAAAAAACCTATTAGGCAGAAACCTGTCGTTGGAAGTGAAGAAATTGAATTTGCCGTAATTGGCTCTTTTATAAAAAAAATCATATATCTACAAGTTATCGTAAAATAAAACAAAGAACTACTTCTGCGTTTTTCTTGATAGAATAATAAATACATATTAATAAATATTATTTAGTAAACTATTGTAGGTCAATTAAATAAAAGTAAACTGGTATAGATTTAAATAAAGTCTATAAACTAATGTCGATTTTGAAAATAGTTACTAACAGTAACTAGAAAATTGCCATGGCGATACCAGCCATCTTGATTGCAATTTTATTTAAAAATCGTTTTTTATTCAAAATCTGAGATAGATAGGTATAGGAAACCATAATATAGTTTGAAAGAGCATTTGAATCGGCTTCGATTTATTTAAAAAAATACTGGGTGTTGCATTTGAAATAACAAAGCTTTTATGTAAAATAAATCCTTAAAATAGATCACCAATTTTTGGTACCCCTGTATAAATTTAAGCAAGCAATAATATATTTAAGTAAAGTTTATTTCTTTACCTTTAAACTCAGCACAAGAATTAATTCTGAACAGTTTTGTAGCATGCATATTTAAATATCTTTAAATATCTCAAAAACCAAAGATTTTAAACATATTTAACCCCTATAATAAATGAATTTTTTTGGGCCCAAGAATCCAAAAATGAAATAAAATACCGCGTGTTCCATAAGAATAAATATAACTTTGGTATGGATCTTAGTTCTGAGGCACCCTGTATATTTCAAAATAATTTTAAATTGTGCCCACATTGCCTCCCCACATATACCCATAAAATATTTTGTTTGTACATCTTTCCGTTTTCGTATAATCAACCGAGGCGAATGAGGTGCGCCACCCTGTATTCTGATAGTAAAGCATTAAATAATTCTGGTGATTAAAAAATACAAATATTTAATAACAAAGGGAAATTAAAACATCTTTCGTTGCACGTCATCAATGACACCATGCGTCGGCTTATGGAGTTTGCTGGTAGTCGTATACTTAACTATCAGAATATAAACGAAAATAAAATAAAAAAGTTTTTGCAACCGGTTTCAAACTCTGAATCCTAGGTTCATAGTCGGAGACTCTACGCGCTGCGCTATGGAGACTTGTTCGATTTATATTCAATTCAATACTAGAATTTAACGCACTAAATAAAAATATATAGGATCTTCTTGCGATGCGCAGTAGTGAACGCAACGGGTATCGGCAGCCAGATGGGCCGCATGCGGTTCCAGAGAGCATAGTAAAAGATATATCAAAGAGCCAGCTTTCTCAAAAACGTTGCTAGCTCTTAAACTATTACTGATATGACATTGATAAACTGGGTGGTCTGAATTGTAATCGGGAAATTTCGGCAACATATTAATAATTTCTAAACTATCGCCTATATTTGGATGAAAATTGATGTCTGGGTTTTTTTTAACATGAGAAGTTTCGATACCAGTATGACTCATATACATATAACTTTATATACTCAGCCTAATATCTAAAAAGTGAAGCCCAAACAGTGAAAGAGAAATATGGAATTCTGCATAAGTCTATTTCACCCGGATAGTCACTTAATTACGCATGCCTTACCTGAAGAAGTTTTCATTGGTCCGTGTTTTTAAAGGGAAGCGGTTGACTGGCATTTCACATAACCTTCAATTTTATTCATATTTTTATTATTTATAGCACATTATCATGGAGTTGGAAATATATCAAAAAATAGTTGGAAACAATAAACTAAACAAAATCACTCTTTTACACGCACAAATAAAAAGTAATCCAAACAGAACTAAAACAACAATCAATCGGAGTTTGGCGCAATCGCAGTTCAATCGATATCCGGGTGAAATAGACTTATGCAGCATTAATATGGAGCTGAGTTATGTTGTCTTTTTCTTACGGCACGGAAACAGCACACGGGGTTAAATAGGGAACACTGAGTATACAGGCCCGGCAATGGATCTCTAGGCATAGGAATTACATGCATTGGAATGAAACGCCTATAAAAAGTCTATGCTTAAACAGAGATGGACAACAACTTCCCCGTTTCCACTTCCACTACGACTGTCTACTTAGACAAACTCCAATAAGATAACAAATTTTGGAAATTCCGCCACCTCCCATCCACTCATGATACCCATCTCCCTGCCCTTTATTTATCGCCATTATTTTATTTCCCTTCCCGCGCCTCCGCACCTCGCTATTCTGACTCCCGTCAGTTCATCACAGAGTTGCCAGGTCTACCGGTTTCGTCTGTAAGCTACCGATCTACCGATTTAAAGAAAAATCTAACGATATATTCAACTGCGTCTTTAGTTTTTACAATAGAAGCACTTATAAAAAGCTGACTTATTTGACTAAAAATTAAGCGACTGCCGTGTTGGAATCTGTATAATTTGACTTTATTATTGTTTCATTAAATTTTATTTAGTAATAACACACATACAGGTCATCGTTCTGTCTAGTTGCAGAGTTACAGAGATATTCCTAAAAATCCTTATTACTCCTTATTACTCCTTATTAGGCGCGGTATTGGCGACATGCCCGAAGAAGTTGATATCTTTTGAAAAGATTTTATTTCATTCATCTACTAAAGTTGAACCCATATTTTTCCCCAAAAAATGTAAACAAAAAACAAAATTTAAGTTACGAAACAACCTAAATTCGGATAAATATTTTAGTGATTTTCCCGTAAAAAAATATATTAATATGAAAAAAGAGTTGAGAGTTGCTACAGCTTTCCCATTGAAATGAAATTAATTTTAGATTTCACTGATCAAAATTTGGACAAAGATAAAAAGTGACTGCTACACTAATTTGTGACTGCTATCCCTACTTGTTATAGTTTTATATGTTTTTATTAATATATTAATATTATTTAATTCAATATTTTTTTTAATATTAAATAATATACCTAGCTATTTCTAATTCTTGTTATATTTATTATATTTGTATTTTATTTGAGTGATCTATTATTACGACACATAGGAATGCTAATTTTGGACTTAAATATTATATTTTATTTCGTTTCTGTACTTTTAATTTTTGTTGAAGATCTACCGAGAATTTTGTTCTCGTATGGAATTATAATCTAACCAACCCGGCAACCCTGTTCGGCTACTCCTTATAAAGTTTTTTTCGGCCTAATTCCTTTGTCACAGCCGCGGCTTTGTCAAGCGCCGCCGCCGACCGACTGTGTCGGGGCGACTGCTAGGAAGATCGTACAGTATTGCCATTTCATAGAATTGCACTTGCTATTTTAGAAATGATTTCAAAGTTTTGCATGTTACTTTTCGTTTTAGAAAGAAGTTATGTGCCTAGAGAAAACATTCTTAAAATTGTTTCGTACTTTATTTAATATTTCATTAAGTAGGCAAGATAATGGGATTAGAAGATTTAGGATTTTGACAAGCCAACATAATTTCGATTTAATTGAATGGCAACACTGTCCGTCCTGTTTCTATTTTTTCGATTCTGTTCTATTAGTAGACGGTAGCCCCCACACAAGCGTCTTAAAGACCCGCCCGGCGCCCCCTCTCGCAGGGGCTCTATCGTCGTATCACTTCTATGATCACTTACCCTATACAATGGTAGGGAAAAGACACTTTATCCGTCTCTGTTGCACTGCAGTGTATTTTGCAGCCTTACCATCTTTTTTTATCGCATTGAAAACCTCCTATTGCTAATATTCCTTTGCCAGCAGTGTATATAGTTATATGTATATGGTATGACTCCTACTTGTAGGGGGCACCAGCTGCAATTTTTTTCACTGTTTTCAAGAGTAATAACTTTTCGTCTGCACCTGTTGTTTTATCATATTTTTTCTAGAAAATTTTGTAATTAAAAAAAGGTTGCAAATTTAACAATTTCAGCCAATTAACTATCTACTCAACATGTCTATTTTTTGTTCAATTTATATTAACTTTCCATTCCAAATATTTTGAGAACGGTTGCTTATAGCGATTTTTACCGAGAGACCTTTTTTACGTAAAATACCGCGAAAATGTATATTTTTTTACTCATTAGCTATATACAGGTACAGACGAAAAGCTATTACTCTTAAGAGTTAAAAAGTGACGCCTCTTAAAAAATAAGAGTCGTATTGACACCAAACTCAAATTTTTCATGTCAAGAAGCTCCCAGACATCAATTTTAATCCAAATATGAAATTACTTTTTGAAAAAAAAATGAAGATGAAACTTCTACACCCTGTATCTCGGAAACGAAGCATTTTAGGACATAAATTTATATGAACTTTTTTACTGATTTTTATCTGCAGAATATACTTCCCAAATAAAATTTGGACTATCCTGTATATGATAAAAAATAACTTGATAACCTTTTATTCATTCTTAATTTAATCAGTCAATTTTGTGTGATAGAGAGCAAATAGAATATTCTGATTTAGATATAGTTGCTAGTTTATTTACTATTTCTTGCATATTTTTTATATTTTTTGCAAATATTTTCAGAACTTATCACATCTGATACTTAAACCATTGGCAACAAAATCTTTCCTATTATGAAATTTACATATAAAAATACTTATATACAACTTAAATGACAAGTAACATCTAATGAAGTTACAGAAGGGTTACTTGTCCTAAATTAGCAGAAATAACCATTTCCATCACAGACTGAAAAACAACTTGTACATTGGCAGTATCAGTGGCAGTACAAAAGTGCGGATACAAAATTTTCCTTGAATCCCCATTTCTTAATATAAACTTGTGTTGTATAAATAAGGCACCTCTATCCACGTCACGATCAGGTCCTATAAAAAATACCAATATAAAATACTGTAAGTTAGAAAAAAAGATCAGAGACAATACCTTTGTAATCAGGAAAATACAATCTTATATGTCTATTGGAATAAAGAACTTTTTCTCTGAAGAGATCAAATTTATTTAAAAAAAGGACAAACGAGGCTTCTCTAAAAAATGGATTGTTTACAATTTGACCAAAAAGATTCAAACTTTCTTCTAGTCTATTGACATTTGGATCTTCCTAAAAAATTCAAACATATTATAAATTAAATTACTTTGACTCTTATTGATACTTACAATTAGAGTCATATCATAACCACTTAATGATATGACAAAAAGCACAGCTTTCACATCGTCAAAACAATAAATCCACTTTCTTCTTTGAGATCTTTGACCACCGACATCATACATGCTTACAATCATATCTTGAATGCGAAACTGAGTTTCAATTATACCTTGAGTCCTAACTCTGGCTCTTAAGACATCGGTGGGGTTTGGCACATATTTCGGATCACAGATTCTTTCCATATTTTCAAATAAACTGAAAATTTAACATTTAAAGGTTTTTCTTAATGAAATTTAAAGCACTTAAAGCAAGGAAAATGAATAAAAGTTGGGCTGCATGTCACAATGTTGCCATGGCCATTTTTTTACTTGACTTGTTACAAAACTTGACTCTGACAAGTGTTAAATAAAGTTAGTTTTGACAGCTTTGAGGGCGTGCATGCCAACATTTATTGATTTCAAATACTTACTATAATGCAGAGTCGTTAAGTTCATATTCATAACCTCTAGCTACAGCCAATCTGACACCTCTATCAGACCACAAAGCTTGAAGTGAAGCTGCCACATCTGGCAATACTGCAAACGTCATATCAAAACAACTTTCAGCAGCCAGAACATTTTTAGCATGTACCTGAAAACAATTAATACCATATTTTATATCTCATTTCTTAACATATGCTAAAATATTGAGTTGTCAAAACAAAAAACATAACATAATAATAATGAAACATAAACACAAAAAGTCTGGTCTTACATGCATGCATCATGCGTCATTGATGTTAGGCAATATTATTGGTTTATTTTAAATATGACGGCTCATATTTAAATATGATTGGAGTGATAGAACAACGCATGACGAATGCATTTAAGTCAACACTTATAGTTACCTTATTTTTAATATGTTCTAAATTAATTCTCAACAATCCCATTCCAGCCAAGACATACTTCATCGATGATAAAAGATTGTCTAAAACTGTAGGACGGAAGCTACTTAATTCTGATTGGGTAAATCCATCGGCATGTATTATTTTCATTTGTTTAACTAAGGTACTTTTTCCACTTTCACCAGCACCTAAAATTTGTAAAAATTTAACAAAAATATATTTCTAGGAAGTACACACTCATATTTACATTATTATTTCATGTTAAAATACATTAGCCAATCTTTTGTCATATAAGTTGAGAAGTGACTCAATTGATAAGAACTTATCAAGAGTATAGACAAGTTTTTTACAATACTTATTCAAATGTATAGGGACAAAAACAAATAACATACCAAGAAGCAAGATCTTAATAACATTATTCTGTTGCTTTGCAAACTCTCCAAGCTGTTTATCAATTTCCTTGCTTCTCCTCTTAGCTTTGCCTTCTTCACGTTCAGTTGTTAGGCATGCCCCCATATCGCACTCATCACGAATTAAGCTCGGTTTAAGTGGAAAATTAAAAAACTTTCAATTACTGTAAATTTCCCAAGGGACATTTTTTAAATGGATTTAAATGGTCTTCAAGGTCATTATTCTTTAAAACTAAAGTATTTAAAATTTCTAACTAAAGAATACAAAACTGCAACGTTACACGGCTCACATAAGTATAAACGAAAACTAAAATCGAAAACATAAATTAATATATGTATCAATTAAATAAACAAATTGCAAAACAATAGCGAACAAAAACTATAAACAATAATTTCGAGGTTAAATAAGATAGCGCCATCTGACAGGCAAACTCGAAAGTTGTAATCAGTAGGGATGGGCTATTAGGGAAATTAGAGATGGGGTTTTTAGGATATGATATTTATACAGGGTGTTTCAAAACAAATGCGAAAAACTTCAGGGGGTGATTCCTTGTTCAAAATAAAGGGTAGTTTGCTTCATAAACGTTGGGTCAAAAGTCAACCATTAGGGAGATATTGCGGTACAAAGATGGCGGAAAAATAATGTTTTTATTTTTTATCTTGAAAACGAAAAGAGATAGACTAATAAAATTTTATGAAAGCATTACTGTTATGAAAACACACTTTCTGGTAATTTTTTCACTTTTTTAAAATGAGTGGAAGGGGTTCAAATAAACTACCCCTATCATTCTTGTTAACGAAATTTAAAGAAAAATCTTATCAAACACATGCAAAAAAATTAATTTGGATAGTTTAGTTTGTTTAGAAACTTTTTTATCTCTTGTATTTTTTTGATAAAACTCACCGATCTGAAATTAAAAATAAAATGTAAAACATTACATGTCAGGACAAAAACATTTTCTGATAAAGAATCTAGTGGGCTGCTGTAATTTTTTAGGGAAAAAATCTAGTCGGCCGCTGTTACTTTTTAGGATGTTCCTAATATTATTTTATTTGACATTACTCTACTGCAATACGTTATTATCTAGAAGATTATTATTATCGTTATTATCACTAGATTCTTAATCTAAAAATGTTTTTTGTCCTGACATGTAATGCTTTACATTTTATTTTTTAATTTCCAATCGGTGAGTTTTATCAAAAAAACACAAGAGGTAAAAAAAGTTTCTAAATAAACTAAACTATCCAAATTAAAGCATTTGCATGTGTTTCATTAAGATTTTTCTTTAAATTTCGTTAACAAGAATGATAGGGGTAGTTTATTTCAACCCCTTCCACTCATTTTAAAAAAGTAAAAAAATTACCTGAAAGTGTGTTTTCATAACAGTAATGCTTCCATAAAATTTCATTAGTCTATCTCTTTTCGTTTTCAAGATAAAAAATAAAAACATTATTTTTCCGCCATCTTTGTACCGCGATATCTCCCTAATGGTTGACTTTTGACCCAACGTTTATAAAGCAAACTACCCTTTATTTTGAACAAGGAATCACCCCCTAAAGTTTTTTGCATTTGTTTTGAAACACCCTGTATATATAAAATGCTAATGTTATCTGTGTCGTCTCTACTGAAGTAACGACTTGCTCTAGAAAGTTGCTTTTTTTACTAAAAGATAGCTAATTGGCTCGGTATACCATTGGCTCTTCTAAAAACTGTCGTCGCTGGATTTTTTGTTTTTCATTTAATTAAAAAAAAATAAAAAGTATTTTTTCCTGATGCTGTGGCGGATGTGCCAGGCTTCAACTAGTAATAAATAATTTTGTTCCATATAAATACATTAAGTAAGGCTGTATTGATATTTTTCGAATCCTTCTCACCCTTTAGGAAGTTCTCTATTACATTTTTTACAAATAAGAATAAAATATACAGAAAATTTCAGTATTTTAGTGCTAAAAAAGACAAATAATTTGAATAATTTTTTGGGTAATTTCTATTCCAACAAGAGGGTGAATATGCACACATTTTTTCCTCCACCCGACGCCTATGCTAATAAGCAAAACTTTTCCTAGTAATTTTCAAATATGTTTACACTTTACTAATAAGGCTAATACTTATTATATAGTTGTAAAAATTAATTTATTATAAATTGCATTAGATTAGATTATTTACATTAAAAATTAATAATTGAGTTCGAGTGAATTAGATTAGAATTAGAAATGTATTAGAATACATTATTTAGTGTATTGAATGAACTTATTAATAAGTCACTCCTACTTTTTATAAGAATTTATATCTATTACATTATTATATATTTTAGAATTCCCAGAATTAAAAACAGTAGGACAAACAAAACAGATAGAATGTCTTTGAACCAGGGGCGCCGACTTTTATGAAACCTCGTGGGACTCGTGGGTGCTCATCAAATATGAGTAAATGTAACAAATTTCCAGATTGTTACATTTGTCGTATTTATTACATTTATTTACATATGTAACATACATAATAATAATTTGCCATTTTTACAATTTTATTCTTATTATCCCACATTTTATTTTTATTATCCCACACCCGGCATTGCATCAGCCGACTATTTTTATTAAAACAAAAATAGTTTGGGTACATAGGTCGACTCAGCCTTAAATGAGTACTTGGGATTCATAATCCTGAGGTAATAATAGGCGGTTGAAGCGTAGTGCTAGCCACATTACCTTCCTTGTATACAGAACGGCTCTAGTATGGCAAGCTGTACCTTGCTACTCCCAAGGCGTTAAACGCTATATACGGGAGCTATTATTATTATTATTACAATTTTATTGAGTATAATTTGAGTTATGCAGAAATAAAAATTTTTAGTACAGATACCAATTTGTGAAAATATTAATTCTACCAATTACAATCGTGTAAGGCATTAAAACAACAGACAGAAACTCTAACTGTATTTTATAAAGAGATACAAAATGAACGAAGCTAAAAGTTGCTGAGAAGATCTACTAGTGGAGGGATATCCGAGATTGGGAGGAGGACAGCTTAGGGTTTATATATAAACAAATTTATCCGTCGAGACTAAAAATTCTCAAAGATAAACACAATATAATCATACACAAGCTTTCGTATCACATAGCACATTTCATATACTCGGCCAGCTAAATAGATTCACAGTGAGCTATCGTGGATATGAACACACATTCCTAAGGTAGTTTACAATTCGCTTCCAATTTAGAAAAATTATAATTAATATACAGGGAGAGTCTTAAATAAGTACAAATATTTTCAGGGCTGGTAGATCTCGATAAAAGAAACACATGTTTTCTCTTTATCGTTTAACCACCAAATAAACCGAGTTATTTTACTTAATAAAAATAAAAAAATATATATATTTTATGCCCATGTTTTGAGAACCACTGTTTTTTTTTGTTTTGTAAACATAATCTACTCTATGTTGCCATAATATTAAGATATTGTATTTTTTGACTAAAAATCATTTTTTTTTCGACAAATATCAAATTAAAAAAAAATAGCGAAAAAAACCTTATAGACGTGTTTCTGGGGTCGCATTATACCACTCCTAAAATATTTGTACTAATTTAAGACTCACCTTGTATAAATCTATGAACTCTCTAAACACTTTTAGAGCCCCGACAAACACACAGTTATTTATTTTTGTTTTTATTATTAAAAACAGGCCAGTCTGCGCAGTTTAACCTGTATTACAGCCTGTCGCACACTCGCAATTTTATAGTACAGTTTTATCTTTAATGAACTTGATGAATGAGTTACGGACTCACTTCGGCACATTTTTTCTATGTAAAAATGGCCTCCCGAAATACACATCTGTCTTGGATTTTATTCACTTTTGCAATAAGCAAAAAAGCAGAAAAATAACGGTTGCTTAAAGGAAATAAGTAATGCCATGTTAATTTGCTTGCTGTTTTAACAGTTGAAAAACAGGATTGATTTCGATCAATCAGATAGTGGCTCAGAACCTCGGATAGTGGCAAATCATTTTAATAATTACTTTGTTAATGTGGGCGAGAGTTTATACAAAAAAATAGTGTAAAAACAAACAAGTATGCTGATACGGTACGGCAAGGACAAACTTTATTTTTAAATCCTACTGATCCATCTGAGATAAAAAGCATTATACAGTCTCTAAAAAATAATACTGCTTCAGGATTTGATAATATAGACGTTAAAAACATCAAAATTGCTAGTGAATACATATGTCTCCCACTAACTCATATTTTCAATCAAGTTTTTATATCCGGAAAATTCCCATCAAAATTAAAAGCATCTCTTGTAGTCCCAGTATATAAATCGGGAGACAAAGCTGAATGTTCGAACTATCGCCCAATTACATTGCTGAATCATTTCACAAAAATACTTAAAAACTGATTAAAACGCGTTTAGTATCATATTTAGAAAAATACAAAATAATATCTTCCAAACAGTTTGGTTTTTTAAAAAACACTTGTACAAGTGATTCCATCAACAAGCTTCTAGAGCATGTTTATGATAATATTAATAAAAAGACGATTGGAGTGTTTTTAGATCTAAAAAAAGCGTTTGATTCGATACCACACAAACGTCTTATACAAAAAATGGAAAATGTGGGAGTTTTGGGGAATACAAGCACACTTTTTCAATCGTACTTAAAAGAAAGAGTGCAAATCACAAAAGTTAACGGGGTGGTTAGTACTTCAAATTTTGTAAATTATGGTATTCCTCAGGGTACTGTTCTGGGTCCTGTTCTCTTTTTAATATATTTAAATGATTTTTTCGAAATAAAGCTAAATAGTGGAAACATGATATCGTATGCGGACGATACCGTAATCCTATTTGAAGGGAGAACGTGGCAAGAAACGGTCATAATGGCAAATCTAGGACTGCACGAAGTTAAATGTTGGTTGGATGAGAATTACCTGACTCTGAATGCGAATAAAACCGTGGCAGTTCCATTTAATGTCCCGGAAAGTTTTTTTTTCTAACTTGCATAATATAAACATTGAGGGTGGCTATGTTCAATATCGGAATACTACAAAATATTTAGGTTTACATTTGGATGGCAATCTAAAATGGAATAATCATATTAACATTTTAACTTCCAATATCAGAAAGCTGTTTTATTTGTTCACTCAATTAAGATTATATATGAATTTTGAAACCTTAAAAAAGATATATTTTGCATCTGGTCAGAGTTTACTACAGTATGGCATTACAGCGTGGAGCTCTGCTTATAAAACATTACTAAAGAAAATCGAAACAGCACAAAAAATTCTTTTAAAAATAACTCTATTTAAACATATCACTTTTCCACTAAGGAGACCTTTGCAAGTTTTCAAGTACTGGATATAAGACAACTATACGTGAGAAGTGTAATAATATACATGCATAAA